AGATAGATAGATAGATAGATAGATAGATAGATAGATAGATAGATAGATAGATAGATAGATAGATAGATAGATAGATAGATAGATAGAGGAGTACCTCGTCGCGTAGCTGGCGGCAGGAAGACTGCAAGACGGACGCGAGTCCTTGGAGATTGGCGTCCGATTTGGTCTGCGCGTGCAAAGCGGCCTCCGAGAGACGACGAATCTCGCTTTGTATCTGCTCGTGGAGGCGCGCTTCGCTGCCTTTGATAGCCGACGCTGTCGCCGACGCCGACGCTCGCACCTCGGTCCGCAGCAAGTGCACGGCGTCAGTGAACGTACTCCGCATCGCGTCGGCCGTCGTCGCAGCCGCGGCTTCGAGCGTTCGCACGTCTGTGGCGACTTGGACTTGAAGCGATTCAAGACGGCCCTGCACAAGCTCGAGCGCCACGTCGAGCGCATCGGCGCGGGCGCCAAAGCCCGTGAGCTTGGCGCTGGCGGTCTCGAGTTGGGCCAGGTCCATCTACATGATTGTCTACCGTGCTGCTGCAGTCACGTCAAGGGACGAGTACCTTGTCGAGCTTGGTCGGCAGCGTCGCATCGATCACGTGCACGTGGGCTTGGATCGCAGCGGCGCTGGCTTCAAGTCTACGAACGCGCCTGAGCACGACCGGTATGAATACAGTGAGTGGTGACCTCTCGGCCAAGCGCGCTGTCTCGCTAATGGCGACTTCGTTGCGCTGGAGGCGCCGCACCAGCCGATGCTCCAACGCGTCGTCGGCGGCATGGAGCACGTCGAGGTCGGCTTTGGCCTCCAAGCGCGCTTCGGTCGCAGCCAACTGCGTCGAGAGCCGGGCCACGAACGCTCCGAGACTGGTCGCGGTCGCGGGCGACAGCTCGGCCTCCACGTGACCAAGTCGAGCATCGATCGCGGTCGCATGGGCGTCGTGGGCCGCGAGATGGCGGCGGGTCCCGGCCGCGCTCGCTTCAAGCGCATCGACCTTGGCCGCAAGCTGCGCAAGTTCGAGGCGCTGCGTCTCGACGACGGTCGCGAGCTGTTTGAGCAGCCGCGTGGCGTGCGTCGTATCGATGAGCGGCAGGTCGTCCATGAAATATCGAATCCCGAAATATCGAATCCCACAAATTAGAAGCCGAAAAGATTCAATCGCAATAAGATCTCAAAAGTGGAAATGTAAATACCAAGTATTCATTGCATATGCGGCAACACCACTCTAACGACCGACGCTTAGTTTACAACTCGTCGTGGTCGTCCTCGTCGTCGTCGTCCGCGCCGGCGCCGGCACCGCCCGTCGACTGGTAGACCTTGGACATGATGGGGTTGACCACCTTCTCGACCGCCTTCTGCTGCGCGTCAAAGTCCTCCTTGTCGGCTTCCTGGTTCTCGTCGAGCCAGTCCATGGCCTCCTGGACCGCCTTGAGGACAGTGTCCTTGTCGTCGTCGTCAATCTTATCGGCGAGCTTGTCCTCGACGTTGTTCTTGAGGTTGTAGAGGTAGCCTTCGAGCGAGTTGCGGCCGTCAATGCGGTCCTTGATCTTCTTGTCTTCCTCGGCGTTCTCCTCGGCTTCCTGGACCATGCGATCAATCTCCTCCTGCGAGAGGCGGCCCTTCTCGGCCGTGATCGTAATCTTCTCAGCCTTGCCCGTGCCCTTGTCCTCGGCCGAGACCTGGAGGATGCCGTTGGCGTCGACCTCGAACGTGACTTCAATCTGCGGCACGCCACGCGGCGCCGGCGGGATGCCCGTGAGCTCAAACTTGCCGAGCATGTGGTTGTCCTTGGTCATCGTGCGCTCGCCTTCGTAGACCTGGATCGACACAGCGGGTTGGTTGTCCTGGTACGTCGAGAACGTCTGCGACTTCTTCGTGGGCACCACCGTGTTGCGGTTGATGATCTTGGTCATGACACCGCCGACCGTCTCAATACCGAGCGAGAGCGGGGCCACATCGAGAAGCAAAATGTCCTTGGTCGACTCGTCGTTGACGCCCGCGAGGATACCGCCCTGGACGGCAGCACCGTACGCGACAGCCTCGTCGGGGTTGATACCGCGCGAGGGCTCCTTGCCGTTGAAGAAATCCTTGATGAGCTGCTGGATCTTGGGAATGCGCGTCGAGCCGCCGACAAGCACAATCTCGTCGACCTCCGACTTCTTGAGGCCGGCGTCCTTCATGACCTTCTCGACGGGGCCGAGCGTCTTCTTGAAGAGGTCGTTGTTGAGCTCTTCAAAGCGAGCACGCGTGAGCGTCTCGTCAAAGTCCTCGCCGTCGAGGAGCGACTCAATTTCGAGGCGCGCCTGGGGCTGCGTCGAGAGGGCGCGCTTGACACGCTCGGCTTCGCGGCGGAGCTTCTGGAGCGCGCGCTTGTCCGAGCTGATGTCAATCTTCTTTTGCTTCTGCCACTTCTTGATGAAGAACTGCATGACACGCTGATCGAAATCTTCACCGCCGAGATGGGTGTCGCCGTTGGTCGAGAGCACCTCAAAGACGCCGCCGTCGATCGTGAGGAGCGTGACATCAAAGGTACCACCGCCGAGATCGAAGACGAGCACATTCTTCTCGCCCTTGGCGTTCTTTTTGTCGATACCGTAGGCAATGGCGGCGGCCGTCGGCTCGTTGATGATACGCTGGACCGTGAGGCCGGCAATGGTACCGGCGTCCTTCGTGGCCTGGCGCTGGGCGTCGTTGAAGTACGCGGGCACGGTCACGACCGCGTCGTTGACCTCCTTGCCGAGGTAGTTTTCAGCAATGTTCTTCATCTTGGTGAGAATCATGGCCGAGACTTCTTCGGCCGAGAACGTCTTGGTCTCGCCCTTGACAATCACCTGGATGTACGGGCGGCCCTCCTTGTTGACAATCTCGTACGGCAGCAGCTTCTTGTCCGCCTGCACCGACTTGTCGTTGTACTGGCGACCGATAAGGCGCTTGACGTCAAAGAGCGTGTTCTCCGGGTTGATCGTCGCCTGGTTCTTGGCGCCGTCGCCAATGAGGCGCTCGTCGTTCGAGTCCCATGCCACATACGAGGGCGTGATGCGGTTACCCTGGTCGTTGGCGATGATCTCGACCTTGCCGTTGGCGTAGTGGCCGACGCACGAGTAGGTCGTGCCCAAGTCGATGCCAATCACCGGGCCCTTGGGCTCTTCCGCGACGACCGACGAGACCGCGCAGGCCGCGAGCGCGCCCGCAGCGTACGTAAGGACCTTGATCAAGTTCATTTCTTAGCAAATTCGAAAGTGAGTCGATCCGCGCCGCTCAATATGCTGCTGACGTGGCGTCCGAGAGGACCTCTGAGAGTCGATAGATCGAGCGGCGGGGCCACGTCACCGGTGCGCCCAGCAGTCTTTGACAATATATTCGATATAAGAGGTTTTGTCAAATGAAAAACATATCGATTTACCATGAGGTGAGAGATTCGAAACGGATAGATATGCATTGTGAGAGGTAAACCGAGCCACGTGTCCGGCCGAGTACTTGACGTTTGTAGGCGGGAAGCCGCCGACCGCGCATATACAAAGCGCAAGAGAGTTCGAAATACGAAAGATCGAATCTTCGATGGAAATCCATGCGCTACCGAAAGTGCGTCGAGACGCTGCCACGTGGTCAACCGATTGCAGAGAGAATGATGACGCGGGCGACGAGTGCATGGGTGCGTGCAGGTGGACCGGAAGGCGCTTGCTGGGACTCCGTAGTAGTAGGTCGGTGACCCGTGGACGGGATCCTACCGGTGTGCCGGCCAAGCATATCTATCACCTCTGGCCGCGATACCGAGTACTAGTACAGTTTGGGCGCTTCAAAGAAGGCAAGGCACAGAACGCTTTGCACATGGGCAAAGCAGACGCCGGCCATCGCCAGCACGTTAAAGCACTGTGATGGCCTCTGCAACGGGATCTTGCTTCTGGAAGCTTCGGTGCCACGTGGCATACGCGCAACGTACGACGTTGGCTTCGACCTTCGAATGTTCTTGCGGGAGCAACACCACTAACGTTAGCGCCTTGTATGGTACTGCACACTGCCAGCAACAATACGACCTTACCCAGCGGTAGACGCATTGTGTATGCTTCAATCCAGCGACACGCCATGCAGGATACCAGTGTTTTCCCTTCCGTTGAGCTTTACATTGTCAACTCGACAACGTTGTCCGTGGTAGCCACTCTCGGTAGCGCTGTCTTGGGCTGTTTAACCTTGGTAAATAATGCAGCGGGACGCAAGCAGTCCGTGCTCTCACGCACGTCACTTCCGGTCTCGCACCTCGCTCGTGCCTGTTGAAATCTTATATGCAAATGCGCACGGTGATTGGCTACGCGTCGGCCAATCACCGCGCGCGCCAAAAATACCCAAGTGCAATCTCCTCCATTTCCGCGATGGAGCTGAGCGCGGACGACAAGGCTGCGGTCCGCACGCATCGACGCTACTAGATCTGAGTTGCTGATTCTTGTAGTTTTGCGATGACCTCCGCTTTGCGATTGCGCAGCTCGAGCCCGTCGCGCTCGGGAAGAAGAGCACGCTCGAGGTCAAGAACCTCGTCGACGCGTACGCGGTCTTTGGGTACCACAGCGACGACATCATCGACCCGCGCGACCAGCTCGTCATGTTCACGCGCATTCGCAACGAAATGATGAGCATATTGCATTCGATGACGAGCAAGGGAAAGTACACGAACGCGATCATCATGCGGGACCGGCTGCGCACGATCAAAGCCGACTTTATCGCGCTCCAGACCACGTACGAAAAGGTATGGCGTCGGCGACTTGAGCATCGTAGCACAAAGCCATTATTGGTAGCGCCGGCAAGGTATTGAGAACGGCCACTTTGCTGATGCCGTCTCGCTCGTGCGCGACCAGCACGAAAAAAAGTGGCTCGCGAAACAGCGCGACGTCGAAGCCGACTGCAATGTGCGGCGGCAGGAGCTGGCCAAGACGCAGCAGATCCAGACGCGCCAGCTGGAAGACTACCTCGACCGACTGCCAGACCCGCACGTCAAGTACTCGCGGACACTCCTCGAGCTCAAAAACTCCGAGTACTACCTCTCGAAACTCCAGCTCTTTGAACAGGCCAAGAACGTCTACACGCGCGCCGACGCAATGGAGAAGTTTGAAAAGACCAAGTGCGCTCAAGTACTTATTGTCCATGCTTCGACTAGAACGATATCCACGTCGTATTTAGGAACACCACCGGGCCAAACAAAAGCAGCGCGATGACCTCCGTGTGCAGCACGAGATTGAGCGCCGGCAGCTCGAAGAAGTTCTCACGGAGAAGAAGTACGGCAGCTACCGCGCCCAGGACTGGGACACAAAACGGTGCGCAATGCTTCGAGTCGCAATGTAGCTGACTCCATGCAACCTAGCGAGGCGCAGCGCCTCAAGAGCTTGAAGCGCGACATGCACCACTCGCACACGCTTGAGCTCCAGAAGCCCCCGGAATTTTCAACCCACCCCCTCAGCGCGCCGCGCGTCAACTACCAAGCAACGTCGAGCTCGTATGGGGGCCAACACTTTCTCGGGGCGGTCCGCGGCGCGCGATTACAAGTGCAGAGCCTCTGTGCCCTCCACGACGCCGAAGAAAGCGGACCGCTCCCGTCCGGCTCGGTACACTTCTCTTCTTCAACATTTGTTATTGATTCTGTGCATAGATCGTGTACCATTAAACCTAGAATGCATGTATATAATGGTACAAAGACCATAAACCTTGGTAGGACTATATTGTCATATCCCTTCCAATGACATGCCACGAGAGAGCTGGCCAATCTAACGATGGCATTTATGTGGCGGGTGCGTCATCATCGTCGTCGTCGTCGTCGTTTTGATTGGTCGCATTGCCAGCTTTGTCACCGTCTTCTTCTTCGTCGGCGCTTTCATCGCTCTCCTCGTTGGCCTCGCCCTCACCACCGGTGGGTTTGGCTTTGGGCTTGAGCTTTTTAAAGCCGTAGCCGTCGTCTTCGTCGTCGTCGGACATTTCCTTGATCAACTCGTTGACGAGCGCTTCTTTAGCTAGTTTCTCGGCCTCGCGGCGCGCACGGTTAATGTCCCGACGAGCTTCCTTTGCCGCCTTCTTCTCGGCGATGATGCGAGCCGCCTCTTTCTTGCGGTACTCGAGCTGCAAGTCGAGCGCACGGAGGTCGTCGCGCACCCGTAGGAGCGACCGCATCGACATCTCCGTGTCCATGTCGACGCCCGACCAGTGCAGTCGCGCTTCGGCCGCCGCCTCTACAGGCAGAGACGACGATGTAGGGACGCAATAAGATCGCCAGAAGCGCACCACCGAGAACACACGGCGCCCAGTTCTCTTTGGCATACACGTGCACTTGGCCGTTCCCGAGGTCGATCTCAATGCGACCTTCGCCGTAAATCCGGTTGCGGCGAAAGTTGCCCTTGTACTTGTGGCCAAGTCTACCGCATGCACCCAGGATTGTCGATATCATGGAAGACAATATTCTCCAAAAAGAACATACGGGCTCACTTCGACGCCGGCGCCGTGCCGGTAATTTTGAAAAAACTGGCCGTCGTAGGTCGCGCCAGAGGGCAAAACGAGTTTGCCCTTGCCGTCGCGGAGACCGTCCTTCCAACTGCCTTCGTATGTCGTGCCGTCGGCGGCTTCCCACGTCCCAAGACCGTGGTACTTGCCGTCGCGCCAGTTGCCTTGGTATTTGGACCCATTCGGGTACTCCTACGCCGGACGTATATGAGTGGTGTCCTGCTGGCAATTTTGTACGGCGGTGCCCGGGCCGCACGGCATACTGTCCTTCCACGCACCCACGTACTTGCCGCCGTCGGCAAACGTGTAGACGCCAACGGCGCCGCGCATGTGTCCGTCCTTCCAGCGCCCGTTGTAGTGGTAGTAGGTGTGTTTTCCGTGGCTCTCGAGCTTCCCGGGGACTTGGGGCGCGAGGCCTGGTGGCGCCGGGGCTTTCGGCACGGACGCAATCTGCAGCTGCACGACGCGCGGGTCCTCGCTGTCGAGTCGATCCGGGTGCGCGACGGCCTCGGGGTCGTCCTCGGCCGTGCCCGGACTGTTGGCCTCGAGCGGGTGCAACGCCGACTCGGGGTCGTGCTTGCTCGCTAGCAAGGTCATGCGGGGCGATGGAAACGAGCAGTCGCGAAAAGCCCGCTGCACGATCGCTTGGTTCTATGCAAACATGTCTCTCGTGCTATTCGACGCTCACGGACACTCTACCTTGTCGCGCGGTGGAGCTTTGAGGGTCATCAGGCGCCCGAGAAACTCCAAGTGCTTGCGCACCGCAGCCTCGGTCTCGCTCAGCGCTGCTTCGCGCGTGAGGTACGCCGCCTCAAACTGCGCAAAGAGCCGCTGCCCGTACTTGTTGAGCTGGAGCTTCTCCGATTTGAGAAACCACGGCGCAAACTACAGCGCACTCGACACGACCTAACGCGCGCCGGTGCAAGCCTACCCGCGCGTGGCGTTCCGGAAGCCCAACACGCCGGAGCATCGAGTGGTAAAAGACACAGCGCGGGTCGTCGTCCTTGTACTTCTACTCGCGCGTTCCAAGTTCACGCTAGTTCATTAAAGATACGCACCCGAATCCATGCAGGTACGTTCTTGCGCTCCTTGCGCAGGAGTACGTTGATGTCCTTCATGAGCTAGTATACAGGCAGTGGCTCGCACACATCACGATGACGATAGCGTAGTACCTTTGTGAGTTCGTCGTGGAGGAGCTCGTTGGACGCTTTGGTGCGAATGACGTTCCAGTTGGGGTCTTCGAGGTGCTTTTGCTTTTGCGCGCGCTTGGCGGCGCGCGCCTTGGCGGCCGCCGCGACCTGGACGTTCTTCTTGACACTGCCCAAGGACGTCATGGTCGCCGACGCTTCTGCGACCGCCTCTCTCTTGAACCTTGCGAGCTTGAGGCGTGCGATGTCTGCGAGGAGTGCCAGCGGTCGGCTCTGGCGCCGCCGGTCGTCCTCTGCCTGGGACGTTTCCATTCTCACTTCTTATTCCGTTTCAACGCTTTAGGCTGAGGCGCCAGGCAACATGCGCACACGTGGCTCGTGGCTGGAGCTTGCGCTATGCCGCCTTGAGCGTGTCTGCTGACAAGGGTGCAGTTGGCTCAATCTCGCTCTCTTCTCCTTTCGAACGTTCTCGCTGGCGATTATGATGGACGCTACCCTGCGGGTTCTACCGCTTCTGCGACGCTGTACTCGGATGCTGTCGCTGCGTTTCATGCGGGTTGGCTATCGCTGGCGTGCGAACCTGGATGTAAAGCGACTCGATGGAGTTGTTGAAGGTAAATAACAATGTGTGTTCATTAGACTGCTGGCTACACTATGGACGAAGCTAGTACTACATGGGAAGGAGTTCTCTCAGTGGTTTGAATACATTGTATCAACACGGTCAGTCGTCGTAATGCGCTGTTCGGAATTAGCATGGTTGTGACATCATCGAGAACTCGGCTGTTGCTCTTTTCTCTACTCGGCAAAATCCAAAATGACCTTTCGTGGCAGCGTGCCAGCGAATGATTGGCCAGCGTGGCCCTTTTCGTATCCGGAGTATCCGGATATCGGTCCTAGGAAAAGGCACCAAAAGTCCTAAATAGGAGACGCCTTCGCGGGTTCCGAGCAAATTCGACGATTCGCATGGCCGGAAGAGAAGCCGATCGCCGCGTCGCCGCCAAGCTGGCCGAGGCCTGCCGAGAGACGGCGGCAGAAGCCGTCGCTGCGACGCTCGCGTCTGGCCAAGCGTCAACCGTGTACCACAACCGCGGCAAGTTTGCCAGCCGCAAAGAGGTAGGCGATGACGCCATTCCGACCAACTCGATGCAACATCACCGCTGTACAGGCACAAGCCGCCAAGATTGCCGCTGCCAAGGCCAAGCGCGAGGCCAAGGAAGGCAAAGCCTAGAGATGACACTTGACTATCCATACAGCGTGGCATACGCCCATGACCTTGACGCAATGCTCCTAAAGGCTCGTATGGCTCTGCGTGCGAGGCTCGCAGCCGCCAAGTGCCACCCTCAAACAGTTCGTACCGCCATGGAAAGCCTAGCATAGCTCGCGAATAGCACCACTTGGCGAGCCGCGAGTCGCCCTCGCCGTCTCGCAGCGTTATGGCCTCCTTCTCTGTTGCTGCTAGGTGATGTCCCTTGTCAACGCCCACATGCGCGATCGAGCTCATTGATCATTCCGGGTATAAAAGACTCATGGAGCAATGACCGACCTCTCGACCTCTCAAAGCAACGACCTCTCGACCTCTCAAAGCACCGACTTCACTCGCCCAGTGGTCCGTTGGTCCGGCCGTGAACTTCACTCACCAAGCATCGAGCCAAGGCGATATGGGACAATGCAGCAGGCCTATTCAGGGACCAGCACTCGAAGCGGCGCGGGAGCCAGCGAGCAAGCAAGCTCGTCTCGTAGACGCAGAGCCTTTCTTCTGGCGACGGCTGGAAACGTGGCAGCTTGCGACGAAAGATCGCGTGGGTGTCCGGATACACGAATTATCCGTACGCTGCCGCCCAAGCCTGTTGGGCCACTCGACGCTTCGAATTAAATTATGCGTCGCTTTCTATAGGAATTTTAATAAAATGCGAGAATTTGCACTCGGCGCTTGCCCCAGAAGAGCACGGATTGTGATGACGACGCCATTTTGGCTTTCGACGACGAAGCGGGTCGCCGACGAAGACGCAACGAGTCCGCCGACGAAGAAGCTCAAGACGATGGAGAGCCTGGAAGGAGATGCTGGCTTCATGGACAAGTACAGCCGGCAGATCGGCGCCTTTGGCCTCGAGACCATGGCCAAGGTACACGAGATGCGATGGCCAAACCGCTCATGCATGCGTCCTTCTTAGCTTGTGAAGCTCAAGGTGCTCATCGTGGGCATGCGTGGCGTCGGTATCGAGTGTGCCAAGAACCTCGTCCTCGCCGGGCCCGGCGCCGTGACCATTTACGACGGTAGATCATCCTATCTGGTCGTGCTGGGGTGCTCAGCGCTGTGTAGACGAGATCACCGACATTAAGGACGTTGGCGTCAACTTTTTTTTGACCGAAGACGACGTTGGCACACCCCGCGCCGCCGCCGTGGCGCACCGCGTACGTCCTTACCGCGATGCCATGTATACTGACGACGCGACGTGTGTAGCTTGCCGAGCTCAACAAGATGGTGACGCTCAAGGTGCACACGGGCAGCCTCACGGAGGACGTCGTCGCGCGCCACAACGTGGTGGTCTTTACGCACTCGCGCCGCGCCGAGCTCGCGCGCTGGAACGCGTTTTGCCGCGCGCAGTCGCCGTCAATCGGCTTCATCGCGTGCGACATTCCTGGCGCGTTTGGCTACGCGTTCACGGACTTTGGCCCGGCGTTCACGACGCACGACGCGACGGGCGAGAACCCGATCACGCGCATCATCACCGACATCTCGAGTGACGCGGACGGCCTTGTGTCGCTCCTCGGGCCCGACGAGGACGGCAAGATGCACGAGCTCCCGGATTCGGACCACGACGGCTGGGTCGAGATCAGCGAAGTCGAGGGCATGGTCTGCCTCGACGACCCGTCCCAGAGTATCAACACCATGGGTCCGTACCGCATCAAGTTTGCGACAAAAAAGGTGTTCCGCAACGGCAAGCAGGTCGAAGTCTTCGACCCGTACCGCTTTCACATTGTCGGTGGCACGGACCGCTTCTCGCCGTACCTCGGCGGCGGCATGTTTACGCAATCCAAGCAGCCGTTCACGACGTCCTTCCGCTCGTTCCGCGATGCGCTTGTCTCGCCCGTGCACCCGGGCGACTACGGTCTCATGTTCACCGACGGCGCCAAGTTTGGTACGCTTTTTCCCGCTTTTTGTTGTTTTTTTCCCGCTTTTTGTTGCCTTTTCCCGCTTTTTGTTGTTTTTCCCGCTTTTTGTTGCTTTTTCCCCGCTTTTTGTTGCTTTTTCCCCGCTTTTTGTTGCCTTTTCCCGCTTTTTCTTCTCTTACTAGAATGGGATTGACGCAGTACGCTAACGTAGGCCGCGCCGAGCAGCTCCATCTCCTGCTCTGGGGCCTCATGAAGTTTGAGGAGACGTACGGCCACCTCCCCCGCGTGTACAACGCCGACGACGCGGCCCACGTTGTATGTGCTTGCTTTGTCTCTCGGGCTTTTCAAAGTCTGAGCTATTCGGTGGCGTTGTAGGTGGCTTTTGCGAAAGAAGGTCTGCCGGCGCATGACGACATTGAGCCCCTGACGCTGGAAGAGCTCGATGAGAAGCTCTTGACGCAGCTCGCACAGGTGGCGTCGATCGAGCTCCACCCGCTCGCTGCCTTTTACGGCGGTATCGTCGCCCAGGAAATCGTCAAGTTTACCGGCAAATTTACGCCGCTCAAGCAGTGGATGCACTTGGACGTGGTCGAGGTGCTCCCCGAGGTGATCCCGACGGATAACGCGCCGCAGCAGTCACGCTACGACCACTTGCTTCAGCTCTTTGGTGCCGACTTTCACGCCAAGCTCGGTACGCCTCGTTAGCTTGTTGGGCTAGGGTTGCTCATGGTGACGTAGGCAACAGCCGGACGTTCCTCGTCGGCTGTGGCGCGCTCGGCTGCGAGTACCTCAAGAACTTTGCCATGGTCGGTCTCGGCTGCGGTCCGGACGGGCTCGTGACGGTCACGGACAATGACCGCATCGAAGTGAGCAACCTCAACCGCCAGTTCCTCTTCCGCGAGCACAACGTCGGGCAGCCCAAGTCGGTGGCCGCGACGCAGGCCGTGCGGTCGATGAACGCGTCGCTCAAGGTCAAGACGCTCGAGCAACTCGTCGCGCCGACGACCGAGCACGTGTTCCACGACGGCTTTTGGTCCGACTTGGACTTTGTCACGAACGCACTCGACAACGTCAAGGCGCGCCTGTACGTCGACAGCAAGTGCGTCTTTTACAAGAAGCCGCTGCTCGAGAGTGGCACGCTCGGCACCAAGTGCAACGTGCAGGTCGTGCTGCCGTTCAAGACGGCGTCGTACGCTGACGGCCCGAAGGACGCGGCCGACGACAACATCCCCATGTGCACGCTGCGCAACTTTCCGTCTCTCATCGAGCACTGCATCGAGTGGGCCCGGGCCCAGTTTGAAGACGTGTTTGTCGTGCCCTTTGGCGACGTGGCCAAGTTTGCGGCCGACCCGAGCACGTACATTGAGACGGTCCGCAAGGCGACGCTCGACCACCCGAACCAAAAGCAAGGCGCGTCGGCCATTAGCCACGAGCTCGAACGGTACATTGTGCGTTTGTATCTTTCGTTATGTAGCACCTGTGGGTAGGGTCCGCGCGCTGCACAAGCTGGTGATGACGCCGGACGTGGACTTTGACGCGTGCATGGAGATGGCGCAAACGCTCTTTTGCTCGCTCTTCCGCGACCGCATTTTGCAGCTCATTCACAACTTTCCCGAAGAGCACTTGACCAAGACGGGCGAGCGCTTCTGGTCGGGCGCCAAGCGGTTCCCCCAGGCGGCGACCGACCTCAATTTCGAAGATTTCCCCAACCATTTGGACTTCGTGCGGTCGGCCGCGAATTTGTATGCGGTCAACTTTGGCTTGCAGCCGCTGCCCGAAGCTGAGACGGTGCCGCCGCACTCGCTCCTCCGCGCGCCGGCGACGTTTGCCGAGTTTGCAGTCGCGCACGAGCTCCCCGAGTGGGCGCCGTCGACCGAGACGATCGCTGAAAACGACGAGGAGCTCGCAGCGCAGCAAGCCGCCAAGACGGGCAACGACGCCGAGGCGACCGAGCTTGCGACGCTTCTCGAGGCGCTTGCGAGCTTGTCGCCCGAGGCGCTCGCGCACTGCAACCGGTTGGTGCCGGCCGACTTTGAGAAGGACAACGACGCCAACTTTCACATTGACTTTATCGCGTCGGCGGCGAATTTGCGCGCGTGGAACTACCGCATCAAGCCGGTCTCGCGCCACAAGTGCAAGATGATTGCGGGCAAGATCATTCCTGCGATCGCGACGACGACGGCGTCGGTGACGGGCCTTGCGATGATCGAGCTGCTCAAGATCGTCCAGGACAAGAAGCTCGACCAGTTTAAGGACTCGTCCAACTCGCTGGGCCTCAACATGTACCTCCTGCAAGAGCCGGCCGAGCCGGAGAAGGCCAAGGACGAGTACGATCCGATCGAGATGGCCGACGTCAAGTGCAAGCCGCCGGGCTTCACCAAGTGGGACGCGACCATGCTGCGTGTGCCAAGCGAGGTTACGACGGCCGAGTTCCTCGACAAGCTCCAAGAAACCACGGGGCTGACGTGCAACTTGCTCTTCCACGCGGCCGCCGAGCTCGGGGACGCCGACCCCAAGTTTAGCCCCGTGCGCGGCCTCATGCTCTACGACCGCAACGCGTTCAGCGCGAATCTCAAGGCCCTCTACAACGAGAAGCTGCAGACGCCGCTGCGCGCGTGGGTCGCCGAACGGTACCAAGGCCTCGTCGACTGCGACCGCCCGTTTGTCGAGTTTCAAACGTCGTGCTCGGACGACGACGACGTGGTTTACAAGATCCCGACCGTGCTCTGCCGCTTTGAGGCCTAAGTCCGAATGCATATTGGCCCCGTCTTTGCGTTACTGGCCCCACGTCCATGGACAGAGAGTTTGTAGCGAGGGCTAGCACTTACGAGTAGCGAGGGCTAGGGTCTACGAAGAAGCGCACCGATTCTTCCCTACACCTCGAGCGACACGAGTTGCCTGGTGAGATAGAAGACCCTAGTCTCGACAATATTGTCCATGGTGAGGTGGACCGGAGACAGACCCAGTTCCATGTCTGGTCTAAAATTAGGAATCCGTCGATGAAGGACGCCGTGGACCCAGAGGACCCGGCGTACTTGACACGGCATGCGCAGAGTCAGCTCGACCTCGGCGGCACCGCGGCCGCCAAGACGATCCGCAAGCTCGTGAACGAGCGCACGTCGACGCGCATTCAAGAGCGGGCGGCGACGTCGTCGTCGGTTGCGTACCCGCCATCGCGGGGCATGGCCAAGTACACGCCACGCTTTCTCCAAGCATGCAAGCGCCTCTTTGCGCGTTGCGAGCGCGACGTCGGCGGCCACTCGATGGCGCTTACGGCGTTGCGGCAGCTCACGTCGACGGGCGCGTTCGCTGTCGATCGCCATACGCTGGACGCGTGGCTGCAGCACCCGCGCGCCGACGACGCGCGTGTCGCCTTTGGCGAATTTGTCGACGCGTGCTACTGCTTTTACGGCCTCTGCCTTGAGGACCGCCTGGCGAGCGAGACGAGGCATGGCGGTGGCAATGCCGAGCACCCGTTCGCCTTGGCATGCACCCGCGACAAAGAAGCCCGCGCCTTCTCGCCCCGCGAGCACGTCCGTCGACGCAACCCTGTACGTAGCTGTGTGGCGAGGCGGGTGACACTGCAGGATGGCGCGTAGATGAAGGCGCAGCAAGAGCGCGACGCCAACGACGTCGTGTGGCTCGCGCAGAGCGGCTGCTTGCGTGCGTCCAAGAGCCAGCCTGTACTGCGCACGAGCTTGAGCGCGTCGTGCTTGGCCAAAAATGTATGCAAAATCACACTGAGTCGTTTGGCGGGACGTCTGCGGTAGGAGGCCGACGTGGCGCTGAAGCGCGACAAGGTCGTGGCGCAGCGAGACGACGCGTTGCGGCAGCGGTGCGTAGAACACCGAGCGGCTCTTGCGACCTTATGGCACGTAGGGAAGCAGTGCAGGCCAACGTCGCGCTCGCCCAGCACTTCAGCGCCAACGTGGGCATGGTGGCGAGGCATGTTCAGATCGGCGGTGCGTTGGTTCCGTGATGGCGCCGGCGGAATGGATGACATTGTAGAGATCACGGAGAAGCGACATGTGCATGCGCGCGCCAAGAAAGCGCGCTTCGAGGTCAACAAGCAAGCCATGGAAGAAGCCAGTGCGTGCGCCAAGGCCTTCACCAACGTATGTGACAAGGGTTGCAGGACTGGAGCATGAACCGGTGGGTGTAGCGCACGAAGCTCTCCAAGCTCGAGGGCGTCCAGGAAGCGCGGCGCGACGTGCAGCATGATCTTGTGACCCTCCGCGAACGCAAGGTGGACTGGATGCTCAGTGAAGTCGATGGATGTCATGTTGTATCACGTAGCACTACCGGGCCGAGATGATTCGGCGACATAAGGCGCTCTTCAACCTCTCCGAGTCGACGTGCACGCTGCATCGACGGCCACCAGAGTTGCTCGCCGCGCTCTCTCGGGCGCACACGGAGGCCGAGACGCGGCGTCTCGCCAAGGTGGAGCAGCGCTTCTTTGAGCAAAGCTTGAGCCAGCAACTGCGCGAGTACAAGCATGACAAGGAGCATGCACTCAAGCAGACAGTGCACCCGCCTGTGCCCGCGGCCATGATCCACCTCGACCAGCAAGATGACGGTGGCGCGTGGGAAAACGCTGAGGCCAAGCTGACGGCCGCCATGGACGCGCTACTGCAGACGTGGATCGATGACCAGCGCGACTTGAGCTGCTTGCTGCCCACGGCCAATACGCCACCGGCCGCGCTACGCTACTTTGGCAAGGCGCGCGACGTGCCACCCAAGCCATTCCAGTCGTCTGCAGACCGAGGACTCTAACTACGCGATCAACTTGAAGCCGCCTCGCCCGTCTCTTCCGCGTATCGCATCCCAAGGCCCATGCATTCAGTGGGATGCAAGCGGCGCCAGTAGGCCATGTGCGTACATTAGGTCGTCGGCGCGCCCATGGTGGAGCTAGCGCCGCCGGGAGAGTCCGTCCTCGCAGCATCTGCCGGCTCGGAAGCGTCGGCCGTTTCCTGGGTCTGCGCGTCGTCCACCGAGCTGCCTCGAAACGATTGGTGGAAAAAGTCGACGAACAGCGATGATTGGTGTACATTTGGATGTTCGAACGCATTTTGGCCAATCATCGGTCGTAAAAAGAGATGCAGTCGTAATCTCCCGCTGGTTTAAAAACGCATACAAAAAACAAGTGTAATTTCAAGCCCCAAAAGCCGCGAAAGATCAAGAGCCCATTCCAAGACGGGCGACGATGGACCAATACGACCACATCCGGGTCATCGGGAAGGGCAGCTTCGGCGTCGTGAGCAAGATCCGGCGCCAGACCGACGGCAAGGTACGCCCTCCATGCGATGCGGCGGCCGACGCAGCATGCGTAGGAGCTCGTGTGGAAGGAGGTCGGCTATGGCCAAATGACCGAGAAGGAGAAGCAGCTCATCGTGAGCGAGGTCAACATCCTGCGCGAGCTGCGCCACCCGCACATCGTGCGCTACCTTGACCGCGTCATTGACAAGCAGTCGTCCAAGATCTTCATCGTCATGGAGTACTGTGAGGGCGGCGACTTGAGCCAGCTCATCAAGCGCAAGCGCCGCGAAGGGTACGGCGAGGACCTTGTTGGCACCGACGACTCATGCACTGGCTAGGTCGACCATCGAAGAAGCCTTCATTTGGCAGGTGTTTACGCAGCTCTATATGGCCTTGAAGGAGTGCCACCGGCATCGCGAAGGCAGTACTGTCCGGCCAATCCTGCACCGCGACATCAAGCCTGGCAATATATTTCTCGACGCTCAGGTATTGCCGCCGACTGCAAACCACGATGAGGCGCTCATGTCTATGTTACTAGAGCAACGCCAAGCTTGGCGACTTTGGCCTCGCCAAGGAGCTCAGCAGCGAGTCCAAGTTTGCGCAGACCAACGTCGGAACGCCGTACTATATGAGTCCGGTACAGTGCTTCGTATATCGCGGCGCGTCTGACGTAAGCGCACAGGAAATGGTCAACGAGATGACGTACGACGAGCGGTCCGACATTTGGGCCCTGGGTTGCTTGCTCTACGAAATGGCGGCGCTTGCGTATGCATGATCGGTCGCTCTATAAACTGACCCTGCTGTAGACCACCCTTTGATGCGACCAACCAACTCGCCTTGGCCAAGAAGATCAACGCCGGCAAGTTCGCCCGCATCCCCGACGCGTACTCGGAAGACCTGTTTCAAGCCATCAAATGGATGCTGCACCGCCAGGTGGACGCTTTCGGTGGCCTGCCTGTATGACTGACAACGCTCGTAGCGGTCACGCCGGCCACGGATCGAAGACCTCGAACGGATCCCACAACTGGCGCGTCGTCTGCAGACGTACTCCATGTCCCTGGCCGAAGCGTCGCTTCACGAAACGTACATGCTGCAAGAAGCGTGCGTCGCCCATGCTTGTCCCTAGGTACACGGCCAAAATGAAGGAGCTTCTTGCGATCGAAGAGGAATTGCGCCGGCAAGAAGCCGTGCTTCTCGTCCGCGAGAGTCAAATCAAAGGTACTTGTACGACAAAGTATCAACTCTGTATCAATGCGTGGTGCCACAGAGGCTGAAGACGACTTGCGACGACGAGAACTGGACGTCAAGAAGCGCGAGCGCCTGTACCCATGTATAGCGCCGTGTCCATCGTGCTCACCGCATCCTAGGGTCGAAACACTCTCTCGAACGTACTCGAACTCGTCGCCCAACAACTCGTCGTGCCACTCTGGCAGCTCCGACCACAGCCCCGTGTGCAGTCATTGCGGGTCGTCTTCGTCGTACAGCGGCAACAACAACGACGTCCATCTAAGTCTCCCGACGCCGCCGCGGAAAAGCCGGTCGTACGAGTCGGCGTCGCTCAAGGGCACGCCAAGCCGACACTTCCGCTTCGACGAGTACTCGCCGACCAAGTACACGCCGCCGCCGACGTCCCGCTACTACCCTTCGATCGAGTCGCCCGTGAAAAAGTCCCATCACGCTCTGGACCGATATTACCAGCAGGCGTAGTCGTCGCCAGCGATAGTCGTAGCTCTTAGTCGTCGTCGTCGTAACCCGTTAGGCTCACCTTCTTTCAATTCTTTCTCTTGCCATCGTTGTATCAGCACATACTAGTATCAACTAGGTATCAATATATTTAGATATATAAGAGATCTTAGGTCACGCGGATCTGCAGGAGCGATTCGACTTTGGTGCGGCAGATCGGGCACGTGCTGCCCGGCTTCTTGAGCGCCTCTGAGCACTCGAGGCAGATGCACATGTGTCGACATGGCAAGATGGTCGTGTTCCGCGGCTCGCAGAGGCAGATGATGCACTCGGCGCCTTCGAGGACGTCGTCGGTGGCCGCTGCTTTGGCCTCGGCATCGCCGTCGGTCGGTGACTTGGGCGCGGCAGCTATCGAGCCGTCCATACCGTAAATCTCTTGGAGCTCGTACGTTTGGCCTTGGACTTGGACTTTTTGCTTGAGGATGTGCGCCTTGAAGGTCGTATCGTCGCCGCGCGTCACCTTGGGGAACGAGAGGAACGTCGACTGCTTCTGCGGCGGCGACGGGCCGTCGACATGGACTTGAATCTCGACGATGAGCGGAAACGTTGTCGTGTTGGCTTGGTGCGTCGTCTCGAGGATGGGCCACGCGGCGAGGTCGAACGGCGGCGTCGCAAAGCTTTGGCCGAGCGCTGCCGGGTACACGGGCAGCGGGTCCGGGTTCGGGTTGAGCTCGGGCTTTTTTTTGAGAAAGCTCGAGTTGCCGTCGTCGTCAATGGTCTCGAGTGCGTTGAAGTAGAGCAAGATGCTGCAGGGCTTGGCGCTGTCAAAGAGGAACTCGAGCACGCACTCGCCGGTCGCCAACGTCGTGAGCGCGACCGACTGCTTCTTCAAATTGACGTCGTTGCGCACGGTCGTTGTCTCTTGCATCTCGGGCGCGGCCTGGAACGCGGCGCCCATCTGCGACTGGAGAAAGCCCATGTCGGCGCGGCCGCGGCTCATGTACAGCGCCTGCATCTGCGCCTGCGTGTACATGACGGGCGGCGCCGACGGATTGCCGCTCGTCGGGTCGCCGTACAGCGGCGGCGGGTTGTTGCCGTGGCGGCCCGCCGACCCGTGGTTGTGGCGGACGATGCTGCCCGAGACGCCCATGCTCAGTTCTTGGTCGTTAATTGCCGACGCTGCGCTATTTTGGGTTTTTTCCGGAAATATCAAGTGGAAATATCGACAGTATTGCGCAATATCACTCGACATTGCTATGACTATAGCGACAAGGAATCGCAAAACGAGCATTTGCCAAGGCGAATGCTACGAGTTCTTAGAGCTCTTGGGCCATGAGCTTCTACTTGGTACCCACCGTTGCCGACTGCGACTTGAGAAGCCAACGTGGGGTCTCTGCAGTCCCTGACGTACACACCGCAGCCACCACGAGCCTACCGACGACCGGCACTGCTCGCATGGCCCTGCTAGTACGGATATAGGGCCTAGCGAGCAATACCTGTAGGTAGATACAGGGCGCCATACTTTATCGACGGCTTCCAGAGGGGCCACATCGCCACTTCAAACCCCGTGGGTCAGCTCCGTGGGCCCTGCGCGTCAGTGGCTGCATTCGATTGCTTTGTCGAGCTGTCCAGTAAGCAAGTCGTACGACTGCGCTGTGTTGAGCAGCCGATCCCCACGGTCCTAAACGCTCGACAATCCGAGCCGTCGTGTGCAGTGCATTGTGGTACTAGGTGCTTGGGACATTCGATGGTTTGCTTCTGGTTCGCAGCTACTTACGACCTTGGCCGACGCCATTGTCAGCTACAAGTACACACGCCGAGACTATACTGACTGTACGACGCGCGGAATCCGAGCCAAGAAATGACCGCCAGCTGCCAACGCGGCGCCTGTGGCCGCACGAATCGTGCCACGTCGCCCTCCTGTCGCACGCGTTCTTCTTCTTCGAGGCAGTAAAAAGAGGGGGCAACGGACAAACGGGACAAAAATGCCGGGACAAAATGCTCAGAAATAAAAGTAGCTCCAAAGTAGCTCGTCAAAGAAGCGTGACCGACCATGTAGCATCTGTGAGTCGCAACGGAGCTTGCCAGATCCAGACTACGCAAAGAATGCCTGTGGGGTGGGCACAGGATGTGGCCGACCCGACTCGTTGGTTGTTGGTCGAACCACGAACCCAAGAGGGCCGGACGACGACCGCTATCATTCGAGGCTCCGAGGATTACGTAGTAGTACTTAGTTCTGTCGATCGAAGCCACCTGAGAACGCGTGCACGCTCGTCATTGACGCCGTCGATCAACGTGAATGGCGCACTTCAACCTCAAGTTTGATTCGTAGTTCGAAGAGAATTCAAACAAAGCGTGCAATGGGATTGGTCCACTTGCGAAGTTGAGCAGTCGAAGGATTGATACACGGCTCCGTGCCGGGAAAGCTAGCGCCATGACAGGCTGTGCCAGAGCCAAGCGAGCAGGTTACAGGGCAACACGCGAGGCAAGATGCGGACAAAGACAGCGCAGGATGCGGCGCATAGGCAGTGCGAGCACAACGGCATGCACCCTCGTCTGTCACGACCAGCGTCGTCTGCCTGCGCGTCGTACAGTGTACGCCGTAGCTATAGCTCGGCGTGGTAGCTGCCGGCTACCGACCAATACGACGGGGCGAGCAAGCTTGTCGCGGTTAGACAGATGTGGCTGCAACCTGGCGCCATGCTTCGATGGTTTTATCCCCTCTGGTCGCACGCACGGTCAGCGCGGGGATCGACAATTAATACCGTAAAACGACGACGCTTGTACAGTAGATATATGTACTAGTACCGGTACGACGACGGGCAGCCATCTTGTCTGTCCTCCCAGAGTCTGGGAGCTGATTGATGGTACCCGCCGAGCCTGCTCATGCACGCAAGCCGCCCACATTGCCCAAGAGCATGAATTGCATTTTGACCAATCCCATCGCATTCCACGGAATGGACCAATCATACGCCGGTATGCACTTTTGAATGGCCAATGAACGGCGGCGAAGACGAATGATCGGTGCAGAGTGGGCCGCCGGCGTTCGTCGCGCAGTTTGTTTGGGCGGCCGCCATTCTTGAGGCGGCGCCAGCTGGGCACGCGCGACACGGAAGACGAGGTGGTCGCGAGGAAGCAGCACTGCATCCGATGATGATGAAGCAGAACACGGTGAGTATTAGATGCTGCAACGAAAAGCTAACACTTAGGCTCGAATAAATAGGCTACAGTAGGGTGTTGAGGCCGGAAGAGTCTTCGATCGACAAATGCGCGGACGCTCGTTAGTGCACGAGCACGACGCGGGTGCCGTGCTTGGGGTTCATGCCAAAGTACGTCGCTTGCTGCGACCGCGCCGACGACGGGCGCGTCGGCGTCTTGGCGAACCGGTTGTCGCTGCGCTGCGATGAGAGACTCGACATGGTTGTGCTGGACGGCGACGACCCGACCGGCGACTGCATCGGCGACCGCAAATTGCTGAACCGCGCCTTGATGCCGCTCTGAACGCTGCCGCGGTCGCTGGCGCCGCTCGTGCTCGGACGGTACTTGGCCGTGTCACAGCACACGATGCACACATCGAGCTTGGTGTGGCCTTGCTTGTCGAGCGTCGCGTTGCGCTCTTGGGTGCATTTCGAGCAGACGACGACGCCGCACTTGCGGCAGTGGATCTTGCGCGAGAGGAGGTGGAACGCCTTCCGGCACACGTAGCAGGAGGCGACCGACGCTTTCGGGACAAGGTCCAAGTCGCCCAAGAAACCCTCCGCGTTCATGCGGCGGTCGTGGAGGATGTCGTGAAGCACATGGAGGTTGTTGACGTGGCGCTTGATGTTCATGCACTGCGTCCAGCTCGGCATGTTGCTCTTCGGGTCCATGCACATGACGGCGACAACATCGATGCAGCCCGGCGTCGCCGACTCGGTAAAGAGGTGGCCCGAGCCGTAGATTGAGCCGCGGACGTAGCCGCCGTGGGGCACTTCGAGCGACGGGTACGCGGGCGACGCGAACGACTGGAGGCTGCGCGCCCAGCCACGGCGACCCGTGCTGCTCACAAACTCGTCTTGGGCCTGGAGAAGGCAAAAGTCGCGCGGGCGGAAGAGCGCGGACGGCGCCATGCTGTACGCCTGCCAGAGGAGCTGCACCGAGTGCATTGGGTTGTACTCGGTCGGCGCCTCGAGCGTCTTGAGCACCTGCATGTCGAGCAGATGCGGGTGCAGCTGCTTGTGCAAACTCTTCATCTCGGACGAGTCGTTCATGTTGCCATGGAAGAGGTCCACGACCTCCTCCAACGACCCGCTCACTTGCGTCACGGCGCAGTACATGATGGGCTCGGCCGGCGCCGGCGCCGCTTTCGTAAACATGTTGGACCACTTCGACGCAAGCTTCTTGGAGCGGCGGACGCGGTACACGGAGACGCTCGCCTCGTCCGACTCGAGGTCCCACGTGTAGCGCGAGCCTTCGCGCGTCGAGAGCTCGAGCAGGTTCGCCAAGCACTTGCGCGAGCTCTTGAGCAGCAGCGCCGTCTCCTCTTGGCCGAGGCGCTTGTTGCTGCGGAACGACGGTGCCATGATCAAGACGAATTCAAAGTGGGCTCATCAAGCTTTGGAACCCAAGCCATATACAGGCGGTACCAGCTGGCCCAGTTCGTCAGCGGTGGATGTCGCAGGGACAAACCATCGGGGCCAAAAGGACAAAAATAAATAAGGTTTTGTATTTAATTGGGTGCGATCTTGCGACAGCACGTGGCTCTCGTCCCACAGACACGCAACCTTCGACACGACCACAGCACCGCATGTCCTGCTTGCGTTTGGGTGTGAAAGGTATGGCTCAAGGCTCTCGAAGCATCGTCGTCGGCAGCAGGACCTCCTGGCGCAATGCGTTGGGTCCCGCGCCAGATCCAGATTCGAATCCCATTCAGTTGGGACCCAAAAGCCGGTCAATTCCACGTCGACTGCACCGTTCGTGGCTTTGTTTGCTGCAACGTTATTATTTTTGTCCCGATCCCAGCCACCGCTCGATGGATCAATCCAAACCTGAAGTACAACGCTGCCGCTGGCGCCAGCATGAGCTATCATTTCAGTACTGGAGACGGCGGTGGAATGGTCGTCGGCCTGACCACAAGCCGACCACCGTCAGGTGCCTGCGGTGTGACCATCGCCCTTTATCGAAGCGTACGCAGAGAGATCACCCTCCCGAGATCACGTGCAGAGGATTATTCGAAGCCCGTGGCTTCGATAGAATTTACGCCGACGAGGTCCGCCGAGACGGAGAGGAGTGAATACGGACCAACCACTTGCTGGCGTGCGCGGAGGTTGTTGGAGTGGGTTCTGAAGCGGCGTGCTTGACTTCTTTGGACTCGAAGGCGGCTTTCAACCCACGCGCGCTGGCCCTAGGCACACGATTGGCGGCATATTCACCCATAGTACAAGCCACGAATTCCGTAAGACGCTGCAAGTGCCATTGTCGCCGGACCAAGCCCCGTGAAAAAAATCAAACCGCAACGGGATCTGGTGAGTAACCTCGTTCTGATAGTTCCGATAGCGCTCTGATAGCGCTTGGGAATGAAAACTTCAGTCACATTCCGCTCTGGACGTGCGGTGAGGCTGTTGAGAAGGTGTTGTTCCGACAACGGCCAACAACGATAAGCTCTCGAGAGTCGTTGGGTGGGCAGGAAGGTTTGTGCTGGTGTATGGCGTGCGTGTGGTGGCGACGATAAAATTCCTACAGTTGTGGGACCGCGTCGAATGGAATAGTTGTCGTCCTCCCCTCGCAGAGAAGAGCCAACAGTCAGCTGGAGGTCCAGGCAACGAGCGTGTTGGCGTAAGCCCTGCCCAAAGGTGAGCTATTGGACGTCAAGCAAACCCGCCTCCCTCCTCTGAAATGGTGGGCACCGATGCTGTTCTTGCCCCAACGTCAAGTCTTGTGTGAGGAATCAGAAACCCTTCTGGGTGCGAGCTACTACAAGTACATTGACAAGAGAGTTTACGAGGGAAACCTCGCGGTTCTCGCTGTGAATGAACGTGTGTTGTAATCCGCTGGACAAAGTTGTCAAAGGCTCTAGGGCCTTTATCCGGATCCGAGCCGCATCCGGATAAAGATCGAGCTCTGTGGCAACCTTTCAAGATACGCGCGATCTTGAAGAGCCAAATTTCCCCGCCAATAGCGGAGACGGCTCGACGCCATTCATTCATTCATAGCAGCGAGGTGACCATTAGAAGTGGATCTCTGAGCGGATAATTCATGCTTGAGTGTATCTGCTGACGAGCAAAGAGTAAAAGTTGAGTCGTACTCTCTTGCGTTGGGCGAGGTATCCCTCTCAAGGCCTCGATGACGGTTCAGTGTCCGACAGCGAACGTGCTGACATGCAATGTAGCGATGCTTGGCGTTCGGTGACGTTGCGATCTGCGCTCATGGCACGCAGACGAGTTTTTTTAGTGAGCCAAGAAGACGTGCTTGGACGCTCGGTGCGGAGAGCAGCATGCAGTAGTCTGTCAGCCATGGAAACCAGAGAAGGACAGTAACGCAGCACAAGGTAAAGCAAGGGCGGAGGTGAAGAGACATCGCACCGCCTGTATCACAACGCATCATGATCGTCTGTTGCATCGAGGCTGCCAGTCTCCAGTTTCTACTTGGCGGCGTCCGAGACGACGATCTTGACTTTGAAATGAGTCCAACCTTCGGAATACGTGGCAGGCTTGAAGCCATTGGGACATGTGCGTCGTTCATCTACGTATGCAGTACCTACTTGTAGTTTGACATGCTCAGTACCTGGCTCGTCGCGCTGTGGTGCCATCGCTTGACGAGTCGCTCAGCGCTCACCGAGACGACCCTTGGTGCGCGCTACCTTGTCCCTCGCACAGCCTCGAACCCCGAATCACGAACGCTCCTCGCTTCGCACCGGCCACACTTCACGAGTGCATTAGGAAGTACTACACCGTATCGTAATAGCAACAACAACACTTATAGCTCCAGTGCCAGTCCAGGTGACTCGAGAAAACCCGGCGTTTGCGTACGGCACCTCGCTCAATGCATGCTAGTACTCGAGCAAAAAGATACGTGAACCGACAGCTGTGAGTTCAAATTTGGCGCCGCGTCAAATTCTTCTCGAGTTGCTGAATTCGAATTTTGTACATTTGCACCTTAGACGAGAGGCTCGAAACCATAAACAACGTTTGTGTGCCAGCAGCACTCCTCTGGACTGACATGCACTATGGACGACGCAAGCATAGTCTAGTCACGTCTTTCGGCGCGAAAATAGACTTTCCACATCAGCCGTTCAGGTTGAACTCAGTTTTCACCTCCAGTTCTAAACAAAAATAGAAACCGTATTGTGTTCAAAATGGTTTCTAAAATCCTTCTTGGCAAGACAACACTGTACTGTACTGAAGGCGGCTCCGTCGCGACCAAAAATGCTCGTCTAAAAATTATGCACGTACCAGGGTTCGAAGTGGCGACCAAGTTACTCTTCTGTACGCAAATTTCGACGCAGATATTGTGGATAACTCACAGCAATTAACGTCGCCACCTGGTCCGATCGATAATGGGACGAGACTGAAGCACCTGAACGAATATGGTAGCTGGCCAAAACACCAGGGAAGAGCGTGCGACTATGCAGTTGCAAGAGAAGTGGGCGCTGTCCCCCCCATTTTTTCTTGTGGAGAAAAATTATACTTACGTTGAATAACATTTCTCGCTGGGGTATCATGGCAAGAGTCCCAAAAGCATCGAAAGGGCTGAGCCCAGCAACTACTACGGTTGCCCGCTAAGCTTTGCAATCGTCCAAACTTGCATCCTTTTTAACGAGGCGGATAGTGCCGATTCTTATTCTTACTGCGACGCGCTGGTCTGCTTGAGGTATTTTTTCGGGGGCTGGAGGCGGCTTGCGCCAACGTCGACGAGGTCCAGCTTCCGCTTTGGGGAGCCGAGGGCCATGGCGTCGACGCCATGTCCGTCATGGACGGTGAACGTAGGAAAGGATGCGTCGTGCGGCCGCTTCCGGGGCGTGGCGCCCGACGACATGGTATCGGTCTTGAGCCCTTGCAGCAGCGCGCCCGCAGCTTCGTCTTGCCGCACGACGTCCGCAGTCAGGTTGGTGGCTTGGACCACCGCTTTAGTCGAGAGCGTTTCTACCTACGCACCCGGTCCAAAGCTAAGATTTCCGATACACGGATACTAGAACGGTACCGTCGTCCGCCACGTTTGGCACGCGTCTTGCACAACCGACGACGACGTCTTGTGGCTTGCCACGTACGCATCTTGCTCGGTCTCGATGCGCTGGAACTGCGTCGCCATCCACTCGGTTGTCGCCTCGAACGCGTCCGCGTGCACCGCGGCTTGGGACGCGAGCTGCTGGTGCAAGGCCGAGACGTGCGCGGTCACTTGATTCTGCAGCGAGGCTTGCAGCTCGTTCGTCGCGTCTGCATGCGCGGCCACCGCACTCTGCACATGCTCTACATGCGACGCGTGCGTCTACACAAAGAGAATCTGCAGCTTGCAAATGCCGCTCGTCAGAACGATATACCGTTGCAAAGGCCGTGACGTGCTCGGTCGTCGTCTCGAGCTGCGTGCCCAGTTTGCCTGCTTGGTCGGCGGCGTCGGTGGCCGCCGCCGCCACGTCACTAGCGACCTGCGCCAGTAGCTTTTGAGCCCCTAGCGCATCGAAAGGTCAAAGGTAGAAGCAGATTGACAGCAGTACGTTCGTCCGAGGCCGAGGCCTGTTCTTCCAGCGACGACGACGTGCCCGAGAGCGACTGCAGCATGGACGAGAGACACGTGTCGAGCTGTGCCTTGAGCGAGGCTTGAAGCGCCTCGACCTGGTGGCGCATCGTCTCCTTCGTAGTCGTCAGCGATGCCACCGCGCTCTGCGTGTCGCGCGCGCGCGTTTGGACTTCGTCTTGAAGCGTGGTCGTGAGGCGACTCTGCGTCGCGTCGAGCATGCTCTCAAGACGCGCCGTGTAGCCTTCCATGCCGACGCGCATCGCGTCACACTCGCGCTGGACGCTGTCGACCACGGCGGCCACCTAACAGATCATCGACTTTTGAGAAATGTCTGCACTGAGCATTGTTGTCGTACCGAGGAGACGCTGACGCGAGTGAGCGCTTCGAGGCGCGACGTAAGGCTCTCGGTGAGCGGCGACAGCTTGTCGATCGCGGCGGCATTGGCAGCTGCCTGCGTCTCACTCAGTGCCTTCTGTTCCATCTGGTCGGCGTGCACGCGCTCATGGCCCCCTTCAACCTTGGCGAGCATCCCCGTGACAAGCGCCGCGAGGTCCTTCTGCACCGATGCAAATTGGTTGGCGACGTCACCGAGCGCGGCTTCGTACGACGTTGCAACCCGGTGCATGTGGCTCGTGAGCGACGTCATCTGGTCGGTTTGCTCCTTCTTTAACGCGTCGACGGCGGTCGTGAGCGCTTGGCACTGGGACGTCGCGTGCGCTGTGTACGCCTGCGTCGTCGCATAGTTGGCTTGCAGCAGCGCCTCTTTTCGGCCTACGACCATACGTCAGCACGTACTGTCAGTGCATGCACGAGGTACCCGCAGCGTCCTGCAGCGCAGCAATGTCTCGAAGCCGGTCCTTGTACAGGGTTGTCGCGATCGCAGCTTGCCGCTGGAGCTCGGTGACGTTGCCTTCCGAGACTTGCAGCGCGGTTTGCGTGCGTTCGAGTTGCGCTTCGCTCGTTCGCAGCTGCACTTCGGTCGCCACGAGCGTCTCGGCCGTAGCTTTGAGCTCCGTCTACGCAGTAATTTGTATCAGACTTGCAATTACGAAGGAGGTAGGTACCTGGGTGGCCGAGAGCTTGCCGTCCAACTCGGTCACTTCGGCTTTGGACGACTCGAGCGCTTCTTCGACTTCGGCCACGAGCGTCGTCTTGATGTCGAGTTCGTCTTCGAGCTCGGCGAGCTTGGAGGAGAACCACGCGAGGCGGTCTTGCATCTCGGCGTACTGGGCGGGCGGTAAGAAGATACCGTCCTTGGCCCGCGCGGCCATGAGCTGGCTACGGAGCGCGTCGATCTCGACGCCATACTCCTTGATCAAGACGTGCTTGGTCATGCGCTGGTTGGCTTCCGGTTTGTTTTTGATGCTCTTGGCGCGATGCGCGTAGTCGAGCGTGCTCATGGTCTCATCAATGCAGTCGCCCGCTAGACACAGCACGCTACATGGGACAAGACGTCGAGAGAGGGCGTACCGGGGCCAAGGGTCGCAATGATCGTCGTCATGGCGCGGCCGCCCAGCGACTCTTGCAAGAGCCGTGTCAGCTTCGAGTCGCGGTAGGGCACGTGCGGGTGCTTGTCGACAAGGGCCGTGATGACGCGGCCGAGCGTGAGGAGACTTTGGTTGATGTTGCCCGCCTCGCGCGCACGAACGTTGCGCGCGCCCGAGCGGCCAATGCACTCGGAGCCGGCCAAGTCGACGAGGTTGAGTGTCCCGCTTCGAATGAGTTCTTCGCCGGGGATGTTGGACTCTTTGCTGTGGATGCGGATGGTAAAGATGCAGTGCGAGCGACTTGACTGGTCGTTGAGCAGCGTCTCGGCCATGATGCGGTTCTTGGAGCCAATCTCGAGGAGCTCAAACACATGCGACGCTGTGAGCGTCGTGACTTCTTCGAGGTTTTGGCAGTACACGCCGCCGCGCTTGGCGTCTTCCATGAGGCGCAGCGGCTTGTCCTTCTTGTTCTCGCCCAGCAAGTCCTTGAGCTCTTCGTTGTAGAGCTGGAGGAACGAGACGCGCACCGAGTACTCGCTCTTCGTAGCCTGGAGCTTGTCGAAGATGTAGTTGACGCTGCGTGGAATGATGCCGGCGTTCTCGTCAAGTGGGCTCAGCTTGCCCTGGATCGTGTGCGTCTTACCCGTGCCCGTCTGGCCGTAGGCGAACACCGTGCAGTTGAAGCCCGCGAGCGCTTCGTCGACCACGCTCTGCACGACGCCCTTGAAGACGTCCTTCTGCGACGCATATTGGCCAAAGACGCGGTCGAAGGTATACGTCTTCTTGCGCACGGTCACCTGGTGCTCCTTGGGCGCGACGGCCACGACGCTCGGCCGCGCGGTCGCCTTCTCCTTGGTCGAGAGCGGGCGGACGCGGACGGCGACGCGGACGCTCTTCTCCATACCGACCTGGAATTCAAAATGAACGCCTCCCGGATACGTGTCCGGATACGGTGGCTTTGAAATGCAGCCAATCAGTGACCACGCAGCGCTCTCTCGCGCTTAATCCTGCTTTGGGATCCGGCGTCGAGCGTGGCGACGACGACGAGTCGCTGACATGCACCAAGTGGCCGACCAGCAATGCATCTGCCCGAGGCTTTCTCCAGCATACAGCGTGCGTGACGACCGACGGTGGTGCAAGGAGTTTGCCTTGCAATCGTCCCGCAGGTTCAACGGTCTGCATCCTGAGCCCAACTAGTCCCAGTAGCAGCAAAACCACGTTTGGCCTTGCTACAGGTAGGAACCTGCGTGAGCCATTATCTTTGCGGATTTGCCGGACGCATGGCACCGCCATCAGCAGTGCCATCCCGATGTACTCGCCCGAGTATAGTGTGACACACTTCCATCAACGGTCCTAGTCAGCACACCGAAACAAAGCGCTGTACACAAGGTAGTTCTCATCAAAGAGCCGCGTCCACGGGCTTCTGCGCGCTGCTTACGGCCCCGAGAGGTCGTAGTTCCACGATGCCCATGCCAGCTTGGGCTTGCCTTGCCATTTTGGCCATCTTTTCAACCAATGCGCACTCGACGTTCAAATTGGTATAGCTTGATTGGTTGAAAGTCGCTGGTAATTGATGAAAATGATGGTGACGGCATGGTACATGGACGCCGGGACATGGGCTCCGACGCCGGAGGTCTGGAGCACCCTCTTGGCCTACCTCCCGCCGGGCGAGAGAGAGAAGGTACTACCTACGGCAATGTTGCCAGCGTGCAGCTGACGCGACGATGCAGGTCGAGCGTTTTCGCTTTGCGAAGGACCAGAAATTCGCACTCGTGAGCCGACTGCTCCAACGCCATGTCGTGCACACTGCGTTCAAGACGCCGTTCGACGCCATCCACCTCGAACGCACGCCGCATGTAAGGTGTCAACACAGCCTATGAGGTCTTATCGTAGCTGCTTGGGCTAGGGCAAACCGTTTTGGCCGGCCTGTCCGAGCCCCACGTGGAACTACAACGTCTCGCACCAAGGCAGTCTGGTTGCGATCGCGTCAGCTGAGAACGTGCGCATCGGCGTCGACGTGGTGTGCGTCACAGACAAGCCATCGCACGTCACGACGGAGAGCTTCTTGGCCACGTTCACCACGTTCTTTGGGCCGCGCGAGTGGGCGCAGATCCACGCGTCGGTTGACCCGCTCCGTTGCTTCTTTCATCTGTGGAGTCTCAAAGAGGCGTACGTCAAGGCGCTCGGCGTCGGCGTCGGCTTTGACCTCTTGCGCGCGCAGTTTGACTGCACCAACGTGGATGCGACGACGCTGTTCGTGGACGACGTGGCGTCGCGGACGTGGCAATTTTCTACGACGGCGCTTGACGCGACGCACATTGCAACGATCGCACTCGAAGTGCCAGTGGACCAGCCGAGAGCCTCAATTGTATGGCAGCAGCTACCCATATCGGCGCTCCTTCGATCCACGTAGTGCCATTTCTTTGCAGCCCAATCTTCAAGCACGACTCTGCATGGCTCTGCTGTTGGCACCGAGTCGCCACGTGTTCTTGGAGGCGAGCTAACAGAAGCTAACAGGAGGACACGCTACCACAGCCGATGTCTTCGCAGAACCGGTCGGCTGCGCTTGATCCCAGTGCTCTGAGTGTGTGGCCGGAGTCACTGGCGCTGGAAGGGATGACGCTGCCCAGGTGCTAGGCGGACTGATCGAGCCTTCCGAAGCGGCCCATGCACGAACGCGTTATTCCCGTGTGGTTCTCGAGGTACATGTGGAAAATTGGTTATAGGTGTAGGGTTTTTAAGCTGTAAAAAGATGCAAAAGTCTAAAACTGCGATTCGGTGACGCCGCTCGACATGGTGTTGGTCGAGCTGAGGCCGCCCGTGACCGTGTTCTGCATCGCGTCAATGAGCTCCGTGCCCGACCAGCCCTGGTGCTTGAGCGTCTCGACGCCTTCTTGGCGCTCGGCGCGTTGGACGCCCTCGACGTACGCGAGCATCTTGCGCGTGCCATAGTCGCGGGCAAAGCGCGTAATGCCGAGCGAGTCGCTGTGGAAACCGGCGAGCGTGATGAACTGCCACGTGTAGCCCATCGCGCCGAGGTCGTCGATAAACGTACGGATCTGCGCGTCCGACATGCCGGCCGCGTCCCAGTTGAACGACGGCGACAAGTTGTACGCGAGCATCTGGTGCGGGTGCTGCGAGTGCACACCGTTCGCAAACGTGCGCGCGAGCGGGAGGCCCGGCACCGTCGTCTCCATCCAAATTAGGTCGCAGTACGGCGCGTAGGCGCGGGCGCGCGAGACGCAAAACTCGACGCCGCCCTGCACGCGGTAGTAGCCCTCGACCGTGCGGGCTTTCTCCCAGCAAAAGGCGACCTTCACGCCGTGCTGCGAAGCAAACTTCTTCATGCCCTCGAGACCGACGATCGAGCCGTTGTCAAGGCCCTTGTCAAAGGCCGCGACCGCGGCCGCGTTGAGCTGCTTGCGGAGCGCAGCGGGGTACGTCGTGCAGCCAGCGAGCTTGTCCCACGACTCGGCGCGGCCGTTGCGGGCCGCCTCGGCGTACGACTCGACGTTGAGGTTGGTGGCGCCAAGGACAAACGCGTGGTCGCGCGGGTCCGAGTTGTTGTCGAGGAGCGTCGCGGCTTCAGCGTCCGTGCGGGCGACAATGACGAGGGGCACCTGCATGACGTCGGCCTGGAGGCGCGCGGCAATGAGACGCGTAATGTGCTCTGCCGTCGTGACCAAGACCTTGCCGCCCATGTGGCCGCACTTCTTGGTGCCCGGCTTCTGGTCTTCCAAGTGGATGCCAGCCGCACCGCGCTCGATAAACATCTTGACGAGCTTCATGCACGCCGTGAGGCCGCCGTGGCCCGTGTCGGCGTCGGCAATGATGGGGCGGAGGTAGTCCACAGCCGGCGACGCAGCGCGCTGGGCCGGCGTCATGCGGCGGCGGGCTTCAAACTGCTTGCGGTCGTGGAAGCACTGGGCGCGGAAGAGCTGGTCGACCTTGTTGGGCACCGTGTCCATCGGGTAGTCAGCGACATCCGGGCCGGGCTCGTTCGAGGTCGACGCCGTCGACGACGACTGCCAGCCGCTCACGTACACCGACGTCAAGTGCTTGGCCATCTGGACGACCTGAATCGTGTCGAGCGCACCAAAGGTGTGGCTGCACTTGCCCTCGGCCTGGAGCTGGCGGAGCATCGAATAGAGCTTCACCGCCTGCTGCGTCGAGGCGTACGCCGTCTCAAACGTACCCTGGAGCTTGACCACGTCTTGCGCGCCGTACGGGCGGGTCGTGTGCTTGAAGCGCTCCTGCGCGATGAAGGCAGCCGTGGCCTTGACGCGGGCCTGGAAGAGCGTCTCGTCGTCGACGGCGGCCGCGGGCGAGATCTGGCTGCCAATGCGGTCAAGGCGCGAGTGGGCGTTCGGGCTCATGGTTGTTCTGGGCGTCGGACGGGAAGATGGCAAATGACGCCGAGCCAACTCGACACTGCGTTGGCAACCTCTGACAATTGATATGTCAACGGCCCCAATTCCATCTGCCAATCAAATCGCTGCGCTTTTGAAGGAGCCAATCATCGAAGCTCATGGATCCGAACAGGCCGTCGTCACGTGGTCAAGTTGAACTACTTGCTCAATCACAAGCCAAAGCGGCCGATCTTTCGGCCACTTCAAGATCGCAGTCTCTCAGAGCTTATAGTTTACTCAACAGCACGCGCACCGAGCACGTTCTTGTGCTGCCTGTTGACTCGACAGCTCACGATCGGCCACGTTCCGACTGCTTCTTTTTCCCAAGGCGTCCGCGGAAGAATTTCCGACGCCATCTTGGATCACACGGATGCGTTGGTCGTGCCACCAACGCCGAGCCAATTTGAATGCAAGTTGATTTGCTATAAGAAATGACATCGACTCGATATAGTCGGCTATCTCCAGAACTGCAAAGCCCTTGACGACGAGATGCGCGGTGCATGGCCATGAGGGCGTGGCGTGATCGCGTGCTGGCTGCATCGACACGATGGCAACGACGGGCGTCAACCTACCCGAGGTGAATGGTGGGCGTCGGCGGTCGTGGGTGCGGTGGGTACCTTGCGCGTCTCTGGCGCGTTGATGGTCTGTACCGCGCGAAACGGCGAAACGGGTCGCAGCAGCCACAATGCGGCAAAGCGCCCTCGTGGCGCTCTTGTGGCTCGTTCCTGCTGTCGCTCAGGAGCTCGTCAACCCACAGGTAGCAACCCGTCGCGGCCGCGGATGCGAAGGAACAGGCGTAGGCGACCAACCAAGTGTTTGGGGCGATTTGGGTCAAGGGCGTGAAAATCACGTCCGATGCGCTCATCGGGTCGTGCTTTCAAGGCTACGGGCTTCCGGGCTGCTCGAACGGCAATGGGACGTCGCAGCACTATGGCATCTCCAACCAGCTCGTACCTGGCCGGTCGTACTGCCTCCAATGCTGCAGCAACCCGACACCTACAGGGTGGGATGTACGACCGAGTGGAGGGTTGACGATGGCGGGACTAGGAACGACGAGACATGGGACCTCGCTTGTCCGCTCACGCTGCTCCAGCAGTCGGTCATCATCAACGACATTAGCAAGGAGTACGTCTTTGCGCGCCGCCGCAACCTCACCGACACGGGGCTGGTATGGAGGGATGCTTCTCCTGTTTCTCGAGTCAACTCCACTTCTAGGTCGTGTGCCAATGGCCAAAGCGCACCAAGGGACTGTACCTTGTCGGGTATACGCTCGAGCTCGTTGTGACCGAGTACAGCGCGTCGAGCGGCGCGGTGTTTTGGGTCGGCGTCGACGCGTGCTCGGTCACCGCCATCGAGTCGACCGCGCTGCCGACGACATTTACCGAGAGCATTCGCATGGTGTCGGTGCGTCCAGCGTACACGCCGTCGCCGTATTGGTACTTTGCGCTCGGCGGCTTCCTGGTATCGAAGCGAGTGCCATTTGCGTACGAATGACGGGTGCTTAGATCGCGACGCTCTTTGTGGCGTACGTCGGGTACCGCGGCTACATGCGCAACGAGCACTGCGTCAACTGCGCGTCCAAGCTCGTGTTCTTCCACTCGCTCTGCCTCCTCTGCATTCTCTGCGGCTGTCGCCTCCGTGCGCCGCCGCCCAAGGTCTTTTGCATCGAAGCATACGAGGCGGAGCTCGCAGCGCGTGCGAGCGACGCTTCCAGCGTGAGCAGTGACGCGTAGCGACCCGTGTATATATTAATTTATTCCTTTCCCATCTAGCTCCGATCCTGCAGGCAGGACCGAGGTGGCGCTTGGCGTAGACGTTGCTGTCCAGACCCGTCGGTTGCTGAAGAGTCCTGCTGCATCATCACCACATGGAGCCCCGGCCAAGCCATGTGACGTGATCTCATAACGACCAACTTGCACTTTGAGCACCAGCCGGCGTGGCACGTCGAGGGCAGCCGAGTTCGTCGTCGACTGGCAGGATCCCTTTGTATGCACCCTCGCCACTGTTTTGTCTGCTCGGTGAGCTTGGTGCAGCTCTGTGCTAAAGCTAGGTACAGCCACGAGCAGACAAAGTAGAGGAGAAAGAGGTTGCTAGTACACATAAATAAGTGCGTCTTCACTCACGAGCCAAACACCACATACGTCGACGCGACGCTCACACGAGCCCTTGCAGTCGGCCGGTGAGCTTCTGGCTCTTGCGCTGGATGAAGCTTTCAAAATCTTCGTTCTCACCAATGTCGCTGTCGCTGTCGCTGTCTTCAAACGCTGCGGCCCACTGTCGCTGTCGCTGTCGCTGTCTTCAAACGCTGCGGCCGCCGCCGAGACCGAGACCGACCCGGGCAGCGCTTTGGAGATCGTCACCACGTCTTCGTCGTCCGACGCGTCGTCGTCCGAGAGGGCATTGCCGCGCGCCGCGCTCTCGCCCGGGCGGCTGTAGCGCTCCCAGTTTTCTTCGTGGAGCTGCCGACGGAGCTGCTTCATTTGCTCACGGCTCGCATTGCCGTTGCTCATCATGGCCTCGATCTCGTCAATCTCGTGCTCGGAGAAGCGCGACTTCTTCTTGCCCCGGAACGAGACGATCTCGACTTCCGAGTCGTCCGAGTCGTCCGAGTCTTCGGACGCTTTCTTGTGGTTGTCCATTGTCCACTTGAACTGGATGTAGCCCTCGAGCTTGGGCGGAATGCGCCACTCGTGCGTCGCGTCGTCCAAGAGCACACGCGTCATCTCGGACGGATCAAAGAACGCCTCTTCGAGCTCGAGGCAGAGCCGCTCCGCGTCAATCGCGAGCCAGTTGTCGGGCGTGATACGGTAGCACCCCGGCTGGCGGATCATTGCCTTGGCTAGAAACTTGTCGAGGTACCGGAGGAGCATGAGCGCGCAGTCGCGCGTGAGGCCAAGCGACTGAAGCTCTGTCTCGGCGTTGCCGACGATCTGCGCTTCGTTGCCGGACGGGACGCGCTTGAGGACGACCGGCTTTGTTGACGCATACCGCGCATCTTTCAGAAACGACGAGTTGACGTCCCGCGACCGAGACAAGCTCGACTAGAACCGACAGCATGAGCCTTTTGAGCAGTAGAATGCTAGAGTGCGTACCCGGTTGCTGCTGCGGGGACGGTTGCTCGACTTGGTTGGCGTCGGCTCGGGCGCGTCCTCGAACCGCGTTTTGGCGCGGGTTTGCCGGCTCGACACGGGACGCTCGTTCGACTTGAGAATCGAACGCGGCGGCAGCGATGACGAGAGCGACGAGTTGGAGGCGAGTGATGACGACGACTCGTGGCGCGTCGTGGCCACGGACGAGGCCGAGTTGGACTTTTCTTTGGTCCACTGGGACCGCGGCGAGAGCGTTGGCGCGTAGCCCGGGAGGTTGTCCGTGTGGCGCTCGTTCTCGTCGTTGATGCTCGAGCTGCCACCGCGCTGAGTCATCATCGGCATCGAGTGCCGCTTGGGCATTGGCACGACCTTGGGCTCATCGCTTGTCGCCATCGGCACGGGCACGCGGTTGATCTCTTCAATGTCGGTCGTCAGAAACTCCTTGAGCGCGTCCAGCACCAGCACGCTGCCCTGCGTGTTGAAGGACGAGTCGTGGGTCGACTTGCGCTTCTGCGCCTTTCGGTACTCGTGCGTGCAGAGCAAGACCTTGGTGAGCCACTTGTCGAGCGCCTCGGCGCGCGTCTTGACGACCGACTCGGTGCGCGAGCCAAAGAGGCGCTTGGACGGGAACGAGAGCGCTTCGATCGCGGCGAGGAACCGGCCGTTCGCCGAGTCCATCGCCAACGGCTTCATGATGGCCAAGATCTTAGCGCGGAGCTCGCGGAACTCGTGGTAGGGCCGGCGCACGGTCATCTCGACGCCGTGAATCTGGTGGTCCGTGACGCGGATGACGTACTGCGTCCGGTCGGCAGGCGTGTAGTCGACGTGCGTGATGGCGACGACGAGGCCCTTCGCCTCCTCGGTACTCATGCTCACGAGTCGGTTCTGTTGAAATGGCCAAAAAACCCTCCGGGATTTGCAATGGACCACCTCGCTTCTGATTGGCCAACGCAAGAGCTACAGTGCCACCTATTATATTAGCTTTCCATTTGTATGGGCCGTGAAATTATTTGCGCCCATTACCAATCCAAGGTCCTTTTCCGGGCAATTCCGCCACGTGCATAAAACGTGCGTTAAACGCACCGCGTTTTTCCGCGTTGTAGAGGCTGCGTCCGTGTACCTGCGTGTACCTACCGCGCTTGATACACACGCACCGCCATTGGCCCTCGAGTGTAGAAGCCTTCTCAACGCTTTTACATGGCCCGACATTCATGGACCCTACACGCATCAAGATGGACTGCTTGCTCGTAGTACTGTGTGGACCTTGAGCGGACGCGTGGTCACGCTCCCGTCGTGACAACCGGGCGCTTCCTCGGACTCAGAGAGCCAGCGACGACGAACACACAGCGTGGTCCAGCTCGTGTAATACTGGGATTATTGGACCAGCAACCAAGCTCGGGACGGCTTGCCACGGCGCTGTCTTTCCCATGTCTTTTTTGGCGCGGGGTGTGAAATTTCGACGTGGTCAAGGACGCGTTTAAACTCAACGGCAATCGCGTTAAATGGCAGCCGACGCGCTGCGCATGCACTTGAAGAAGCGATGGCCATCTGGAGCGCGAGCCAGTCAACGCGCATCTCGCGAAATGGCGAGAACGCTCCGATCGGCGCAGGCAAACACCCATTCATCCTGCTGATAGTACGGCCGATCGACAAAGGACGCCAAGAACGACGACTAAGACGACTAAGACGAGTCCCTTGAGCAACTAAAATCCACGTAACGTCAGGGCTGTGGACCGCTGCTGTAACGCCAGCGTCTGCTGCAGAAAGCGCGCGCAAACCAAGTGGTTCGTCGGCTTGAGATGTGAACAACCGCAGGTTTGTTCGATTTCGCAATATACATTGACGCGAGCTGGTATCGAAGCCCAGTCCTCGGACATGGGCGAGGAAAAGGAAGTCGAAGAAGAAGGATTAACGTTCTTCCTCGCAGTCTCTCGGGGCGGCGGCGAGATGCGAGTGCATCGATGTGGAATCGAAGCGTGCACGGGCGTCGTGCTTCCTCATCCCTTGCAGCGCGCTTTCGATATTCGTATATTGCGCACTTCAAGATCCGGGATCCTCCCGGCAACTTTTCTGAAGGGCGCTGCATACAAAGCGCCCATGTCGGCCCTTCGGATACGTTTCGCGGTGGGATTCGGCGCTTGTATGGTATACAGGCGGACCGTGATATCCTCTAAGATCTGAGGTCCAAAACGACGTTGAAGTTGTGGCCGGGGCCAGCCCGATACTGGAATCGAGTGTAGCGCGACCACCGATGTATCTTGGTGCTCACATTTGATTTTGCCATCCCGCCGCAAATGCTGCCCGAGACCGTTGAGCTCCGCGCCTTCCAGTTCTATGGCTTCGCCTGCAAGGGCCTCTTTGCGACCGCCGACCTCCCGGCCAACACGCCGGTCTGGACGTGGGACAAGGCCACCGAGCCGCTCGAAACGTGGACGCGCCACGAGATCATGGCGCACGCCGACCGAGAGAAGCTTGTCAACTTCTCGTACATGGTCGGCGATGACGCGTTCGCAACGACGCTCGCGCCCGAACGCGACCCGACGTGGTATTTCAACCACGCATGCGATCCCAACTGCTGGTTTGAAGGCGATGGCCAAATCGTGACGCGGCGACCCGTCAAGATGGGCGAGCAGCTCTGCTACGACTATGCGTGCACGGAAACCGAGGTACGCCATTGTCGCATGATGTCATGGACTTATATGTATCGCATGTAGTCGTCGCTTCATGCGGGCATGACGTGCCAGTGCGGCAGCGACAAGTGCAGAGGCACGCTCAAGTTTGACGATTGGCGAAGCCGGGCGTTCATCAAGGCCAACTACGGCCACGTGACCGATTTCATCATGAAGAAGCACGCAGAAAACAGGTATGCGCTCGACGACCCTGCTGCGTAGCCACTAGCATGAGATGCGTAATACAACCTTCCAATAGTTGGTACGACTCGCGCATGGAGCTGCGCCACAAGAGCAAATCGTCGCTGGGGCTCTTTTGCCGCGAAGACGCCGATTGCAAGATCCAAGCCGGCGAGATCGTCCTCGTCTTCTCCGGGAAGGTCATTCACAAGGACCAGTTTCTCGAGTCGGGCGCAATGACGGCGCGGGACTTTGAGATGTCACTCCAAGTGCACAAGGACTTGTGGCAAATCCCGGCGTGGAAGGTACCTCGGCGACCAACGCATCTGCATCGCATGACGGGATGTGGTAGGAAACCGGCGACAAGATCGAGACGAGCGACTACATCAACCACTCGTGCGACCCGACTTGCGGCATGCAGGACTCGGTCACGGTCATTGCCATCCGCGACGTGTACCCGGGCGACGAGATCACGATCGACTACTGCATGGTAGCCATTGTGTCGTCGTCGCCACAGTGCGTCATCCTCGCGTAGGTCAACGATGGGTGCAACGACGAGCCAAGCGACAACTTTATGTGCAATTGCGGCAGCGCCAACTGCCGTCGCGAAATCACGACGCTCGACTGGCAGCTACCCGAGTTGCAGAGCCGCCTCGGCCCGTACTTTGCGCCGTTCGTCAAGCACCTCATCGAGAACCCGCCGTTCGTCGGCATCCCGTAGCTCCCGCCCCTCGCACACGATGATGCCATGCGTGGGAAGAGACGACAATGATGCATCCCACTGGCAATACCCCCGTAATATAAGGCCTTCGATCTCCTATCTGATGCGGCAGCTGCGATCTTTCGAATTTTCGCCGTTCCTGATTCGCTACGATCTAGCCAATCGCATCGCGCGTATCTTGTGCCGAAAATAAGACTGCCGAGAAGTACCACGCACTCATGCCACACACTGCGTCCCACGCGTGCACCGGCGCGAGCTCAGGCCATGAGCGTAACGACAGGGCTGTGCTCCAGCTCGACACCTTGTTCGTGAATGATGTTTATCATTCGCCGTGCAATGTCAGGTTCGGCACCGGCTGTACTGTGGTGCGTCCAACTGGACCGTCGTCGCCCTGCCACCAACGCAGGCCGGAACGTCAAGCGGTAGCAGCGTTAACGTGATGTGCGTGCATGCGTTGTGACACCGTCTGGCTCGCTGTCACGCGTAGCGTCGCCATGGCCTTCCGGAACGAGCGCGCTGTTAAATATGGCAGATGCCACTATTACGTATTTCGGTGGCATGGCGGTCGGTGCAGCGAGCTGCGCGCATGGCTCACGTCGCCGCGTAGGAAATCCTCGAGGTCAAGGTCTACCGTGCGCTATGGCACGTCTGCCGACCGTTCGTCCAGTGGCTCGTGGCGTCCAAGGACCTGCGCCGCCGCGTCCCGCTGGCTGCGACCAACGAGCGCTTTGGCGTGACAACAACGACCGCAGGTACGCCGCCATTTGTGCGAGCCATGCACGAAAGAAGCATGCTAGACGTGTTTCCGTCAACCGGCTCCGGGCTTGTTTGGATTCATGGGGCGTCCGTCGGCGAGTGCTTGAGCGCGCTCCCGCTCATTCACGCGCTGACGCACATGCATGGCGCACGGACGGCGTCGGGTACACAGCGCCTCGACGTGCTCTTGACGACGACGACGCCCAGCGCGCGTGCGCTGCTTCAGGAGCGGCTTCGTGCGGTAGCTCTCTCATCCTGTGGCCTGCGCTTGAAGCCAGCATGTAGAACCCGCATGCGCATTGCATCTTTGCGCCGCTGGACCACCTTCCGTTTGTCCAAGCCTTTCTCTCGACGTGGCAGCCAACGTACGTACTACTGCGCTCCGTCGGATGTCAACAGCGGGACGTAGCGCGGCGATTTGGGTCGAGTCGGAGTTGTGGCCCAATATGATCCTCGAGGCCGCCAAGCGCAAGGTACTTCACGTCTTCCATGCGCACCTCCAAGGCAATGTACTAGATGCCCATGGGCTTGGTCAACGGGCGCATGTCGGCCACGTCGTTCGGTCGATGGAACTCGTGGCTTGGGCGGCGGCTGGCGCAGCACCTGCTCGCCCCGTTCGCATCACTCACGCTGTGCCAAAGCCCCGAGGTTGCACTGCGATACGGCTGACGAGCTCAGAGTCGACGTCGTAGGACCTCTACCGGTTCCAGGCCCTTGGCGTCACGTCGGCCAAGTACGTGGGCGACTTGAAATTCCGTACGTCCTTGACGATGGCTCGTGTCTCGCTGCAAACCTACGGACTAGTCTCGGCCAAGCAAGCAGTCAACGCAGCTGCACGCGCACGTCTCGAGGACGCGCTTCAAGGTCGCTGCGTCTGGGTCGCCGTGAGCACGCACGACGGCGAAGAAGCCATTTGCGTACGCGCGCACATGGAGATTCGGCGAGCGCATCCCGGCGCGTTGCTCCTGCTCATTCCTCGGCATCCGCACCGCTGCGACGCGATTCAAGATGGCATCCACACGGTAGACCGAGCTCGACAACTAGGTCGCTCATTGTCTGGCGCTAGACCACGCCGCTGCGAACCCAGCGGCGCGCCACCGACAGCACTCCCAAGCCCGACACCGATGTCTTTATTGTCGACGTCATCGTACGACCCTTACACGGAAGGCGAGGTGATAGGACTGAGACTCGGTTAGGGCGAAACGCAGCTGTACTTTGACGTGTCGCCCATCGCCTTTGTCGGTGGTACGACGTACTATACCCGTTCGAAGCCGACGCTTGGCGTAGGATCGCTCGTCGACGTCGGCGGCCACAACGTGCTCGAGCCATTGCGCTCGGGGTGCGCTGATTTCTTATTGCCCTTATGGCTCAGTAGTGAGATTAGGTGCGCGGTGCTGCACGGCCCGCATATGGACAACTGCACGTCGGTGCTCGCGACGCTGGCGACGATTGCCGCTCCCATTCACTGCGTCGACGAGGCTTCGTTGGCATCGCATGTGACGCGCTTGCTGTCGACGCCAACGCCGTCGCGCTGCACGTCAGCGGATGCGACGGCGCCAGTCCAAGACGCGCTCTGGGCCGCGCTTGCCCCGTTTCTGGAGCGTATCACACAAACGAGTGCGCGTGGGCAGTCGTTGTAGTTGTTTTGTTAGTATTACAATGCACAAAAGGGGGCAAAACCGCGTCCATGTTTAGTAAGGGCGATAGCGGTCCGACTTGCCGCCGCCTTGCTGGCCTTGACGTTGGTAGCTGCCGTAGCCGCCGGACGGCGGGTACCCACCGGTCGGGTCGTCGTAGCTCGGCTGACCCTCGGCGCCGCCGGCATCGCCGCCCTCCGGCGGTGCGCCCGACGGATCGTATGGCGGGTAACCGCCGTAGCCGCCAGCACCATAGCCGCCGTAGCCGCCGGCGCCGTAGCCACCGTAGCCGCCGTAGCCACCATAGCCACCGTAGCCCGCCGCAGCCGCAGCACCGCCGTAGCCGCCGCCGCCATAGCCCGCCGCACCGTAACCGCCGCCGTAGCCCGCAGCGCCGTAGCCGCCACCGCCGCCGTAGCCACCGCCGTAGCCACCACCGCGACCGCCGCCGCGACCGCCGTAGCCGCCACGACCACCATAGCCGCCGCGGCCACGGCCGCCGTAGCCAGAGTCGTAGCCGCCGCGACCGCCGCGCATCTCGCCCTTGGGCTCGGCGCGCTTGATCTCGACGACCTTGCCATGGAGCTCGTGCGACTTGGAGATGACTTCGGCGACCGCGCCTTCTTCTTCAAAGCTCACAAAGCCAAAGCCGCGCGACCGCTGCGTGTCGCGGTCCATCATGACGATGGCGTCCGTGATCTTGCCATAGTCTTCGAAGTACGTGCGAAAGTCGTCGTTGGTGACGGACGGAGGCAGCCCACCGACAAAGATCTTCTTCGACTCGGTGGAGCGGCCGCCCGACGCATACCGGTCGCTACACAAGCACACAAGACGTCAGTGGACGCTCACAGACCTCGTCGAGTGGGCTGGCGCAGGGCGGCAAGAGAGTGCGGTGGACAAGAGACCATAGATGTGGGGAAATCGACTCCTCGTTACATCTGCCTGTGCTTGATGCTACTGCACTCTCCTGCCTCCTTTCAAGCACAAAGCTTTCGCTACCAGTGATCACTACGAGCAAGGAGCATCTAATCGAGACGAACCTATAGCCGCCGGCCGACCCGCCCTGCGGCCGCGCGCCTTGGCTGTCGCGCGGTACGGCGCGCTTTACTTCAACGTTGCGCCCGTCCAACGTGTGCGTATCGCTCAGTACACGCTCAATCACTACAATCGACGACGATCAGCGTCCTACGTCCTCGCCTCTATAGCTACCAGAAGGGTCCTCAAACGTCACAAAGCCAAAGCCACGCGGCTGGCCAGAGTACTTGTCCTTCATGAGCGCCGCGTCCGTCAGCGCGCCGTACTTGCCAAAGTGCGAACGCAAGTTGTCTTCCGTGGTTTCCCAGCTCACACCACCGACAAAGATCTTGCCCGCGCCCGTCGACTGGTGGGCCGCGGCCGGCGGCGCCGAGTTGTACCCGCCCATGTGGCCCGCGTCCGCGTAGTAGCCGCCGCTCTGATCGTCGTTGTGGTACGAGGCTTGCTTGTGGGCGCCCATGTCGCCGCCATCATGGTGGCCATGCCCATGGCCATGCCCATGGTCGGCGTGGTGGTGCTCGGGCTCCTGGTGGTGGTCGTCTTGCTCGTACACTACGCCGTCCATCTTGCTCGTATGCGAATTTGGGAATGGCTGGTTTGGGGCCGAAAAATTAAATACTCGTTTGAAAAAAATACTAACGCATTAAAAACCGTGTGTATTTTATTTCATGTCGTGTGATACAAATTATAAGTACGATAAAAATTGCCTCAAGAAGAATACGCCGCTCGTTGTGTATTATTTTAAAATATGACATAAAAATCCGGCACAGAACCCCCACAACGCATAATCGAACACTACCTCTTAAAATGAATTATTCACACGCACCACATATCTTATTCGCATGGTAATGATGGGCAGAAGATGCGATCTTGGCGAGCGGCAGCAGCATGCGCTGACGGCTTCCGCGTGGTCGTCGCTGCAGCATTGGCAGAACAACGGCAAGGATGGTCATGGTCGCTGGTAGATGCGGTGCTGGGCCAAGGCTAGTCATCCTCGCCGCAGCAGCTCCTCGCCAGCCCACCGTTCCACCGATCAGATGCGGGTGCACAGATTCCGCCGTGAGCGGCAGCAGCTGGCCATGGAGCTTGGCCAGGACGACATCCGTGGCAACGCACGCAAGGCGCATACGACACGGTAGCTCCATCCATTGTATCGGGTATGGACTTGGCAGGTCGACAGTATAGCGAAGTGACGACTGCATCAGCCAACTTCATGTTATGCGGTTTATTGGACAAGGTTGACGCAGACGGGATACCACGCAGAGCTCAGAGCTCGGGCGTCGTCTTCTCCATCATCTTGCGGTAGATCGCCTCGACCTGCTCCTCGCCCGAGATGCAAATCTTCAGATCGCGAATGATACCGTCCTTGAGTCTACGCAACCATCGATGTTTGCGGTGATGAGCTTCCACGCAGGTGTACCGGTAGCACCAGCCATGTACTTGCAGCTCCTGGTCTCGCTGCCAGGCGTTCTGAACGATGCGCGTGTGGCAGACGTTATAGACCGACTTGGCCACGTTGAGTTCTGTGAGCAAGTCGGATTTCTTCTTGTCGTCCGAGAGGCCTACACGTGGTAATATGACCTTGCGAGCTCGTGCATTGCGTGTTACGCTCAAAGACTGCCGTGTTGTCGCTGTAAATGTCCTTGATGCTGCGAAGCCAGTTGTCAACGAGTCCAAACTCTTGTTGGGACAAGGCCGCGTTGACACCGCCGCAGCCGTAGTGCCCGCCTGAAGCCAGCAATGAGGTTGCGTCGACGTAAGAACAGAGCATGGCAACGTACACACGATGACGTGCTTGACTTTGAGTACGTTCACGGCGTACTCGAGCACGGAAAGCGCGTTCAAGTCGGTGCTCACTAGGGCAAGGATGGCATGAGCATGGTATAGCGTCGTCATGACAACGTACAAAACTGGTTGGCAATGTTGCGGTGCACAAACACCTCGCCCGGCGGAAGGTCCAAAATCTGGTTGGCCGGCACGCGCGAGTCCGAGCAGCCTACGTGGCGCGTGAGACTCGAGCATGCGACGTGGCGAAGCGTACCGATCCAGAGCACTTCGGGCGTCTGCGTGTCTGCGAGCTTGGAGAAGTACGTCGGGTCGTCTTTCTTGACGTTGCTTGCCCATTCCTTGTTGCGATGGAGCAGTTCCTGGAGGCCCTTTTTGCCATGCGAGAAGGCCACCGAGCGCTTCTGCGCCTGCGTGCCAAGCGGGCCTAAGCGTGTCCATCATGAGCCTCGACTTCCTCATATGCAGGGCAAACCTGCGGCGCGGACGACCGACGAGGCAAGGCGAAGACCCAAGCGGCTGTGCATGCTGCTGCTAAAATCCAAAATGATCTGCGGCCGGGTCCGCGCCGGTCATTTGCGTTTTACTCTTCAATCCAATACGTTAAACGGAATTGGGTGACGTTATTCGTTTTGAGAAAACGAAGTGAAGTCGGGTGACATCGCCAGTGCCGATGTATCCACCATCTTGACAGCTTGGCGCCAACGGAGAGCTCAACGGGCTCCGCCGCAGCGACGGCCGCTTCCCACATGTGGTATGCACAAGTTGTCATTTTGCCCATTTAACCGCGGTCAAATGCAGTTTTTATGCGCCCGATGCAGCGGCTGTCGACGCCGCCGGTCGATTGCACTTGAACTCAGCCGACACCCGAACCCATCCCGGTTCCTTCGTCGATCTTCCAGCAATCTGGATACCATTACGACAGTGACCAGTGTCGAGGCCACTGCAGTGTCGACACAACAATTGTTTGTGTAAACCCAAGTGGTGTCGGAGCCGGCTTTTGAAGCGGCGAGAAGCCGTATCTTGCTAGCTACACCTTAGTAGGTAGCTATCCTACTAACTAGAGCACGTACCGGGTCCTACTACTTGTAGAGTAGAATCTATAAGGCCATTCGCCGTCATATGTGCTTGACTAGAAGCTTTCAATTCAGATTGTTTGGCGCATTATGACATTTGCTATAACACTCGAGGGCTGAGCGTGGAAGCAATAACACGAGTGAGATAGATACAGCTTGTCCACTTAGATAGCCTAACAACAGTGTGATTACGGCGCCGGCTCGGCCATGACTTGCAGCAAGCTGCGGTTGTACGCCTTGACCTGCATTTCCATCTGGATGAACGTCTACCAAGAGGTTTTGCAGCGCCACGGACTCGAGATGGTATACCTCTTCCATGTCTCGCAGCTTGTGCTCGTACTCCTTCTGCTCTTGTTGCATCTACTCGACACATGTTGATAATACATTTACGACCATGAAGGCAGTGTACCTTGCGCTGCAGCTCCTGCGCCGACTGCTGCTTGGTGCTGATCGCCAGTTCAATACCGCGTGTCTTTTCCTGGCGCTGACCCAACTCGTTCAAGGCCGACTCGAGCGCCTACGCATGAATTCCTCCGTCCCAACCGCTCCATGCTTCATGACAAACGGTACGTGTTCCGCAGCCTGCATCTTCTTGGAGCCTTGCAGCTTGTACTGTTCGAGCTGCTCCTTGCGCTGCTGCAACAGCTTTTGAAGGCGCTACGGAGAAGATGAGCGTCGCGTTCGAAGGACATCGATGATGCGAACCGCGTGGTGGGCGACTGCGTGCTTGGCCTTGTTGTAGCTCTCTTCAATGAGCTGGTGCTGCGCCTTGACGTTGTCCTTCTCTGCCTTGCAGCGCGCCGTGTCCACTTCAGTCTCTTGCATGAGCTCAATGGCCTTGTTGGTTTCCTAGACCCGACCCCGCGATTACGTCACAGCCTTTAACCCACGTTCTACCTTGTCGGCCCGGGCAAACACATCGTGGGTCATCTGCAGCTCGGTCGTGCGTCGGTCCAAGAGGTCGAGCTCTTCCTTGGACGCATCGACTTGCACGGCAATGTCGGAAATTTCCTGTTGGGGAAACGAGAGTTGCGTGTTGGTAGCCTCCACGATAGCTGACGCACCGACTTGAACCGAGCGGGTGAGCTCACAATCTTGCTCTGGAGGCGCTCTGTCGTCTTGTTGGCCTCGAGGACTGCGAATTGCACTGACGCCTAGTTGAAGGCATCACAGTATGGACACGGGAGTGAGTTGCGTGTACGTAGTCATCGCGGAGCTGGTTGCTTTGGTTCTTCAAGCCAGCGTTTTCATGGCGAAGCACGGCTTGGCGCTTGTTGAGTACGTTGATTTCGCCTTCGAGGATGACGCACTCTTCCATGACCTGCTGCAGCGCCGGCGCTTCGTTCGCTTGCCGAGCCCTACGATTGCGTGTGGCAGAGGACAGTGCGGTCGACGCTACCGGAGCTCGTCGAGCTGGCGCCGCAAGGCTGCATTCTCGTCTTCGGCTTCTTGGCGCAAGCGCAGTTCGTCGTCCTACATACCTCATTCACTGCATCTTCTTCCTTGGTGTCGGTCATGCAAGTAGATAGATCGATACCGTCTTCTTCTCGTATTGCGCGAGGAACGTCGTGCGCTCTTCCTTGAAGCGCGTAAAGTTGATGAGCGCGCTGAGGATGCGCCGAACGCGCTTGAGCGTCGGCTTTTGCACGTCGGCCCAGCCAAAGTCGTTGACGCCGGCGGCGAGCGTGAGCCGGCAGGCCGTGCGGTAGTACGCGATCTCGGGAATCGAGTCTTCGTGGAGCTGCGGGTACTCGAGCGCGCTGAGGCCCGAGAGCGCAGGCTGGCACAGCTCGTCTTTGCCGATGCCCATGATGACAAGGATAAAGTCTTCGATGACCCGACGCACCTACGACTGCATGAGCGCCATGCGCAGGGTCGTCGCCGTCTACCGCGCTCGGCTCGCAGTTGCGGATGTCATCCTCGGCGAACGTGATGCTCATGCCCTTGAGATGCAGGAAGAGGTCCGACATCTTGAGCACCGGGAACGAGTACGTTGACGCTGGCTGGCTCATCGTGCTGGACGTCGTCGATGGGCGAGGGTTTGAATTTGAACAAGCCGACTGTGATTGGACCATACCGCAGAGCAGCATTCGATTGGTCAAAACTCCGGCTGTGACCACCGCGCGCGCTAATATCACGCAACTCTTGCCGACCAAGCGCTCCCAAGCAGTCATGGCACGGCCAGGCCAAGTGCGCATCCTCAACAAGCCTACTTGAACCCCACAGCAAGGGTACATTGATGCTGTACCGCGGAATAGCATCGCACTAAATTTGCGCTTTCGTTTGCACCAAGGCTAAAGTTGGGTGCTGCTAGCGTCAACATAGTAGTAGTCTTCAGCATGAAGCTCCTCGCCATCGGCAAGGACGATGCCAAGATGCGCTTGGACCGGTGGCTCAAGGTCCACTTCAAGCGACCGCAGAGCTTCTTCCAGCGCCATCTCCGAGAGGTGCGCTCGTCCTCCTGTCGATATGCTACTGCTGACGTCGCCTTCTAGAAGCGCATTGTGCTCGTTGACGTCCTCGACAACACCAAGCACAAGGCCGATGCTAGCTACAAGCTCATGGCCGATGCCAAGTACCGCATTGGTATCCAAGCGCATCTCTACGCCGAGCTAATCGCGGACGCATTGCCCGCGCCAACGCCGACGCCGTCGCTTCCACGTCTGCCCGTTTTGTACGAGGACGATGCCATCCTCGCCGTCTTCAAGCCCACGAACCTCGCGACGCAGCTCGGTTCCAAGACCCTCGACTCGGTCGCGACGCGCTACCCGCAGTGCAAACTCGTTCACCGTCTCGACAAAGGTACGCGACGGACAGCAGCCAGGTGCGATGGGCGTGCGTAGGTACCTCGGGCGTCTTGCTACTCGCCAAGACGCGGCTCGCGGCCGCCGAGCTTGCAGAGATGTTTCGCACCGAAGAGGTGCTCGACTTGCGTCTACAGAGCGGGACTCACGACGGCGCTAGGTGCACAAGACGTACCTCGCACACGTCACGTGGCCAAGCACCGGTGGTCTGGCCACAGAAGGGGTCATCGATCATCCGTTGGAGGCCAAGCCGGCGCGCACAACCTACCGGCTCTTAGAGCGCGTCGGGCGCACCGCCTTGCTGGAGCTGCAGCCGTCGACCGGACGCAAGCACCAGCTGCGACGCCACTGCGCCGACATTCTCGGTGCCCCGATCGACGGCGACCGTCGCTACGGTGGCGCCGCGAGCACCCGCCTATGGCTGCACGCCATGCGCGTTCAGTTTTTGCATCCGCTCACCAAGCGCCCGATCACGATCGAAGCACCCTTGCTCGATGCGCCATCCAGCACAACGAAAACTTAATACTAGTCGTCCTGGTATATGGAGAGGGTTAGGGTTCGTACTTGCTAGTAGACGCTCGATGGATAATAAATTTGAATTGTCGTTGTTTATAGGTTATTGGACATAGTCGACCATTGTTGGGACCTCCGGCGCATACCACTGCGCTTGGTGCTGCTGCAGCAGTAGCGCGAGGAGACTCGTGTCCTTTCGCCGTTCTGCAAAGTGCAAGGCGAGGCCGCCGACGCGCGCGCCGTGGCGCAGCAAGAGCGTGACAATGTCGCGGTGGCCGAGCATGCTCGCCGCGTCGATCGGACTCGTGCCGTTGGCTTTGGCCACGTTGACGTCCGCGCCGGCCACCAAGAGGAGCGCCACGATGTCGCGAAAGCCGCGCTGGCACGCGATAAAGAGCGGCGTCGTGCCGTTGTGCGTCTGCAGATTGAGCTGCACGCTCGGGAGCGAGAGCAAGTAGGCAACGAGCGCGACATGGCCTTCTTCGCACGCAATCAAAAGCGGCGTCAAGCCGGACCGCGTCTGTCCGTTGGGATCGGCGCCGTGCATGAGCAGATGCAGCGCAATGTCGCGGTGGCCCATGCGCGCGGCGATGTGCAAGGCCGCGCTCTTGTCGTCCATCACCGCCGATACGTTCACCGCGTACTTGGTCAAGCAGCTCACGACGTCGAGCTTGCCTTCTTGGCTCGCAATGTACAGGCAGCTCACGCCGCCGACGCGCGTAAAGTTGGGGTCAGCGCCGCGCGCCAAGAGCGTCTCGACAATCTTGTGGTGGCCCATCTGGCACGCGAGGTACAACGGCGTGACTCCATTGTCCATGAGCACGTTGGGGTCCAAGCCGAGGTTGAGGAGGTCCAGCACGATCTCGTGGTGGCTGCGCTCGCATGCCAAACAGAGCGCAAGGACCCACTCGGGCGTCGGCTTGGGCGCGTGAAGGCCGCGGACGAAGCTCGGGCGCCGCGACCGGTGCCGAATGAGCTGCCGCACGGTCGAGCGTGACCCGTTCTTGGCCGCGACGCAGAGCGGTGTCGTGTTGGACGTCGTTGTCGCGTCTGTGCGCGCATTGTGCGCCAGCAACGTCGCGACGATCTCGGTCCAATCCATCTCGGACGCAAAGTAGAGCGGAGTCGCGAGCGAGAGCGTCCGCGCGTTGACGCACGCGCCCTGTTTCACGAGCGCGTCGACCGCGCCAAGGCACCCGCTGGTCGCCGCGAGGCAGAGCGGTGTCGCGCCGTCCTTGTTGGTGACTTCGACGTCGGCGCCGAGGCTCAGGAGGATGGGCACGAGGTCTTCAATGTCGTGCTCGCACACGTAGAGGAGCGCGGACGCGTAGCTCTCGCTGTCGAGCGGCAGATCGACGAGCGCGTTTGCACTGCGCAAAAGCGTTTTTTCAAAGACCGTGCGGAGCGGCATGCGGTGCTGGAGCGCGCCAAAGTCCTTGAGCACGATCGAGAAATGGACTTTGGTGAGCTGGTGCGTGACGCAGCGCGCCCACTCGGTTTGGAGGTCGGCCCACGGCGACGCGCAGAGCAGCTCGTAGTGCGCCGGCGTGTGCGACGCGACAATGGTCTGGAGCGACGGAAACCGCGTCTCCAAGTGCTGCACGAGGTGGAGGCCGACCCGCGTGTTGTGAAAGTCGAGCGTGTGCAGCGACGGGTGGTGGCCGGTGATCGCTGTTTGCGCGAAGCGCCCGGTCACGAGCTTGCAGTTGCGGAACGAGACCGTATGGAGGCGCTGCGACTGCGCGTTGAGGATCGCGAGGAGGCCAAAGTCGGTGATGTCGAGGCAGTCGTCGACGACGATCGTCTCGAGCGACGACCAAAAGCACGACGTGAGTACGAGGAGGTCGCGGTCGCAGAGCGAGCGCTGGCCCGTAAAGTTGATCAAGCGCACTTCGCGGTAGCTGTTGATGGTCGAGAGGAACGCGGCCTCGAGGTTCTTTGCATGGAGCGGCGAGCGCACGCTCAGGTCGAGGACCGCCATGTCCAGCGTCTCGATCAGGCCTTTCCAGCCGCGGCAGACGGCCTTGGCCACGTGGTGGTCCTTGACGTCGAGGTACGAGAGGACGTGGCGCACGACGCCCTCTTCGCCGAGCTTGTCGAGGTCGCTGCGCGCCTTGGCCCGGACCTGGGTCGACTCCGCTTCGGATACGTCGAGCGCTCGCTTCATACCTCTAAATCTTGACTGCGTATGCATGCTATCCTCGCCGACTTGGCATGCTCAACGCTCAAACGCTGTTTCGCCATGCTCAACGCTATTCTCCGGTGGCCAATCGGAAGCGACGTTGAAATACAACGACCAATCCAAACGGCCGAGATCTATTTTGCTGGAAATCCAAATTTATTCTTGTCGAACCTCAAAGCAGCTGGACCATCGACGATGACCGCCCAACCTGGAAGAGCTCGCCACGCATGAGACCATCGAGCTCGGCCAGCGCCTGCGTCGCATGGAAGACGCACACGCTGTCCGAGTCGCCCGCGACGCCCTTGAGCAGCCGGTAGATGGGCGTCATGTGCTCGGATGCGATCGCAAACACGTCCCGGCCCATGAGCTACAGCACGCATGCACCGTCAGCACCAGCGATGCAAATACCAAACGTACGTGGAGCATTTGGTGTAGCACGTACACGGCGCCGCGGCGCAGCGCAATCTGCGGCTCAGTATGACCGCGCTCGACCTGGAGAACGTCCTTGACGACCAGGAGGACATCGGTCAAGAACGGATGAATCGCCCAGCGCAGGAGACCGCAGACCTACATGTAGGCATGCGTATAAGCACGTAAAACAACCATAGGCATCAGGTCAACCTCGGCCAAGTTGGAGAGGCAGCTCGCTCGGTACGTGGCGTCGGCCAAGTCGGTCGTGGCCGACGTCGTGCGGATCGCGCCCAAGTACGCGTGCACAAAGCCTCGGCTGTACGCGGGCAGGACCTCGCCGCATCGCCGCGCCGTAAACATGAGCGCCTCGCTGAGCTTGATGCGCTGATCGAGCGAAAGAGTCGCCGTCGCGTCGGTCGCTGCGTTGAGGAGCATCGGGATCGCAATCGTTGGGTGCATGTCGGCCAGACTCGCGAGCGCCTAAGGTGCGTGCACTCCCACACATCCCGCGCAATAGAGCACAACGTACTTGAATTGACGCCAGAAACACGTAGCTCTCGACGTCGTGGAGGTGCGCGAGGAAGAGCTTCATGAGCGCGGCGACGTCAATGGCCTCTCGGCTCCGAATGAGTTTGTTCAAGCGCACGAGGCCGCGCGCCCGCAACGGCACCGACGGGCTCTGGAGGTCCTTCTCCGACAGCGCAAGAATGTTGGCGAACGTGAGCGCCGTGAACTTGGGCTCGGGCTCGGCGTGCGACGCCCGTGCCAGCAGCTGCAAGCGAAGCTCCGACGCCATCTCGGCAATGTCGATTTTCGGGTGCATCGAGAGAGCCTCGAGCGACGGAAGCAGTTGCTTGAGCAGCGCTTCTTCGTTATGCGCCCGGTCGCGCGCGCCGACCTCGAGGATCGTGGTGACCATACCAAGGCAGACGCTCAGCACGTCCATGGCTGTCTCATCGTCGTCGTCGTCATTGGACGAGGGCGGCGTGTACACAGAGTGCGTCGACGTCGACGACGTGTACATGTCGATGACGGTCACGAGGCACTGCAGAATCGACGCGCCGCTGCGCAAGACGGCGGGGCCCACGACCTCGGTGAGAGCGACGAGCAGCTGCAACATTGACGGAGCACTCTCTTGCGCTTGGACTACGGCAGCATAGGCCTCCATGCCAGCCGTTGCTGATGACGTGGACGACGCACCGGTCTTGAGCTGCATGTAGCTGGTCAAAAGCGACGTGAAGAGATCGCCGACAACATCGCAGGCTTCGAGCGCTGGCGCCTGGAGCAGGTCGACGACACCAGCAACGATCACGTCAGTGGGATAATGCGTGTCGAGGGCGGTGATGGCGGCGCCGCCCGAGCCACCCGCCGAGAACGTACACGCGAGATGTGAAGCAGACGCAAAGCCGACGGGCAGTACGCTGGCGCGGTGCGTCGGGTTCACAGGTGCGACTGCGCACTGCAGCAGCAAGGCCGCCAACGGCGCTGCTTGAATGTACGCTATACCACTCTGTATGAGCGCGTCTCTTGGGCTGACCTACCTGCGAGCAGTTGCTGCACCGTCTCCTTCCAGTAGGATTTACTAGCGCACACCCAATGCAGATGGACGCTCGATCGAAGGCATGTACTACTACCTTGCGACGCAAAAGGCGTAGAGCAGAACAAGCGGACGAAAGAACGGCGCAAGCGCGAGAAGCACGGGCGCCGGTGGCGGCGGCCCCAGCAGCATGACTACCATGAAAACTCAACACAGCATATGATGGAAGCGGTGCGTACCGTTGAGCGCGGCGAGGCAAGCACCGAGCTCGTCTTCGGTGGCGATGAAGTGGATGTCGTCGCTCTTCTCAAAGACGTCTCGTGGCTGGCTCTCGACGCGCAGGAGCGGTCCGAGCAGCGGCTGCAAGAGCGTGCTGTCGACGTGCGCAAGCGGATACTCCAAGATGAGTTGGCACAGAATCAAGCCCGTCGTTTCCCGAAGGAGCTTGGCGGTTTGGGGCAAGTCCTTTGCACTCAGTAGCTGCAGCAGCTGCGGTGCGACCGCGGCGAGGTACGCATCGCGTTCGTACCCACGCGGGCAGCGCGCAATCTATACGGCAACGGTTTCGTATCAATCTATCAGTCTATCAAGAACGTACGAGACTGGCGACTTGCATGCGTGCTTGCGTGTTGCCTTCGTCGACATTGCTCAAAAGCACTTCGACGGTCGAGTGCACGCCGCCAGGCTTGAGCACGCACGCTGTGAGAAGGAGACCGCACTGGGTCTTGAACATCGCATCTGTACATTGCAGTGAGGATTCGAGAAGTAGGCAAAGGAATCGAGTACTGGGCGACCGGTGGCACTGCCCCAAGACGGCGCGGACGCTGCTCATCGTGACGCGAAGCGGGAGGTCGTCCATGAGCGCATCCAGGAGCGTTTGGGCGGCAAGCGAGTGTGGGCCCTTGGACACATGGCGCTCGTACACGAGCGCGGCAAAGATATCACGGAGGTACGCCGGCAGCAGCATCGGTTTGAACTGCGAGAGCTGCAGCACGGTGAGAAGGCACGAAACGACGGTGTAGAGCTGGTCGTGCGGCGACGCGGTCGGCAGCTGACTACCGTGGGCGACCACCGGCTTTGCAACTAGATACACCCGTGAGACTGTAGGCGGTTGGGAAAACTGCGTACTCTTCATGGTCTTGGACACGACGCGCTGATCGATTGGCACGAGAATGCCAGTTTCGACACACGGGTACATGCCCCACGTCACGAGCAGCTCGATGGCTGCCTGGACGCCCGTGTAGTCGCGCAGACTCAAGAGGCACAGCGGCGCGCGCGGCTTGGCGGGATTCGCATCCGGCGGGCGTGTGGTCTAGCGCTCGACATACGTATGGATTCGAAGGCATATTCTGGGTACCTCGAGTGCCTCGCCTTTGACAATGGCGGTGGCGAGGTCTTGCAGAAGAGCGACCAGACGTGATGCGACGACCGAGCCAACGTTGGCATGGCCAACATCCGCTTTGATGCCCATCGCTTGCAGGATGTTGTCTGTCATGGCCGCCGTCGCGTCCAATGGCACTGCTCGGATGGAGTCGACGCAGTGGTTGATCGCACGCATCGAGGCGCCGAGGGCGTCGATGGCCAAGCGCTCAAGCCCGAGTTGGTCAGCTCCCGCGGCCAGCGTGCTCATCGCTCGCAATACTTGTCGGAATATCCACCAATCACATTACATCATCGCTGTATCCGGCGCTTCGAGAGCATTCCGGATACAAACAGGCTTTATAAATGCTTGCTATTTATTGCTCAAAAGCATTAGAAAGCAATCGATGGCAGACAAAGACCTTGCGATGGCGACACGTTCACGCAAGGACCATCTCGCCACGTTTCTCTTGTGCGTATTTTAGTAATATAGTATTCACCTAGAATCCTACGATACTATCATGCTTCCAACGCTGCCTTGAGACCCTAGCACCGGCCTTTGCCTAAAATGCGTCAGGATCGCAGAATTGCGACGACACAAATCATCCGAATCCGGTTGCCATAGTGTCGATTTATCTTGTGGTGGTGCTGGTGGTGCCACCATATGGTGAACCCAGCAGCAGGTGGCTGGATCTGCATACTCAATTCAAGCTATTGTAATAGACGTGCACCCGTCGCAGTTGAAGTATTTCGAAAATATCCTGCTTCCAACCACAGAATCGCCATGCTCCGCGTCGCGACTGCCACCCTCCGCCGCCGGTCCCGCGTCGTCCGCGCTGCCTTTGCCTCGTCGCTCTTCGAGACGCCGGCCACGCCTCTGGTCCGGTACCGGTCGCACTCGGCCGTGCTAGAGAAGTACGCGCCCATGTACACCAAGTCGGCCAAGCGCACGCGTGCCGACGAAGACGACGAAGACGAGAACATGGGCCCGAACCCGACGCTCAACGTGAACCGCGTCGCGTTTATCGGTGGCGGCAACATGGCCGAGGCCATCATTACGGGCATGATGACACAGGAGCTCTTGCCGCCGAGCCAGGTCCTCGTCTCGGCGCCGAGCCCGGGTACTCGAATCCCAGCTCCACCGCCATGGCTAAGACGACGGCATGATGACTAGAAACACGCGACAAGTTTGACCAAATGCACGTCGAGACCGTCGATAAGAACAAGAAGGCGCTCGTCGGCGCCGACGTGGTGATCGTCGCCGTCAAACCCCAAGTGCTCAAGCAAGCGGTAAACCGCCAACGCTCGACTAGGAACTTATTCTACGTCTGTAGGTCTTTGAGGATTTGAAAAAGTATCTCGACCCAAATGCGCTCGTCATCTCGATCGTGGCCGGCGTCACGATCGATGGTACTACCCTGGCTGTTCCATACTGGTCTCACCACGGACGACTAGCGTACAAGAAGGAGCTCGGCCCCGACACGTGCATTGTGCGGTCGATGCCCAACACGCCTGCCATGATTGGCGAAGGCATCACGGTCTGGACGCAGTCATCCAACGTCAGCGACGTCCAGCATGATCTCGTATACACATTGCGTGCTCCCGGCTCGGTGACTGTAAGTTGCGTGCATGTAGACAAAGAAAATCCTCGGCGCGTTTGGCAAGCAAGTGTTTGTCGCGGACGAGAAGAACCTCGATATGGCCACGGCGCTCTCGGGCTCGGGTCCAGGTACAACATGCATGGCTACGCGCACGCCACCACTCGTGAACGCTCGTAGCCTATTTTTTCCTTGTCGCCGAAGCCATGATCGACGCCGGTGTCCACATGGGCTTTAGCCGCACGGTTGCGCAGGTAGTCGCTTCGCACTAAGATCTGCGAAGATGCTCAACCACGTCCTAGAAACTGGTGCAGCAGACGATGCTCGGGTCGGCGCTGTACATGCAGTCGTCAGGCTTGCACCCAGTCGTGCTTCGCAACAACATTACGAGTCCCGGTCCGATTTGGCTGAGACGACGAATGTCTCGATGAACCACGATTGTACGTAGGTGGCACGACCGCCGCCGCCATGTACCGTGCGGAGAAGAATGGGTTCCGCGCTGTGATTGCCGACTCGATTTGGGCGGCTTACGACCGCTCCAAGGAGCTCGGCGCGCAGGCCGAAGCCAAGTCCCACGACCATTGATACTGCAAAGGAATACACAGCACAGTCGCATGTTGAACGCTTCGTGTGGCAAAATTACTTGTCTTCCAAGTTGATGCTCGTGCCAAAGCGGGCGTAGAGGACCTTCTTGAGCGCCTAGAGATCGCAATATGCGAATGAGTGCATCGGTACCACAGAGCGGACTCACCGCCTGGCGGGCCTCCAACGACGCCTCTTCGGCCTGCAGCTTCTCCACCTTGGCTTGGGTTTTCTACGTCATCATGGTACGTCATGCGTGGAGCCATCGACCGATACCTCCGTCTGGGCTTCGAGGTACTCTTGGGCGTACTCTTCCGAGACCTGCACAAAGCTTTCGCCGATGAAGAGCCTACACAAGCAGCGATGAGCCCGACGTTCAATGCGACGTGTGATTGCCATACTGGACATTGTCGCCTTCGCCCATCATGATTTCCGTGTTGGCATCGTCGAGCGTCTCGAGCTTGTCCTATATGGCGGCGAGTCTAAGTTGCACGGTACGGTGCAGCAGGATCGCACCTTGAGCGCCTTGACCTCGTCGCGGACGTCGGCCAAGCGCGAGTTGTTGCGGCCAAATTCGTTGATGCGGTCCTGGTCTTCCTTGCGGACCTACCCCGCATGCGCCCATGAGCCCATGCGCCAGAGGATCGCAATCATCGTACGTCGACTTCGACTTCTTGTTGCGGCGCGAGCATCGTCGTCGTCTTTTCTAGGAACGGGTGGATTGACGCAGCGCGAGATGCGTCGAATTTAAGGCCCGCAGCCAATCGTGTCGCTCGCAGATCGTCTTTTTGTCCAATCCTGGGCTCGTTTTATAAATCGATGCCATTGGTTGAAATAGAGTATAATTCGTACTGGACGCTATTGGATTGGTCGAAACGAAAGATCTCAGGCACGCAAACACACTACAAGTACTGTGAGCGGGTAGTAGTGTTAAAATGGTCGGTGACGATAAACAGGGGAACGTCGCGCTGGTCTCTGCGCCAGTCCCTCCAAGGGTGTGCAGGCGCGTGGAAGCTGCATGTGCAGACCGTCGCTTTGACACGCGTGTTGACGCCTTTCCCACGTTCCGTCGTGGGCCGTCCATGTTGACGCCAGGTTGCCGTCGGCAAATAGTGTACGTCGATGGCGCCAGCGCTGGCGTCCCTGACGATCGTGGGCCGAGCGACTGCACTCTATTTTGCTTTCGCAGCTGCGGGCGGCACCAAGAGGCTGTGTGTCGCAGTCCAAGACACAATCGCATCTCTGCGCTGGTGTCGCACGGTCGCCAGCCGCCGACTAGAGACGACGCTGCGGGCCGCGACATTGCCGCGGAATCTCGCGCATCCTTGGAATCCCTGGCGACGCTCCCACTCTGTCGACATCACCATTGCAATCGTCGGTCGCCTTGGCCGGCGCGTTGATACACGGATGGCCAAATCGACGTTCGGGTCAACATCTTATTGCGCAAACTCCAAGCGTTTTTGTCCGGATACGCTGCAAGTCATCGCCCAGCGCCCTGCCACGTCAAGTTCTTTCACCCAACGGTGCCGGCCACAAGCTCAGAGCGTCCGGCACATCCTCCTCGGCGCGAGCAATTGACATGGGGATTGACACGGGGCGTCATGGCGTCGGTCGGAGTTACACATCGCTGGACATGTCCCGCCACCAAAGGTACAGCGCCGCCATTACTTCTATAAATACAGGCCGCGTTGCGCAACACAGTACTCGTACGATCGAGTGCTTTGTGTCTCTTCTTACTCGTGTCGTGAGCGTACGGCCTGCCCTGGCAGGGTCGAGCGTGGGGTCAGCAGCGCGGCAAGGCGCCAAGATACCGCGGCCATCCGGATAGCGGCGCCATCTGCCCGGCAAATAAAATCTTTTGTCGAAAGCCACATTTTTATCCTTGTGGCAGCGCGTCCAGATGGCACTTGCATACAAACACCAAGGCAAAGCTTAAGGTGTTGAACTTGCGGTACGAATCATTTTATTATATTCCACTACGAACTGAGTTTGCAGTTGAGGTGGTCATTTTGCCTTTAGCTCCGTCGATGACCAGCAGCAGCAACGTGCACCTGACGCCAGGGGCCATGTCCCTGAAGAGCCCCAACCTCTTCCAGTACGAGGCCGAGAAGAAGAGCTACGAGTTCTTCTACCCGTCGCCGCACTCGGCCGCGCGCCGAGCGACCGCGAAGAGCTCCATCATGAACCTCGTCACGACCTTGATTGGCGGCGGCGTGCTCTTGCTGCCGTACACGATCGCGCGCTCCGGCATCGTCCTCGGCTGCATCATGATGTTCTTCTGCGCGATGGGCTCTTCCTTCACGTCGTACATCCTCGTGAGCTGCTCGCGCCGGTCGGGCGCGCAGTCGTACGAAGAGATTGCCAAGAACGCGTTTGGGAAGCGCATGCAGGTCTTTACGATGGTGCTGCTCATCCTCCTCATCTTCCTCGCGTTTGTCGGGTACGTGATTCTCGTGCGGGACATTGCCGGGTCGCTCGCGTCCCAGTTCATCTTTGGCCGCGCGCTCTCGGTCCACGACGAAAACCTTGTCGCCATGTGCCTCATTGGGCTCGTCTCGCCGCTTCTCTTCCTCCAGAGCATGAACTCGCTCCGGTACACGTCGATCCTTGGCCTCTGCACCGTCGGTGTCTTTGCGATTGGCATCTTTTACCGCTCGATCGAGAAGATCAACTCGCCGTCCTTTGACGCGTCGACGCTCAAGTACGCGGCCGACAACGTCGAGGACCCCATGTACGCGCTCCCGATCGTCATTTCGTCGTTCCTCTGCCACTTTAACGTGCTGCCCGTCTACGGCGAGCTTCACAAGCCGACGCGCCGCCGTCTGAAGCGCGTCGTGGTCACGACCGTCTTCTCGACGTCGTTCTTCTACATGGTCATTGGCACGCTCGGGTACATTTACGCGTACGAGCAAGTCGGTGGCGTCCAAGGCGACATCCTCAACAACTTTGACCAAGACGACGTGGTCATGAACGTCGGCCGGTGCGGGATTCTGACGACCATCTGCTTTTCGCTGCCTTTGCTCATCCTGCCCTGCCGCCGAACGCTGTACCGCCTCATCCAGGTCGCGCGCGAGTCGGTCGAGCGCGCCGAGCACAACGAGAACCAGCCGCTGCTCGCGACTCCGGCCGACGACACGACCGAGAAGCCGATCCCGCTCATCCCACATGTCACGATGACGCTCGTCTTGGTCGCGATGGCCTTTTACCTCGCGTTTTCGCTGCCCGGCGTCGCGGTAGTGTGGAACATCATGGGCTCGACCGTCGGCATCCTCATCTCGTACGTTCTGCCGAGCGTCTGCTACATTCGCATCCGGTCGGAGAAGCCCAACTCGGACTGGCGCAAGCGCGGCGCGTGGATTCTCCTCGTCATTTCCGGCTCGCTCTTTGTCTACTGCTCGACGACGGCCATCTACAAGGTGATTTTGCTCATGGTGGGCTGAGCCGGTTGGCCGACGAAACTACTACTAATTCTACTACTTTTTGACTACACCCAACCCCACGCATTTGTCGTTAAGTATATATATATATATATCAACTAGCGGACGAAGACGTGGTCGATCGCGGCTCAATGGTGCTGCATGAAGAACGCGACGAGGGCATCAAAGCTGTACTGGTCCAGGAGCAGGTAGAGCTGCGGGATCTGCGGCTTGGGCTACATACGGTGAATCGTTGGATCATTGGATAGGACCAAACTACTATCCGGACGTACGTTGACACCGCGGAACTTGCACACGTCGACGTAGAGGTCCGTGAGAACGCCGGCGAGGTAGTTGAGCGCACGGGGTCGGGCTTTGAACTCGTCGAGGATCGTGTCGGCGTCCTTGAGCACGCTTTGGTACTCGGGCGACATCCACAGCGTATGGTCGGCTTCGTGCATTTGCAGTTCCTGCCCCATGGTTGGCTTTTTCCAAAAGTATCAAGTTGATACCTTGATACCATCGAGGATTTTGACTTGGGACGCAATCATTTGCTTCCAGTCGAGTTTCGGGCGCAGAAGGTTGAGGAGGAAGGGAATCGAGGACGGCTTGATGTCGAAGCTAATGTCGAGGCCGATCTTGCGCGTCGTCGCCTCCTTTGTGATGACTTCCTTGAGAATCGCAATCGTCGAGATGGACGCGGACGAAAATTGCGCGTCGCCCTTGCTAAACCAAAAAGTCATAACAAAGTGTTCGAAACCATTTGGTACCGGTATTCGCACACGAGCACGTTGCCAAAGAAGGTGTTGCGGAAGTACATTTTGATGTCGTCGTCCTGGAGGCGCAAGGGCACTTCGGGGAGGCAGTAGCTCACCCACTCGTGGACTTGAAGCAGCGAAAAGTCGCCAGTCAAATGCAGCGAGTTCATCGTCGCCTCGTCCAACTCGGTTGACTCGACAATGTTGATGCGGTGGTGCAGCGAGAGCGGTTTGATAAACTGCTTGACGACTTGGGCACACCGGGGCACCGTGTCCGCGAGCACCGTGAGCTACCAGATATCCATTGATCAACCTTGTATCTGTTGACTAGCAAGTACCTCGATCTCGCCGTATTGGCCTTCAAGCGTGCGCACGCGAAACTCGAGCCGGTTCGTAAACTCTTGGCAGCGGTACGTCGCCAACACGTGCGAGTTGGTCGATACATCGGGCGGCGACCGACACAGAATCGCTTGGTTGTTGACTGTATCGAGCAAGTCGAGGGGCACGCTCGAGTGCAGCACGACCGTGGCGATCGGGACCGGGATTTCCACCTACATTGATTCATTGATACATTGATACTTTTGGATATGTCGATGCGGTACCGAGAGATCGTAGGTTTGTTCGGCGACGTTGAGCGCGCACTTGCAGTTGACGGGCACTTCCTCCACGACCGGCAGACACGCTTCCTTCTCGCTCGCGCTCTTGCGCGCCATGCGGTCGCGTTCTTTCGTCACCTACACAGGATTGTCAAGACAATATGGACGCGAAAGAGACGGACCTTTTCTTCGAGCTGGGCGATCTCCTTGCGCAGCTTGACGATGCGCGTTTCGCGCTGAACCGTCCCGCGCGACCGACCGTACACATCGTCCGTGTCCTAGAGCACCTCCTTTCTACTCGACCTGTTCCTGCCGCAACAACGTACGGGCTGGTCCAACGGCTCGGACGTGAGCGAGAGCACGCGGCCCGAGTATGTGCAAAACACGATTTCGTCAAAGCCCTACGACCCGCCATCACAACTCGGCACTCAGAAATGAGCGGGCATACAGGTGTGGAGAGCACGCCGGTTTGAAACGCCCGGACACTCTCTTGCTCGACGCTCTCAAACTCTTTGGTGATGCCGCCGGACGCGTCGACCGAGTAGACTTCGATACGCCCGTCGTCCCGACCGACCTAGACAATATTGTTTATTGCAGCTAAAATGACACTAGGAAGAGAAAGCGTACAATGATCTCGTTCGAATCGTCCTTGTTGATGTCAAACGACGCAAGCGCGGTGATGGCCGCCGGGCCATGCGCGTTGCTGTCGCCGAGCGCGCCGCCATCCGTCTTCCAGATCGTCTTGACCTTTTGGTTGTTCCACTGGACAGCGCCAAACGCGCCGTTGGCGCTGCCATACAAGATCTGACTCGGCGCCTTCTTCAAAGTGTGCTTGGTCAGCGTCGTGCATGCGCCTGGGACTGACTTTTTCGCGAGCGGTTCGCTGCCCTACGGTTCACCAGGTTGGAACGCATCGGGATATCGAGCATGGCACCTGGATGAAGCGAATGTACTTGTCTTGGCACGCGAGGACGGGCACGAGCTCGTCGTTCTCGTGGAGAAGCAGCATGTCGTTGATGCGGTCTTGGCACATGTAAAAGTGCTTGTCCTGGCCGTTCTCAAACTGGTTGTAAATGTAGTCGGTTGCTACAACCGTGTGAGTTCATGCTGCGAGCAACGGCGGCGACGACCTGTCCAGAGGTGCGTGTCGTACGTGAAGACGCGGTTGATAGTCTCGGAGAGATTGGACTGGAACTTGAAGAACTCCTTGCCTTTCTTCGTGTAGCCCAAGACTTGCTGGCCGCTCGAGACATACGCCTTGTCGGTCGTGCCCTTGTACAAGCCCAAATTGATGGACGTGATCGCGTTGGTCTGCGGCACCGACTTGTAGATGGCCTACGCAGCGCTGAGCGACGGTCGCCTTCCATGGTACGTACGACAGGATCGCCCTTCTTCATCTGGAACGACGACACGACGCCCGAGTCATCGCCAACGACCAGTTTTTGCTAATGGCGACGACGACGCTGAGAATAGTTGCGTGCGGCCGCATGTACCTTCTTCTTCTTGAGGCTGAAGGGCAGAAGCTTCAGCGACTGGCGGCTCGAGATCGGCGCGACCTTGAAGAGCTCCGCGTGGCTCAGCTGCAGACTCATTCTTTTCCAAGATCCACCACGCCAGCGGCCACCGACCACTGGAATACCTTGATCATTGTATACCCATACTCTGCCCGAACCAACGAATAAGATCCTCGAAAAAGCGGCCGTGACGTGGCAAGCGGACAGCACAGATCGGCTCCCAGTTCACATCTTCTAGCATGCTCCAAGTGTAGGAATAAATAAGCGGTCGTATTGAGTTAGACGACTGTAAAGGTCTCGAAGTGCCCACGGCGGGACGCCTCCTTCGTCGACGACGCAAGCGCCTACGCAGCGGAGACGCATGAGATACGACGCTATGCATCAAGCGGACATGTACCCCAAGCACACAAAGGCTGTAGAGGACGATCCACGGAAGAGCAATGTAGATGGCAGGAAAGCAAGCGTACTCGAGCCGTACGACTAGCAGAAGCGACGGCCCCACGAAGAGCGTGGCCGCAGCCCACGACGCGACGAGCCGCATGGCGTTGCGCAGGAAGGACCCGTGTCCGTACAGTGTTCCCATTGGCTAGTCGCGGTTTGAGTCATCTCGGTTGCTCGAGAGTCATGGGATGTACCAGGATGACACCGACGACGACAAGCGGAACCCACATCGGCGCCAAGAGCGCGGGATACGACCACGTGAGGATGCCATCGAGGTGGAGACCGAGAAGAAGCACTTGGAGCACGGGTACCGGCGACGCGCCGCAAAAGAGACTCAATGTCAGCGGAAGAAAGACAGAGCTCCAGTGCCAATCGAGGTGGCCGTCGAGGCGCAGCGCCACGGCCACGTGCGTGGCGACAAAGAGAGCACGCGTGAGGAGCTGGCGCCTACACACAGCGCTTGAATCGCGTGCTTTGAGGCTTGCGGACGTACGCTGCAAAGGGCGTCACGCGGATCGCACACAGAGTGCGAAGAAGGAGGGTCGCATCCATGAGCCAGAGCCCAAATAGCGTCTCAATCCACGGACGATCAAACTCGTCATCGATCTTCCAGCACACTAGCACTACAGACGACCGCATACGTTCGTATTCGTGCATAGGATCGACGTACGTGGGAGGCTGAGCAGCGGCATCGAGAGGGCGACGGCGCCAGCGAGCGCGCCGACGGACCCGGCCGAGGTGACGCCGGTCGCGAGTGCGAGGCCGTCGAACACGACCGTGTAGAGAAGGCAGAGCGGACCTGGCATCGAAGCTTTTAATTGAAAAATGAATTGAAAACGAACGACCTCTTGCGCGTGTGGCCCGTCGGCGGAGATCGGGCGCCGCGCTCAGCAAAAGTAGCTTGCGTGGCGCCGTCTCAAGGACGCACTAAGTTGCGTGATCCAGATCTACTGCCAAGTCGATAAGAACTAGCGCATCCGTCGCGTCTGCTTACACTGGTTCCACTCGTGTCCTTGTCGACTCTAGAGCGCGCGCCTTTCGATGCAAATGACGACCGGCGGCCCGCGTAACCGGAGGCGTATCTTGGCATCCGGTTGCATAAGATCGCGTGTCCAGCATTGTCGGCCGATCGAATGTTTTGGCGGCGGCGACGTCGGTGGCGACGCGCATTTCAAGCCCGACGACGCAGCTGTCATCGTATCTTTTCCATTCAAGTGGCCTTATAACACCGCATCGCTCTGTATCAACTACGTACTGGCTGGAGTGGTGCCACCTCCGACGCCTTCAGGCGCTCATTTTGATATCAACTCGCTCGGGACTCGATTGCGAGCGCTTTTTGCATGCTGCTCATGTCGGACGACGGTGTCTTGCGCAGCACCTAGTTGGGCATGCTACCGAGAGAGGGCAAAAGGATGTGAAGCGTACGGAAAGCTCGCGTTCGAGCCGCGCCTTCTCGAGCCGCGTGCGGTCCAGCGCCGACTTGAGTTCGACGTCGTGCCGCATGTGCTGGTGCTGCGTCGCAAGCAGCATTGCGAGTTGGGCGCCGACGTCCGATGCTTTGCGCTCGGCCTCTTCGACGTGCATTTGCATTTGCGAGCATTGGTGGTGCGCTTCGGCCAGCTCTTGCTCGAGCGCAATGAGCTAATTTCGATGGCGTTTGGGTACACGGTGATCCATTGCAGTGGTGGACCTTGGAGCCATACGAGGCGTGGCGCGCCTGGATCTCCTGGAGCTGGGACTCGACCCGGGCCTTCTCGTCCTTGAGGCGGCTGAGCCGGCTCGCCGACACATCCATCTCGCTCTTGAAGCGGCCTTCCATGCGCTGATGGTCCATGCGGAGCATGTGCTCCATCTTGGTGGTCTCGTTCTTTGCCTACTGGCGCGTCGACATGACAATCGACGCTACGGCTCACCTACCCGCACGAGCTCGGTCTCAACTTGGTCGAGGCGCGCCTTGAGTTCGCGAATTTGCTGCACATACATGTCGATTTGGTACTTTTGCTTGGCCGACACGTCGCTCCGGACGTCGTGCAGCTCCTTGGTCATCGCCGCGACGTGTCGCTCCTTGGCAGCGAGCGCCTCGTGGGCCTCGCGCACCTCGGCGCGGCGCACTTCCAGTTCGCGCTCCAAGCCTCCTCTTTGGTCCTTCTCGATCTGCCACTTCTCCTGCACCTCGGCGAGGACGCGTTCAAACTGGAGCTCCTTGGCCGTCAGCGTTGCAGCGATTTGCGTTTCTTTGGCGAGCGCCTACAATGTTGGAGGGAGCCCCGACGCCAGCTCGAACAAGACGGTACCTCGTCTCTAACGAGCTCGGACGACGCGACCCGGGCAACCATGTGTTCAAACTTGTCCTACGCTACTTTGAAGCCGTGTGGAAGCAACCATGGATAGACCTGGAACACGGCCACGCGGGCCTCACTCTGCGTCGTGAGGTCGCGAAGGCTTCGCTCCGCGTCGACATGCAGTCGCATCGCGTTTTCCTACCCACCGGCATGAGATTCAAGGGGGCGGAACGCCGTCGACGTACGAGCTGCATCTTGAGCGTCACGATCGTGGTCTGAGCGTGCTTGAGCTCGTCGCTGCGATAGGCCAGCTCGTTCTCGAGCCTACGGATCTTCAGTATACGGGCGGTATCGTAAAGATCCGACTTGCGCCGGAGCTTCTCGACGCTCTCGTCTTGAAGTTTGAGGTACTCGGCCGTAGCGACGCGCTTTTGTTCCGTGAGCCGAGCAATCTCCCGTCGACACTGCGTCTCTTTGGCTTTGGCCTACGCACTGTCACGCGACGGACGTGGCATTTTGCATGTACTTGATCGCGCTCGAGGATCACGGCTTGGGCCCGCTCTTGACTTGCACGCTCGAGCTACACCAACTATTTTCAATACCCAGTGGCTGCGGGCACGTACCTCTGTCACAGCGTCTTCGCGCGACGCGTACTCGCCGAGCTGCTTCTCCATCGACTGCATCACCTTGAGCATCCCTTCGCAATCGCTTTTGACCATCTCGAGCTCGTGGCTCGTCGCATTGTAGATCTCCTACACTTGCCGATCACATCCCAGGACCCAAATAATGTGAGCTCGCATCTACCTGGAGCTGCTCGAGCTGCTTGTCCTTCCCGTCGAGCGCCGACGTGAGTTCACGGAGTCGTTCGCACACGCCTTGGTAGCGCTTGGTCACCGTGCTTTGCTTTTGCTCGTTCGCAGCTTTGATCTGGGTCAATCGGTGCTCGTACTCTTGCACTTGGAGCTAACAGGACTGGTGCAGTCGATGGTAGGTTGCCGTCCTTCGTACCTCGTACTTGACGACGGCGTCCTTGTGGCTTTGCACGTGGGCCAAAATGGTCTCTTTCTGCGCCTCGAGCTGGGCTATTGTCGCGGCAAACTGCTGCACTTGGGCTTCGGCGCGCTGCTTGTCGTGCTTCATGTGGTCGGTCGTATCGCGGAGCTCTTGGATCGCGAGCGTCGCTTGGTTGAAATTCTGGCTCATCGTGAGCAGCTGTGTATCGCGCTCGGCCACGTCGCGCCGAAAGTCGTCGAGCTCGGTCTCTTGGAGCGACGCCTGCTCCACGAGCAAGCTGTTCTCCTGCACCAGAGTGTTGGCATTGCTCACGCATGTCTGAGGATGCCATACCGACATGAGCAGCTCGATGCGCTCGTTCAAGTCGGCGAGCTGGTCGTTGATGTTCACGTCGGGCTTGCGCTGGTCGGTGAAAAAGTCGACGCCCGAGCGCATCGCGACAGGGACGTCCGACTGCAGCACGAGTTTGTCCATCGTCACGCTGAGCTCACTACGCAATGCAGGAGGAGGAAGCTACGTTGATGATGGATGGACGTCTCGGTCGTACTGCTGGAGCCGCTCGTTGTCCCGAGCGAGCGCGTCGGCGTGGCCCACAAACGCATCGAGATCCCGCTTGTGCTTGTCGACAGTGGCTTCCTACGCGCGTCAATAGCGTCAACGACGCATGGATGCAATGGCCTACGAGCTCCTTGATACGGCTCTCGTACGCTGCAAAGAGCGGGCTCATGTACTCCTTGGACGTGAACCATGGCGGGCTCGGGAGCGGCGCGCTGCCGTCGTCGTCGGCCTGCAGTGCGATCGGGTCGCAGAGCTGTTGCAGCTGCTCGAGCTCGTTGTGCTTGACGAGGACGCGCCGGAGCTGGTTGAGGATGCGCTCGACGTACTTTTTCAGGAACGCGAGCTCGTCCGTCTGCGCAGCGAGCTTCTCCTGGTAGACCTCTTCTTGCGCCCGAACGTCCATGGGGACGACGAATTCGCGTTCCTTCGGCAGCGGTGGCAGCGGTCGGTCGAAGGGCTGGTCGCGCTGCAGGAGTCGCCTCGAGCGCTCTTCCTGCGGCCCGCCATGGGGCAGCGACGGTAGGACCTGCATGGGATCTTGGATCTATACCGTCACTTTGCATATCCTGTCACAACATATATATATATCCAAAGGTTATTAAAACCTGTGAAAAGAAATATTTCTCTCTGCCCTTGTTGATAGGCAAGGTGGGACATGCGCCGAGGACGAGCGTCCAGCTGTGGCGCCCAGCGAAGCTCGCCGATGGATGGATCCATGAGGCACTGTGCTATGGCACGATCGATGGCCCCTCGTCATCCTTCGCCGATTGCTGGCGAAGGCCATCCCTTCGAGAAAGGTCATTCTCCGCCATATGGTGATCAAAGCGCCAGCATCGCCCGGAGCGAGGAGGAAGCAAGCGGTGGTGTAGCATCATGTGTATCGAGGTGTGCCCTCTGCAGCCCAGTTCAAAGCTGTTTGTGCTTCAAGCAGGTTGCTGCTGGCCCGCCCGGGGTCGACTGAGCTTGGCTCATTCACTTTTTAAAGCGGGGATCGGCAGCTTGGCTCGTCGTCGCTTCGCTCGGAGGATGCGTTGGTCGGCTGGCGGTTGGCCACGGCGCTGTTGACGCAACCGGTTAATTGCTGGACGTGTCGCAGGTTTGGTTGCATTTTGGTAGTGCATAGAAAAGCCCATACAATCCCGAAAATGCAATAAAACGGCGCGTTGGGAGCGGTCCTTCAAGTGCGCGCGGTTAAAGTTCGTCCGAAAATAGGCAGCCAATCACACATTGGCCTTGCGACAAGTGCCCAATCGCAAGGCAGGTGGCCGAATCATTTGCTAGCGGCCATATAATTTACCAGGGGAAAAAGCCAGCCAAAACCTCCAAGCCGAGATTCTCCATTTTCAAATTCCAAGTCTTCTTCTTCTTCCAGCACCGAGATGGACGCGCCCTCGACGATCCACTGCGACTGCCCCGTCGGCTCCTCCGAGCTCAAGCTCCATGGCGCCAACTGCTCCCTTGCGCTCCTCAAGTGCCCGTGGCAGTGGCGTGAGCCCTTCCTCGATGAGCGTCGGGCCAAATTGAAGCGCAAGGTGGGCGACGGCTACCTCTGCGACCCCGTCGACCCCGCGTTTGTAGACCAGCTACTACCTGGCTCGGTCACCAAGCTCTTCCGCGTCGTGGAACAGGACGAGCAGTCGCAGATTCAGATCGAAATCCAACGGCTGAACGAGGCCAAAGCGTCGGCCCGCGACCATACCTCGAAATGGGACCACGACGATGGCGACGTGGGCACACGAAAGGCATTGCCAGCCGGTTCGGAGTCGCCGATCACGGTCGCCGCGCCCGTCTGCAGCGGCGAAGAACTGGCGTACCTCGACAGCATCCTCCTCTCGAACGAAGCACCGAATCCAGTCTCGTCGCCGTCGGCCATCACTGACACGGAGGCCATCTCGCGCAGCACGCTCGAGGAGCCTCTCTTACAGCTGCTCTCGGACCGCTACGAGACGTACCTCAACTATGACGAAGAGGAGCTCAATTTTGCGGAAAACGACCTTCAGCCGACCCGCCAGCCGACCCGCGTCGCAGCGTGAGCGACTGCGCTAGCTTAGAATATATTTATTGCCGGCATGGCTTTGACAGTCGCCTGTCCAAGCTCTCACGCCCATGTCATGTACATCGATGTCTTTGAACACGACTCTTCCTTTGTGCGTCTCCTCTCGTGTAGTGCCAGCTACTAATGCAGTAGCCACTTCCACGTCGGCGCGGAGCTGCCCACAGCTACTTCCGCCTCGCCCTACGTAAGCACGCCACCGACGACCGCGCCCCGCTCGGCCATACCCACCAGCACCAAGGCCATGGGACTGTAGTCGCCTGCAGCTGCGACGCCGCCCGCCCCGTCCCGCGGTTTCGGAAGATTCATGTGCGTTCGCCGCTGCAAGTGGGAGCTCATTGGCCGACTGGGTTTATCCGGATACCGATAACCGCCGGCTTTTCTGACAGCAAGATCCGGGCGACGCGACGATGCTGGCCCTCAACATGCGCCAGCTCAAGTACAAGACGCTGGCCGCGATGGGCGTCGCCCAGTCGGTCGAGGACCCGTCCTTCGAGATCCTCTGCGGCGCCTTCACGGCCATGGAGGAGGCGCTGCCGCATCTGCACCATCAGGTGCTCACGGCCTTGTCGAGCTGCCACACGTTTTGCCACACGCTTGTCGCGACGTTCCAGCAGATCAAGCCGTCAGGCAGCAGCTACTTTGCGACGCTGCACGCACTGCGCGAGCAAGCAGAGGCCATGGAGCAGGCGGTGACGCTCACGGTGTTGGCGCCGCTGCAAGCGCTCATGCAACGCTGCGCGTTCCTGCGTCTCCAGCTGCAACAGCGCGACCGGCTCGTCATGGACTACGACCTCCTCAAGCTCGACGTCTCGCGCATCCCCGACGACGCCAAGCTTGAGCGGCAGTACAAGCTCGAGCGCGCGTGGCAAGCATACCAGACATTTACCCGCCAGCGCATGGACGACATCCAGCAGCTTCAAGCCGACGAAGCGCAGATCCGCGCCGAGATCTTTGAGATCATGGTACGCCCTTCTCGTTCCCCATCGTTTCACTCGTTTAGTAGAAGCTGCACATTGCCAAGTTCTTTTCGCAGGCGCAAAAGAAGCTATGGGACAACTTGAGCAATGCGACGCCCGACCTCCCAGCGTCACCACCACCGTCCTCGCCGCCAGCAGCAGCCACCGACATGCCCGCGCTGCTGCTGCCGCCTGCGTCAGCAAACGCACTCATTTCAGCTCCGCTGCTCAGCCCGTCTTCGCCGCGTCGCTACGCCGAGACGTCGTGGTTTCCGGGCTTTGTCCGCCGGTCGTGGTCGATTACACCCGATAAGGCGCCGACGCCGGCGCTGCCGAGCCCACCGCGACCCAAGGTATTTTACTTTTTCTCCCAAGTACTACTCATTCCGTAGCACCAATCTAAACCTTTGGCGCTCGCTCCAAACGAGTGGCGCGGCATTGAGAGCGCGCTCTGGGCGCTCGACGAGCAGGCCCACCCGCCGACGACGCGGTTCTCGAGCGCGACGCTGCCACGTCATTTCCAAGACTCGGACGTGCTTGCGATTGGCGCATACCTTGACGTCGTGTCGCTGTGCCAGTTTGGCATGGCCGCCAAGGGCTTCTACAACGGCATCCTATGCCGGCCAGCGCTGTGGCACCGCGCGGTGCGCGCCGGCGGCGTCCCGACGCACCTCCGCAGCCGCTTTTGGCTCTGGTACTTTCACACCCGGCACGGCCGGCTCCATTCGCACCGGACAGACTACCAAGCACTCCTGCAGCGAGGCGCCTACATGGTGCACCTCTCGCACGCGTCCGTCGAGACGCTGCCCGGTAGCGTCAAGGTGAGCACTCGACGTCGACTGACGATGCACTGAGTAGACTCGGACCCCGATGCGCGGCTGGTGCACTGGTTTAGCGACATTGACGTTGACGTGCGCCGGACGTGCTACAAGGACGTGCGTGGCGACGCGACGACCGAGTTTGCGGACGACGCAGTCTCGGACGACGTGGCCGCGCTCGTCGAAGCCGCGCGCGTTCAAACGACGCATCAGCACAGTCCCCGGCACAGCGACAGCGCAAGGGTCGAGCGGGCGATGGCCATGGAAGCGCAGATGCGCCGTCTTCTCCGCGCCTACGTGGTGCACAACCCTCGCATTGGGTACTGCCAGGGCATGAACTTTATCATTCGACTGCTGCTCGAGACCCCTTCCTCGGACGAAGCCAGTGTCTTTTGGACGTTTGTGGAGCTCATTGAAGGTGCAAGCTCCCTGTACGAACCCGGGTTTCACGTGCTCCAGTCTCTCTTTACAAAGGTACAACGGCCCAAACTATCAATGTATCAACGTTTGCGTAGCTCGACGTGCTCATCCGCGAGCAGCTGCCCGAGCTCCATGTGCATCTCGACCACCTCGGTGTCCATGTGTCGATGTTTGCTGCTCGGTGGTTCCTCACCCTCTTCTCGTCACTCGAGACATTTGGCCCGAGCCTCGCGCTGCGCTTCCTCGATCTCTATTGCATCGACCGGCACCGCGTCCTCTGCGGCCTCGCGCTCGTCGTCCTCGACGAACTCGAGCCCGTCATTTTGGACGCCGACTTTGAAACGTGCTTGCGCATCCTCCAGAGCCCGCGCAGCTACCTGCCCGAAGCGAACGAATGCAAGCAGACGCAAATGCTGCAACACGCGCTCGTGCTCAGCATCACGCGCACGCTCCTCTCGCCCGAGACAAGGGCCTAGTCTATGTAATGTGATCCTCGTTCGACCCTACCCCTACCCCTAACCCTACCCCTCGGCAACTCACAAAACAATTGGCATGCAGCATTGGATAGAGAGCTGATCAAAGGCAGGACCTACTACTCACTGGGCACAACGACGACTTGGGCGGGCGTGACGCAGAGATGGAGGCGGCAGAGCGTGCAGCGGGCGCGGAGGGGCAAGCTCGCCATGTGGGGGCGCGGCGAGAGGACGGTGCGCACCCCGGCGTGCGTCTTCCAAAACGCAAACAGCGTCAGCGACGAAAGGAGTGCGTAGAGGCAGACGTTGAGGACAAAGAGCCCGTGGAGAACGTACGACGCACTTGACCAGAGCGGCGAGCACCACAACACGAGTAGAAAGCTCGACGCAAAGAGGGTATAGTAGAGCCGCAAGTAGAGCGGGAACGCAAAGAGGTCGTCCCAGATGCGCTGGATGACCAAGTCAAACCGACTTGAGTGCAAGAGCGAGCTCAGAAACGTCGTGTGCATGAGCCAGAGGTACAACGCCGGCGCTTTCCAGCCAAAGCCCGCGTACTGCAGGACGGCCGCCAGCACCAGCAGCACTTTGAGGCACGAGAGCACAAACGTAGCGTCGATCCGCGTCGTCCGCGACAGCTCGAGGACCGTCGTTGGCGGCCGCCACCCGAGCACCGCCGTCGCATGCACCTCACAAATGTCTTGGTCGAATAACGAGTTTTCGAGGCAGCGGCGGTGGGCGACCTTGCGCGCGCGCGTGATCGGGTGCGTGCAGCCGCACAGCGACGGCACCCACGACGACGTCTGGTGCTCCTCGCAAGCGTACGCGTGCTCGAAGCGCGCTTGGTGCGGCGTGACTACCTCAAATGCCTTGCAGAGTTGGCAGTGGTAGAACGCGCCGCCGCCGTCGATGACCGCCAGCACGCGCTTCCAGACGCTCTCGGTCTGCGGCAACGGTAGAGTCGGCGGGACCACGCGCGTATGGGGCAAGTCCCAGTCGCAAAACCACTGCAACAAGCAGCGCTCGACGCGCACGCAGAGCGTGTCGGAGAAGAGCCGCGTCGACGGCACGTGCGTGACGCGGTGCCACGTGTCGTCTCGAATGCTGGACGGCGGCGCGCCGCAGCGGCGCACAAACAGCGTGTGCCACACGTCGGCGGTAAACACGTCATCGCGATGCGCTCGCGACGTCGACGCCAAGTGCGCAAGGTCCCGGAACGACAGAAACTCACACAGCGTCAAGACCACGTCGGGTGGCCAACGCGCCGTCACATGGGGCGCACTGCGGCGGACGACGTAGTGCTGTCGCGGTGCCATCGACCGACGCATCCACGTCAGGAGGCACATGGTGACGGCGAGCACAAGCACGCAGCACGCGAGGTAGAGCACATGCATGGGCGAGAGTACGACCGACAAGAGCGTGTCGAGCGACAGGCGGTTGTCGACAGCCCACATGAGCAGCGCGGCCCCCGTGCCGGCCAAGGGCAGCAGTAGCGGCGGTAAGCGCTCGGGCGGTGAGAGTGAGAAGAGCAAGACGAAATGAGCCGCAAAGCCGATCGCGCCGGTCGAGACGCCGAGCCAGAGGTGCGCGTCTTGGTGCCACACGTTGATCGTAAAGAGAATCGCAAGCAGCAGCGTGAACGACCAGAGCGTGTACCCGAGCACTTGGTAGAGCATGCGCCCGCGGTTCGCAAAGCGATACGTGAGCGGGATCGACGCAAAGAGCGCAATCGCGGCGCAAATCGTGAGCGGGAACGCCGGCAGCGTCGCGCCGCAGCGCAAGAGCACGAGGTCGACGAGGGCAAACGCGGCGCACGACACTAACCCGAGGATCGGCCCCAAACACGACTCGATGCGGACATGCGGGAGAACGCGGCGGGTCGGCGGCGTCGTCGGCGGCGTCATCGGCGGCTCAAAGCACCGGAGACTCCCGAGAAGGACTGTTTGCGCAACGAAGAACATCATGCCGATGGCGGCGACGATGCCGTGGACTTTGAGAAATGAGCTGTGCCAGTAGATGACCGTGCACGCTGCTACCCACGCCATGACGGCCAGCGTCCAGCCGACCCCTACGCGGATCGTACATAAGAACACATAGAGCATACGGAAGCGAGCACCTTGGTAGACGACGAAGCGGAGACCACCGCGAAGCGGCTGGAAGACGCGGTAGCTCGGGTCCAGCTGGGGGCCGCAGATGCAGTGCGTGCACGCAAGCCCAATGACCGCCACGATGGTCGCAATCACAAAGAGCACTTCACTCACAAAGGACCAGGCCGCGTCCTTGAAGCCTTCGGCACAGCAAAAGAGCGTGATCGACCCGAGATCGAGCGCGGCGCTTGCGAGCATCGAGACGCGCAGTGGCTGCATGGACGGCGTTGGCGCGGGCGTCGTCGGCGCAAAGAGCGTCAGCGACGATCCGAGCACAATGTGGGGCACAAGGCCGTATAAACTCAGCGCCAAGAGCACGCCGGGTCGGACGTGCATTTCGTTCCACATGGCACCGAGCGAGACGCAGTCAAAGAGCACAAAGATCGAGAAGAAGGTCCACCCGAGCGCTTGGCGGAGGACGTAGGCGTCGCCGCCGCAAAACGGCTGCCAAAAGGCATAGCCCGCATGGAGGCGTGTGCCCAGGCCGTGGGTCGTCACCACGGCGACGCTGGACGCGACGAGGCCGAGGGCCAAGCACACAAACGCGGTGCGGCCGTTGAGGTGGAGGAGCTCGATGGCGAGGTGCAGGACAATCGTCGCAAACGAGAGGAGAAGGCTGAGGACATACTCGCCCGTCCAGAGCATGGACGTTGTCGACAAAGCATGTGACGACGCCGACTCGACCTCGAAAAAGGGCATCGAGAGCGAGATGGCGAGCGCGGCGATCGAGCCCGTGACGCACGCGAGCGGCAAGACGTGCGTCAGGAACGCGTCGTCGTTGAGGAGGAGCAAGAGCGAGACGCCGAGGAAGATGCCGTACCAGAGCCACCCCATCGACTGTAAAAACACAAATTTCGAGTCGCCGACAAACGGTTGCCAGAGCTTGTAGCCGCGCACGCTGCGGTAGCCTAGTGGAGGTTCGTATCAAGCGACAGAGGACCGAGGGACGTACCGCCGCAGTGGGCGACGGGACTCGCACCGGCGAGCAAGAGGAGGCACACCATGCCTACATCAAATGTGACGCCAATTGCCGACAAATGAACGCGAAATGTACCGAGCAAGCGCGTGTTGCCGTCGACGAGCACGTACAAACACGGAAAGAGCGACGAGTGGCACACGAGCGTCGTGAGGAGGCAGGCAAAGATGGCAAATATACCGCTAAGGAACCCTTCTTCGGGAATTTGCATGTAGCTCCACGCCGTTCGCGGGTGCTCGGATACCTTGAAGCAGTAGAGCGAGCTCAGCAAGAGCACTTGCGAGACGAGCCCGAGAAGACCAGAGCAGAGCGCGAGACCGTACGAGTGGCTCTGCAAGCAGACGAGGCAGGCGGTCGCCACCGCCATGCACGTGAAGAAGCTCCAGCCGAAAAACTGCAGCAGAAGAAAGACCGAGCCGCCTTCGAACGGCTGCCAGAGCCGGTAGCCCGGCATCTCGAGCACGCCGACGCAGACATGCAGGAGCACCGCCGAGAGCGCAAACTGAGCAACGCCCATGGGCAGAAGGACGCCGCCGGACGCAAAGAGACCTGAGTCGTACACAGCAAAGAAGATGGTCCCAGAGAGCGAGACAAGGATCGCGACAAGGGCTTTGGACCAGCCGGGGAGGAAGGACCGCTGGACAAGCGACGTCGGCGTGCTCTCGTCCGGCACGACAAACTGATCGATGCTCAAGTTCAAGAGCGCTTGCGCGATAAAGGCGACGATACCGAGAAGAAGGAACTGCCCTTCAAAGCGCGTGATGGTGGTAAAGTTGGCCAAGATGACGAGGCAGAGCGCGAGGAAGAGCGCAATCATGGACCAGCCAAACGCTTGCATGCACACAAAGCTGAAGCCGCCTTCGAACGGCTGCCACCACGTAAAGTGGCCTTTCGTCGCTGGCGACTGAGTGCCCGCGAGCAGCGTCAGCGGTCCGATCCACGCGACCATGAGCGTGCCGAGGGCGAGGAGCGTGACGTCGGGCTCCGGCATGAGCTCCATGAAGAGGAAGATGCCAAAGGTGCACACGCTTAGCACGAGCGCACAGACGCGCAGCTGCCAGCAGTCGCTGCGCGCGTCCCAGAGGTGGCGGCGATGAGGCGGCCCATCGTGTGGCTTGGTCGCCAGCGGTCTCGCAGCTCGCATTCCACCGGCTCGGATACTGCAACTTTGCAATTCCCACACGCTCAAAAAAGCCCACCAGCAGGTTTCAGAACTGGGCAAAGATGGCAAAACCTCTTATACTTAATATTCTCCGCCCAACGACCAGGTCGTCGAGGCTACGCAAGGAGCCAAGGAGCCGCGCCGCCGGAGCCGTGTACTAGTACATGGAACCAAGCAACTCAATGACTCTGCTTGCCTTCGTCACATGCGCCGTGCAAGCAGTACATAGAAGGCAGAAGAGCAAGCATGTTCGACGAGGTTCGGGCGAGATGGCGGTTGACAGTTCCGAGCGCCGACCTTTGACTGGTCGATCACGCATCCCATCACCGGGATCGGCATGGCACTGCTGCAAGGTCGTCTCCTGGATGAAACCGGAAACCTCCCATAATTAATATTTGCATGCACTGTCTTCACTATCGGCCGCGTTACTGGTGCGACGCTGGCAAGCTCGGCAGCAGAGAAGAGAAGCAGCGAGCGCGCTGGCGTGCAGCTGCGTGTTCTTCGCTCACGCACGACGACGTTCGGTGATGTCGTCTGACGTCAGGTGCGCATGATAACGCCGGATCCGGATACGGGCGGGCGTATGCGGAAGATTTGCCTTTCGATGGCCAAGGCTGTGAAGCCAGGCAGCGCGGAGGCGAGACCGCCGAATGACGACGAGCGCGAGATACCGATAGCGCTCAACCTGCCGGGCTTGGCCATGAGCTTTGGCTTTGACTGGGTCTTGGGTCGGTGTGTTCGCGGAGGCCGGCGACTGACGCACGTCGATAGACACGTCGGAACTCTGCGCCGCGCGCGAGAAAGAGACCGATCTGCTCGCACGAGTCCGCGCCTTGGAGGACGAGAACGCTGCGCTGCGCGACAAGTGTCAGCGCATTAGCGAAGAGTCCAATCTCGACAAGTTCAAGAGCCAACTGCTCGTGGAAATGGTACGACAATGACCTGCGATGGCCATGCGCCTACCGACGCCATGGTGTAGCTGGCCGTAAGCTCGCTTGACGAAGAGCGCACCAAGGCTGAGTTCGCCAAGGAGCAGTCCAAGGTCATGCGGCTGCGCCTCGACATGAAGCTCTTGCTCGAGAAGGCCGCCAAAGAGAACGTCGATGTCCGCGACTTGCTACGAGCCCTCGCCGAGCCATGACGCGTCCTGTCAAACTAGCAAGCACGTAATGTATCGTGCTAAGAATACACGGCGCGCCATGACATGTTCGATCCGCCTGACTGACCGTCCTGTCCAGGGACCATGCACATTCTTTGGTGCTCCTCGCGGGGTGGAGCTACAGTATTGCCAGCAGCTCGGTACACCTACCACGACCGACCCATGCCACCAGTCGACTGTCTGTACCAAATGGCGTCGGGTGCAGCCTCTTGGAGGGATAAGACTGACGCACACGTTGGGGTGGGCCGTTTTGGCGTTGAAAATAGAAGCCCATTTGATTCATTTCTTGAAATCGCCGACAAGCGGGAATGGAGACGATCTTGCTGCTGCGCCTGCGCGTCCAGGGCGACGCCGTCGGCTACTGCCTTCCGACCGGCGAGTTTCTCTTTGCGACGATGGACGCACCGCGCTGGTTCTTTGAGCCGACGGCCGAGACGTCCGAGTACGACGGGTCGCTCTTGTACGGGCAATCGATCTACAACTTCATGTCGCCACTCGACCGCCAGCGCTTGTACCAGTACGTCTACGACGTCCAGGCCTCGCTTCTCGAGTCGCTCGAGGCCGCGGACCGCCGGTCGCGCACGGCGCCGCACGCGCTTCCCCGCAACGAAGCCGCGCTCTTACAGAAGGAGCTGCCGTTCCTGTGCACCATTGACGGTACCGCCACGGTCCTGCGCATCGAGGTGACTGCGACGCCGCTCACGTTTCGCCTTCAGCGCTGCATTGATGCGATCCAGGCAGTCTCGGAGCACACGCGCCGCTTCAGCGACGAGTCGGTCTTCGTCATTGACGAGAACGAGTACCAGAGCATCATTGCAAATGACGCGTACTGCGTTGGCGTCGACGACGGCGAGTCACACGCGTATGGAACTGCCGACGACGGCGAGTCACACGGGCATGGGACTGCCGACGACGAGATGGACAGGGAGCGCGACTCGGACGCGTCGCTCGCCGACTTTGCGTTCGACTTTCAGGCCGACTGGGCCGAGACGTCGCCGATGCGCCTGCAGCTCGACCAGACGCACGACGCTATTGACAGCGGGCGCAAGGCGTCGCCGCAGGCGACTACGAGCCCGATGGCCATGCACCAGTTCTAGTTGACGCGCTTGGATTTTGCCACACCACATTTTTTAATTTAACCCTTTTCGCTCAAGGCTCGTGGTACAGCGTGTTGGCGGCGAGGAGCCACTGCACATGATCGTCGGTCGTCTCGGTAAAGCCGACGAGGCTGCGGCCGCTCACCATCTTGAACTCGAGGCCGTTGGGCTTGACCGTGCTTGTCTCGATGCTCTGGACAAGGTCGCCGCCCTTCTTGGGCTGGCCTTCGAGGTTGATGTCGTAGTACGCAAGGACGTTTTCGCGCAATACAAAGTACCGGCGCTTCCACGAGCGCATGACCGCGCCGCGCTTCTCCACCCAGCCCCGCGTGACGTGGGCGTCCACACGCAGCGGGACGCAAAAGTGATTGAGCTTAAACTCGGCGGTCGCGCGCGCATTGCAAAACTGGCGGATCGCCGTCACCTCGGCCGCCGATGGCACGTCGCCGCTGGTCGCCCGGCCGTCGGCGACCGCGCGGCAGTGCTCGGCCACGCGGGTGAGCGCCGGCAAAATCTCCTCGCCGGCGTTGGTCATTTCCACATAGCACTTCCAGAGATCCCCGGACGACGAGACGATGATGAGGCCGTTGTTGACGTCGCTCCAATGGTAAGCGGCGCAGACCGTGATCGCACCCTTGGGCGCTCGCCCGGGGTCGTTCGCTTCGTCCTCGTTGCCAAAGTACGAGAGCCGGCGGCCCTCGAGCACGAAGAAGCGCCGCTTCCACTTCTTGCTCAGGCGGTACGCGTACCCGGCAAAGTCGGCGTTTACGAGTCGAAATTCCTCTGGGCGGCTGCGCGCCAAGCTCGCGCTGCGCTCCATAGCGACGCTTGTTGACTGCGTGTCAAGTGGTTGACCTTTCGACGAATATTGATATATTGAGGTTTTTTATGCCAGACCAATATGGAGACGTTTGACATAGTGTTTATATGTACTCTTTTTCAAATGCGGAATTGCGCTCCACGGCAGGTCCTATCCGGATATGGCGGCACCCAATATTTTGCATGGCATCCGTTTGGTTGGCGCCACAAGAGGACAATGAGTCACGACATCGCGTCCGTGGGCGACAGCAGCAAGATGCCGAGCAAGCAGCGTACAGAGCTTATCGCACTCGAGCGCTGGCAGTAGGCGGCTCGCCACATTGGCCCACTGACGCTCCTGGAACGGTCGCCTTCTCGTTCGCGTTGAGCTTTGTCAGCTTCTTGGCTGCCCCCAGCGAGAGACTGAGAGAATGGCTTCGTTCGAGCTACATGTTGTCTCGAGCTTCTCTGTGCGTAAGGAGGCTTGGAATACGGTTTGAGCCCGGCCTCCGTCAGCGTCTCGCTGACTGTGCTGAGCCTAACTTCGGGAACGAACGCTTGTGCGCTTACGTTGCACTGCTGCTTGACTCTTGACGCTCCGTCGTATCGTCCGCAACTCGTACACCCTGCCGAAGCCATCGAGTTGGCTCAACAGTCGTGTCACCTTTTGAAAAGAGCGCGTTTGGCTTGCTCTTGCGAGCCAGACATGTACGGAAGGAACGACCGCCACCGACTCCATGCAGCTGCTTGATGCGCTGGAAGGTCTCTGTCCACACTCTGCTCATCGTACTGTGACGAGTTGACCAGCAACACACATCTTTAGTGGTTGCGACCGCTGGACCAACCGGCGCATCGACGATAGCTGCTTGTTGGATCTGAGAGCTCGAGACAGGAGCGCTCTACGACGCGCGGTGCAAGTGCAGTTTGCTAGCGCTATGAAGACACATCGAGAAATGGCTGTCCAGGACAATGCAAATCAAGCAACTCAAATGCTGCCGCGACAAGAACATTGGGCGCTTGGTTGTCCGTCGCCACGAAACCTCGTTTTTGTGGTGCTTCAGAGCACAATATATATGTATCGATTCACAAATTGTACGTTTGCTTTCGCGAATTCGACGAATCGCCTCCAATTTGGATCGGGTTCGAAAATCATACTGGATCTCGAAATACCTCTGGCATTGCATGTCGTATTCTATGTATTTTGGGAGGTATTACTGCAATCAGCCAATGGGAGGCTAGCCACGTAGCGAGCACTCACTTCGCTTTCGACCGCTCGTGGAGAAGGACAAGCAGCATGGGCGCCATGGACACGCTCAAGAAATGGGACTTTTACAAGAAGATTCCGGAGGTAGACATTGGCTCGATGAACAGGCAGATAAGCTCATGGCTTCATGCAGGACCTCACGGTGTCGACGCTGCCCGGCGTGAGCCTCTCGCTCGTCGGCTGCTTCATCATGTTTGTGCTCTTCATCCTCGAGTTCAACAGCTACCTCAGCGTCAACTACCGCTACGACATTGTCATGGACGAGGGCCTCGACGAGATGATGCGCATCAACTTCAACATCACGGTGCCCGACCTCCGCTGCGAGTTTGCATCCATTGACGTGAGCGACATGACGGGCACGCGCAAGCACAACATGACCAAGGACATTTACAAGATCCGCATCGACTCGAAGCGCCGCATCCTCGGCATGTCGGCCGAGGAGCAGCCGATGCCCGCGTACGCCGACGACTCGGTCTACGGCGATTTGCCCGAGTCGGACGCCGTCGTCACGATGCTGGACGAAGCGACGTTCGAGCCGTTCCTCAAGGAGCACCACTATGTGGCCGTCGACTTTTACGCGCCGTGGTGCATTTGGTGCCAGCGCCTCGAGCCCGTCTGGGTCCGCACGGCCAAGACGCTGCCGACGCTCCACATGGGCCAGCGCATGCGCGTCGCGTCCGTCGACTGCCAAGCGCATCCGGAGCTCTGCATGACGCAGTTCATCCGCGCGTACCCGACCATCATGTTTTACAAGGACGGCGACCTCTCGCCCGTCGAAATGTACCACGGTGATCGGTCGGTCGAAGCGTTCACGGAGAAGTTCCGGACGCTCTTTGAAGGCGAGGCCGACTACGCCGAGCAGCGCAAGAAGGAGATGCACGAGAGCGACAAGAAGGAGGCCGCGACGAAGGGCGAGCTCATCGCCAAGGCGCCGGGCGCCGAGGGCTGCCAGCTCTACGGGCACCTCTACGTCAAGCGCGTGCCAGGCAACTTCCACGTGCACTTGCAGAACCCTGCGTACTCGATGGATGCGAGCCTCGTGAACGCGTCGCACACGGTCGGCGAGCTCTGGTTTGGCGAGCCCGTGCCGTACAACGACCTCGTGCGGCTGCCCAAGGACGCGCACGCCAAGCTCTACTCGCACCGCCTCGAGGGCAAGGAGTTTACCGCGTACCACAAGGAGCACACGTATGTGCACTACATCAAGGTCGTGACCAACTCGTACGTGCAGTCGAACGACGACGTCATCAACGTGTACAAGTACACTGCGCACTCGAACGAGTACGAGGAGAAGGACGACCTGCCCTCCATCATGTTTCGCTACGATCTGAGCCCCATGTCGGTCAAGATCAGTGAAGACTCGGTGCCGTTCTACCACTTTCTCACGTCGGCCTGCGCCATCATTGGCGGTGTCTTCACCGTCATTGGCATCCTCGACCAGATCATCCACCAAACCGTGCGCGCGATGAACAAGAAGGTCTTGTAACTCGTCCTAATTAGCAGCATTTTGCGATGCAACTCCATGTCTTCGCTGTTTCCCGGTGCGTTCAGATGCAGTGGCGCGTCCTCGTAGACCGAGTACACTGCCCTCCACCGCACCATAACATGATCGTACGCGGTTGCTCCCATCGCCCTGCATTGAACGACTCGTCACTCGTCAAAGCTCAAGAAGGGGTCGACATCGAAGCGCGATGAAGCTCGTCGATAAAGATCGTTTTGCCGCCAAGACGAGCACAGCGACATCATCGGCAAATGGCGTACAGTGCTGTAGACACATCACAGCCGTTGAACCTACTTGGCGCCATCATTGCCATCATTGTTGCTCTTCCTGGACGCTCCATGGCAATGACAATGGCGCCATGTTGGGTCGGGGACTCTGGAAGCACTTGGAAGGTGCTGGTTGCTTGGAAGGTTGCACTCGACGAGTCTGTCGACGGCCATGTGGAGTACCGCCCCATGAGCATCATCCTCACCTACAGTACCGGTATAGGAATACGTGGCATTCTACGACGCCATTGTCATCTTCAGTGGGCGCTTCGATAATCGATGCATAGACCACCAACATTGGCTGGTGGACGACGTTGGCATGGTCGACATTTTCGGTTGGCCGTGGTCCACGCCCAAGCCGCGTGAACCGCAAGTGCACGGGATGGCGTCCGCGGAACTCTCTCCGAGATGGATACCGTGGATGCGTCACTGGGCCGGCCCAGCTCAAGTCGGCGCATCCAATCGACGTGTCCCAGGTCGGGTGTCGTCATCGCATACAAATACCAAGTGTACCGACTCCAGTGCGTGCTTGAAGCACGCAAACACTTTCGGCATGCCGCGCGCTGATTGGCTGGGCCCGGCCCACGAGCCACGGGCCGGGCCCAAAAATTGAGCGACGCGAGGCTTCTTGGGCTTCCAAGGCGCGCCGCCCGAGATGTATCATTCTGCAAAAGATCCTCTTCTGCCAAGCACTCCTCAGCACCATGGTCGCCAGTGAAGCCGCTCCCGTCGTCGCCGCCGAAGGTACCTTCCTCGTCAAGGCCGGTCTCGCCAAGATGCTCAAGGGTGGTGTCATCATGGACGTCATCAACGTCGAGCAGGCGCGCATCGCCGAAGAGGCTGGCGCCGTCGCCGTCATGGCGCTCGAGCGTATCCCCGCTGACATCCGCGCCGACGGCAGCGTCGCCCGCATGTCGGACCCGGCCATGATCGAAGCCATCAAGAAGGCCGTGACGATCCCCGTCATGGCCAAGGTCCGCATCGGCCACTTTGTCGAGGCGCAGATCTTGGAGGCGGTCGAGATTGACTACATTGACGAGAGCGAGGTGTTGACGATGGCCGACGAAGAGAACCACATCAACAAGGGCAAGTTCAAGGTCCCGTTCGTCTGCGGCTGCCGCAACCTGGGCGAGGCCCTCCGCCGCATCGCCGAAGGCGCTGCCATGCTCCGCACCAAGGGCGAGGCCGGTACCGGCAACGTCGTCGAGGCTGTCCGCCACGCCCGCGCAGTCCATCGCGAGATCAAGCGCCTCACCGCCATGGACGAAGACGAGCTCTTTGTTGCTGCCAAGGAGATGCAGGCCCCGTACGACCTCGTCAAGCAGGTCGCTGCCACGGGCCGCCTCCCGGTCGTCAACTTTGCCGCCGGTGGTGTTGCCACGCCCGCCGACGCTGCCTTGATGATGCAGCTCGGCATGGACGGTGTCTTTGTCGGCTCGGGCATCTTCAAGTCGGGCGACCCGGTCAAGCGCGCCCGCGCCATGGTCCAGGCCGTCACGCACTACAAGGACGCCAAGATCCTCAAGGAAATCTCGACGGACCTCGGCGAGGCCATGGTCGGCATCCAGGACCTCAAGAAGTCGAACGTCAACTTCCGCGACCGTGAGGGCGGTCTCCACGGCACGTGGTAAATTTCTTCTTAGACTCTTAGGTTTTGCCATTCAATAAATGTTCATATGTGCTCTATCGCGTTCTCAGAAGTAACTTTGATGTATAATTATGACGCACGAATCTCGAGCATGTTGGAGGCATCTTGGGCTAAGCTACGTTCACACCGACGTTTGATCCCATAAAAACACTGGGTAAAGCCGACAGTAGACACATCAATCTGCCCTGGCGAGACAGATGAGCTTGAATGCAGCTGTAGTTGAGCGTCCGCGGTGGTGGGCAGTGCGCTGACCATGTTGGTGGCAATGATTGAGCAGCAGCAGGGAGCACCTCGGCTGCTTTCAGCTCGGCCACCTTCGTAGCTCGCAGTGTTGGGGCTGCAACTCGGGTATGCATATATGCTGCTGGGGTTCCATCACCGCCTCGAATCGAGCGACGTCAATAGCATCCGAAGCTCGTGGGCGTGCTTGGGAAAGGAAGCGAGTGCGATCGATCAAGTACTACGCGACAATCGAAACTCCGTGCACTAGTAGAATCCACATGACCGCGAGCAACTCATGCCCAAGGATATAAAGTGTTTTTATATCCCTTGCTCATGCCACAGCTCAGCTAGCGACGAGTGCGCAGCTAAATCGTATAGTCGACCATGGCCATGAAGGTCGGTTTGTTGGCTTCGAACGCATCCCGGGCGATGATGACGTCGGGAAAAGCCGCGAGGAGCTCGTTCGCACCCATCGTGTGAGGCTGACCTAGGGCTCGGTCCGTAGCGAGAAGGCCGTCGAGATGGTCGATTTCGTGCTGCAGGAGCTCTGACGTTGGTCGGTCCAAGTGTTGCCACACCTGCACGTTGCCCACTTCATCGCTGAACGCCACTTCGATCGAAGCATGACGACGGACTTTGACGAGGAGGTCCGGAAAGCACATGCAATCGTCCCACATCGTAAAGGTATCTTTGCTCCAACGCGTGATTGTCGGGTTGATGAGCACGCGCGGACCGTCGCCGAGATTGAGAGCGAGAAAGCGCTTGGTGATGCCAATCTGGGGCGCCGCTATGCCCCGGCCAAAGCCGTGTGTGGCTCGAAAAGCCTCGAGCGTCGCAGTGAGCTGCGCAGTCTCTTGCGCAAACGCCACCGAGTGCAGCTCCGACGCCGCCACGGGCGTGCAGACTGTGCGCAGCAGGGGCGACCCCAGCGACAGGACGACCGCCGGGACGCGCGCCATTGGTTGCTGCCGTATCATATCCGGACGGTAAGATCTGCGTGGCAAAGTTCCAGGAACGGTCGCAGATCATTTTCCACTGCATGGCGGACTCAACATGGAGTATCCATGACGCGCCCAGGAGCATGTCAATCACCCACGACGCATCAATGAATGCGACAGCTCCATGCGATTCGCCAAGTCGTCCGATCAGGCTTGACCGACCGTGCAACTGCACTGCACCCAGCCACACTTCTTGATGTCGACGCGATGGGTTCGAGTATACGAATGCACATCATCCTGGGTGCGCGATTTCAACGGAAAGCATCCAAGATTCGTTGCGAGGTTAGAGATCCAGGCGCATCGAGCCTTTCTTCGTGCTGACAATGGCGACGAGCACACTAGAGGGTAGGATGAGGTGGCGTCCTGTAGGAAGATTGTGCAGTGTACCTCTCTTCCATGAGGCCAGGCTCGAGCGCACGCTCGATCGCATTCGTGACCACGTCCGTGAGCAAACTGTCGAGCTCGTGGAGACTGGTCTCCGTCGCGACGAGCATCGCTGCAATCCACTTGAGGAGCTCCGTGTCGACTTGGAGCTGCTGGACACCGCACTTGCCAAACGTGTGCAGGCGAACGTACTCGCCCCACGCCTTGAACGCCATCTTGAACGTCGCGGCGAGGACGCTATCGAGGTTGCATGCAAAGGACGCGCCTTGGAACACCTGGATCTTCTTGGCAAAGATGCGCGCAATGTCCATGTAGAGGTGCCCCGACGACGTCGTTTGTTGCTTCAGTCCGCCGCTGCCCGTCGGACGCATGCTCGGGTTGGTCTTCTGGCGGCGCAAGTCGCGAATGCCGCCGCTCGCCGTGCGGGCGTTGGGCAGCGGCTCGCCAAAGATCTATGCCCATCGTGGTATGTAGTCCTGTATTTTTGTCAAGTTGAGCAACCTGCGCCGTGGCCTTGGCGATCTGCACCATGTCGTCGATCAGTGTGTCAATGCTGGCGCGGACAGAGCGCGGCTCGGTAGCCTATACCATCACGTTTGCCCTGCAGATGAAATCGTAGCTTTACGTTGAGCCAGTTTTGAGCCTCCATGCCCTTGCGCAAGGTCGCACCGAGGCGCAGACCGTGGCCGATGCACAAGTGATGCAAAAAGGCCGACGACGCGTCGGTCGCAAGCGCCACCAGCCCCGCAGCATCTACCTTGGAGCTCTCGTTTCGCAAACTTGTCGCCTACGTACGTCCATGAGTCCAGCAGCATCGACACCACAACAGCACACCGGATCCATCGTGTCAAAGACGGGCAAGCACTCGACAAGCACTTGGATGCAATGGGGAATCGCTGTCGCGCTCAAGTTGCGAAAGACACATGCGAGAAGGACGAGGAATGACGGCGTGACGGCCAAATCGGGGGCGGCGACGTCGTTCGCTTGCACGGCTTCGGCACGACGCACCGCTTGCACGCGCGATGACTCGACGTACACGAGCAACGTGCGCGCAAGCCACTGGAGGAATCCGCAAAAGCGGTTCTACAAGACGCTGTCGTGCTGGATCGACGCCATCAAGATCCTACCAGTACGAGATCGGACAAGGCGCGTGTCATGTCGGGCACGAGGTGCGCTGCGGTGCCCACCAGCGGCTACGCCACCGAGTCGCTTACTACTGCAACACCACTGCGAGAATTCGTACCTGCATGCGCTGCAGCGTCTGCTCGATGCGCTCAACGTACGACTTGGCGAGCTTGGACGCGACAGGCGGCACGACAGGGGATGCTTGGAGCTGCGCGTGGAACTGCCCGACGGTCTCCATAAACTCGCGCTTGAGACTGAGAAACGACGCGTCCACTTGGTACCGAATCTACACCAGAGCACTACCGTCCATACACGTATTCGTCGCTGCTTGTCTTCGTACCGCCGCTTCCACGACTTGAGGTGTTCGTTCGCGCACGTCGGCAAGGGGCAGCTCGGGGCTATCGAGCGTTGCTGTGCGATCGATGAAGGTTTGGAGCACAAGCATGAGAATGCCGTAGCCATTCGATCCCGAACTGGAGCTGGCGTTGGCCTCGTCATCGCTCGTCTGCATCATAGACGTTGATATTACGGCCACAGAGAGCGTTGTGTGGGACTTACAAAGGCCGAGAGCGGGCGCTGGCATTGCGCCTCGCAGAGACTCGCAAACATATCGTACCACTTGGTGGCGCACGTGTTGAACGCGAGCCGGTGGTTGGGGTCGGCTGCTTCGAGCGCGCCAAAGATGCGCTGGAACGCCCGCGCGGTCTCGTGAAACACCGGTACAAACGTCTGCCCAATATCAATGCTTGTTGCCAGAGGCAGAGATTGTACCTCGCTGATGGACGAGACAAAGGTCATGACGGGCAGGAGCGCTTGGTCGGTTGGCTACACGAACTGTTTGGTCCTACGCAGAGCGCGATGCATGTACCTGGAAGGACGCGAACATCTTGTCAAACTGACGCTGATGCCACTGCAAAAACCGCTGCCGCACGTCGACAGCGTTCACGTTCAAGTCCAAGAGCAGCGTCGTGTACTCTTCGACATGGGCTGCAGTCGTGGCGTCGTCGTCGAGCTTCTTCTGGACGATGGTGCGCAGACCGACCATGATGTGCTCGGCTTCGACTTGGATCGTCTACAGCAGTTGCTTCCGACATGCACGAGCAAGATGCATCGTCGCACCTTGAACGAGGCAATGTGTTGGTAGCGCTTCAAGATGCGGTTGGCAATCACAAAGTACTTGGTCGCTTTCTCGTACTCTTGCGCCTTGATCGCGCTGCGCACTCGAGTCGAGCGACATTAAAGCAGTAGCAGAATGTACCTCTTGAGACGCTGGGGTAGCTGGAAGATGAACTCAAGGCGCTTCAAGAGCCGGCGGACGCCCACGAGCTTCTCCACCTGCGTCGCCCGCTGAGCGCCATGGCCTATGTACATGCAATGGACGGACCTTGGACCGGAAGGGCGCCAGTGCGTTCCCGACGTTTTCGCTCTGGAGCGTGATCTTGTCCATGCTCTCGACGACGCGCTTGACCTCCGACTCCATCGTCTCGACGTTCGTCTAGCGCTTCATGAGGTACTACGAAGGAGGGCAGCCGCGGTAGTACCTTCATCTTGCGGATCGTATCCGTGGCGCTAATGAACTTGTTGTAGTTTTCGTACACAAGCATCTGCATGTTGGTGTCGAGCTCCTTGATCTCTTTGATCATCTGGTCATCGCGGCGAAGGAGGTCGTCCATGCCCATGCGCTCGAGCATCCCCTGCACGACGATGTCAACGCCGTGCGCCTCCATGGAGGTTGTCTACCTTGACGTAGTCGTCGGCGACGAAGCCCGGAGCGTCAATGTTCTTGCTCTGGTTGACCGACTCCTCCTTGTCCGAGAGGTCGTAGTACGAGCTCATGAGCTCCTGCATGCGGGAAGAGTCCATCGCCGCCGATCGCAGTCGCCGCAAAACGGTCGGATTGGGTGTCGACGCTTCGGATTGGCTAAAAAGCCGAGAGTTTCGCGCGCTACGATTGGTGCAATTTACGCAATCATGTGGATTTGAACCAATCCCCGACGGGGTGATCGCGCCTGCGATTGGTCAAAAAGTGCAGCGTGTTTGCGAAAAGGCGCGCGTGTGCAAGCCCGATTGGTGCAATGCAAAGATTTGGCGTCGATTGTGGCCAATCCAGGTGGTCGATGACGTGGGGTGTCCTGCGACAGCAGCGTGCGACTACCGAAGACAAGGCGCTTCGGTGGCCCACGCGACGGAACCCATAGCATATACGCTCGGCGCCATCATCATCATCCCCAATAGAGTTCGTTGGACACGACCCACCTCCTGTCCACAAGACGGTTCCCAAGAATGTCGACGACTTCAACTTGGCCGAGTACGATTTTACTAGATGTGAATGATAGCAACCACTTGGTGAGTTAGCACCGTTCTTTTTTCTTCCGACAGCGCGCGGGTGGTGTTCTTGGAGCTGGGCGCAGCTGTACGTACACTCGTTCGCGAGGCTTGGCGGCTGCGTCCCTTCGGCGGCAGTTGCGCGCGTATCACTGCACGCGACCGCATGGTCGCCGGCACCATGACGTGGCGGGCCGCCGTTGCATTGCACGCGCAACGGAAGAGAAATGCCCTTTCGCTCCTCTTGGATGTTTGCGAATGGATGTTGGTGCCACGCAAATATACAACGGTCGGAAAATATATAAAGCTCCTGGGTCGTGGGTGCTGCTCGTCGTGTCGACGGTGGACTGGTGTCGGTCCGAACGACGTGGCTTGGATGGCTTCCGTGGTTGCGAGAATTCAGTTGGTGGACGCGTAAATTGAAATTAAAACTTGGGGTATTTTATAAGAAGCTATCGTACGGGGTTAAATTATGGGCGGGGGGGCTTAAAGCGCGAGCTCTTCGTCGTCAAGGCCAAGGATCGAGTGGAGGATCTCGAGCTCTTCCATCGAAAGCACGACTTCGGTCGACATCGTCCGCGACGTCTCGAGCTCAAAGTCAGTGCACGGCACGTGCATGGGCGAGAAGCGCTCGGGCGTCGTCGCGTCGCGTACTTCGCACGCGCTCGTCGGGGTCTTGGGCGAGTGCAAGCCGGGCAGCGCCTTTTGCACTTCACGCTTTTGCAGGACAAACGAGTGCGTCGCGGGCTCGGGATGCTTCTTGACCCGGCGCTTCATGTCGGACTTGCGCTGGTTGTTGTTGTGGCGAATGCGGTGCTCTTCGCACATTGTGTGGACTTCGCCGTTGAACTTGAGCGTGCGCTCGTTGGGGCAGCGGCCGCTCTTGTAGCGGCACTTGCCGCGGAAGCCAGGGCGGACGGCCGCGCTGGAGGAGCTGGAGTTGGGGTGGCGCATCATCATGGGCGTGCTCGAGGCGTTCTTGGGGGAAATCGTCGACGTCGAAAAGTGCACCGGGAAGGCCACCGAGCTGCTGCTGTTGTAGGTTGCAACGGACATGGCAATATTGGAAATGACCAAAGATTTGCGACGGCCCAATATTTTAAAAACCGAATATAAAATAAATAAATGCACCGTGGGACAGTGGCCAAATAAGTGTGATGACGCCCACAAAATCGGGTCTCGAATTTTATAAAGGACCACCACTCTTGCCACACGAATTCAAGCAGCAATTCGCTGGTGGTTTGTATGTGTAATCCCACCTGCCCAGCTCTTCTCTCTGCACCGCGGACGCACGCCAGGTTCCAAGGACTTGCCCACTCCGGATGTGTCGGCCACTCCACGGCAAACTATGGCGTGCTTGCATAAACACTCGGGCCCACAGCGACATTTATGGAAGCATTCGTCCGGGACGTCGCAGTGAGGGAGTAGGCCCATCGAGGTGTCTCGAACTCTCTCGAGGAAAGGTCTCGCGCTGTACGATACATTAAAAGTTGGTATTTTATTATATTAATTTGCGCGCGACGTCGCGTGAACACGATTGTGGCCGCGCAAGTGTTTCGTCACCAATTTAAAAAAATATCGAGAAATAATATACTCGTGATCGTTTCTCGAATATTATTGCCCCCGCAAAGCACGTACCGACTTCTTCTCGAAGGCGCCTACGTGGCGACGTCCCTAGCAAGCGAGGAATCGCTGAACGCGAACGGTGGAAGATGTGCTGCCTCCATGCAAGCTTCCATCGAACCCATGGCGCCGCCATTCGTGTTGCGCCAGAGATAAGCTTTTTGAGCCGCTCGAAAGATACCACGCGTATCTTCTTTCCACTGCGCAACGACCCGCGTATGTGGCGCGTGACTGCAAGCATTGTCGCACGCCAGTTTGTTTACCACAGTCCACGCCCTTGCATCAGCGACCGATCCCAAGCTTCCAAGCTACTATTATACCTTCCTGCCCTCGTGCTCGTCGCTCGCTCGCGTGCGCTGCGCCACGATGTCGTTCGCTGTTGCCGACGAGCGCATCCTAATTAAATATAAGAAAGTGTCAAGTTGATGTTCTCGTCGGCCGGTATAAAAATGATATCGTCTATCTTTGCCCCAGGGATGTGCGCCGGCCGTGTACAAAAAAGTGGCGTCCGCCCATCCTCAAGCCACACGCGACGGAGCGGGTACTCCAAGCTACTTGGGCCCCGTCTCGACCAGATAACAACGAGGACCGGTCTGGTCGGATCGCGCTCGCCAACTGGCGATGTGTATGCCGTAGAGATTTGGACGGTAGAGAATCGGCTGTGCCCAAGCTTCTACACTGCAGTCGCCAGACCCGAATTATCGCCAGTTAGCAAATTCCAACAAGATACCACACGCGATGCTGTCGAATGTGCTTTCGGGTGTGGCCGGTGCAGCGTGCGTCGCGGCCGTCGCGGCAATTGCGTGGAAGGTGCGCGGGGCAGCTGCGTCGGAAGACGAGCGCAACGACAAGGACACGGTCGTCGTAGAAGGGACCATTTACCGCAACCTCGGCACGCCCGTCGGCGCCAGCGAACAATCCATCGTCGACGTTGTCTAGAGCTCATGCAGTGTGTCTTTGTAATGCACGTGATGAGGACGACGTCGCATTAGCGTGCTTGACATATCGCTGCAAGGCGTGGGACAACGAATGTCAGCGACATGTTAAGGCGATGGAACTGCGACCGACGACGGTCGCCAGCGATTGCTTCCTCAGTCCAAGGTCCACTACATGTCCTTTGTCACAGGCAGGTCGTCGCGCGTGCCCCATTCGGACCACGACCCGTCGTACACAGGGACCCTATAAGATCATATTGGTCGAGGTAAGCTTCTTTGGAGTGCGAACGCACCGTTCGAGGGGGACATCGAGCACGTGCAGTCCCAGCGTAAGCACCGCCGCCGTGACGCCCGACCCGCACCTGCGGACCGACACGTGAGCCAACGAAAAGAGGAAGGACAGGCCGTCGTACGTCGTGGCGATGACCGTGCCCGCATCGCCGATGCGCACGCCTACACGACAGAGCAGCATGAGCAGCACGTTAGCTTGTTCGAAGCCCACCGCTGGCCTCAAAGTTCGAGCGAATCGTTGCGGGGTCGCGAAAGACCTACAGCGAGCTACTTAGCTACTAGCCCCGACCGCCGGCAAGCAATAGTACCGAATAGTCGTCCGGCGTCAGAACGTGCGAAAACGGCGTGTTGATCGCGCCCGGCATGTGTCCGCCACGAACACCCGCGCGAGGTTCCTGTTCCGACAATGCCATTTACAATTTGACCAACGAGCACGCACCGGGTCCTTGCCCGTGAACCGGCCGGGCCCACGCGCGTCAATGACTTGATTCGTCGACGATAAGAGCTTGAGGACCTACCAGCCGACGCTCAGGGAGCGGTCGACGATCGGATCATAAACCTGCTCGGCCGTCAAGACAAGGCGCGCATCTGGCGTGGCCACGTAGCCCGTCGTGGGTGCGGGAGGCGACGGCAGGCCTTCCTCGACGGCATGCCCGTCCTTCTTCCACTGCGTCAACCCGCCTACGCCGCCAGTGCCGCCATGTATAAGGAAGCCGCACGAACCGTTGAGAACATGGACGCGGGCGTGGCCAAAGTACTTGAACGTCCACCAGCAGCGCGCGGGGCTATTCACGTCGTGACCATGGCTCGCTGCAACAAATCGTGCAATGTACCTAAAGCAGTTGGCGCCACCGTAGACAACGACGGTCGTGTCATTCGCGATGCCAAACTCGTTCATCGCCGATGCAAAGAGCGACGCTACACTGTCGTTGAGACGCGTCAAAGGTGCTTCCACGTACGTGGCGGCAGCATGTGCGGCAACGGCGACGCGGTGTCCTTGATGGCGTCAATATCAAAGTAGACAGCGCCAGGAAGGCGCTCCTGCAGGAACTCATCGTGGCCGTTGCGAGCCTTGTCAAGGTACCTAAGACGAACGATAGGACGAGGCAGACGAGATGCTGCTCAGCAAACCAGGAAGCATCGACAAAGCGGACGGACTTGCCTTCGGCGGCAAGCGACTGGATGTCATGGCTCGTCACGAGCGGGCGGAGCGACGACATGGAGCGAGCGGTGGCGAGCCAGCGGGGCGATCGGCTGCGAAGCATATCCTCGAAAGTGACTTGAAGTTAGGTCGACAATTTATCCAGCCAATCAAAACCTTTTTAATATCTCAAGACTATCTCTATCGTACAATATTTATGATTAGTGTCTCAATATGGTCGCAATAGTATGAGAAACGAGGCTCTGGAGACGGTTGTAGCAATTGCCATGCCGCCAGCGTCTAAAATATTGCATACGAACCCCATGTGATAAAAATATGAGTTTTGGAAAAACCAAACAGAACCCAAAACGATCCTAGAAAAGCCACCATCATGGGCAGCGCTGTATCCTCCGACGTCATCGGCAAGACGGACGATGCGATCTTGGTCAACATCTTGAAGGAGGTGCGTCAGGCCAGGCCACTGCTACATGGCGCCGACCGCATCTGGAGTAGGCCATGAAGAAGGATCCGGCGCGCGTCGACCGCCTCATCGCCGAGGCCAAGAGCGCTCTTCGCGCCGACTCGTTTGGCAGCGTTGCAGCGCCCAACGTAGCCGTCGACTCTACGGCGCCTGAAGCGACGCTCGACACGATGGCGGTCAGCGTTGCCGCCGAGATCAACGCGCTGCGTACCAACCCCAGGGGCTTCGTCGCGCACTGCGAAGAGATGCTCAAGCACTTTGAGGATAAGATCCTCACGATTCCTTCCGAGAGCATTCGACTACAGACCGACGAAGGCGCGACCGCCGTATGCTTCTTCTCACTCACAACTTTGCGCTCACGCGATGACTAGGTTCAAGACTGCATTGCCTTCCTCAAGCAACAGACCGCGCTGCTGCCGCTCATGCTCGATGGGAATCTCTCCAAGGCTGCGCAAGACCATGCAGCAGACCTCGGCGACCACGGCACCGTGAGCCATACGGGGCAAGGTAGCAACGACCACTCTCTTTTCAGTTGGCACAGACGCGATGCAGATGGCAGCTCGATGGTGCAGCGCCTCGATCGATATGGCGAGTGGAAGGGCTCCGTGGGCGGTACTACGACCGTCATGAGTAAGCGACTAAGCTGTAAGTGCAGAGCTCTTGGCGTTCGGGCTCTCCAAGCCGCGCAATATCGTGCTGCAGCTACTCATTGACGACGGTGTTCCGAGCCGCGACGACCGTTTGAGCCTCCTCGATGCCAAGTTTACGACGCTCGGCGTCGGAACGAGTATGCACAAGTTTCAAAAGTCGGTGTGCGTCCTCGACTTTTCCGGCGGGTTTGGGCCTCTCGGTTCGACATTTGAATGTTGTCTTCTTGTACATACTATGGATCGATTGTCGTGTCTAGTCGAGAAGCTCAAGGAGCCCAAGCAAGTGACGGTCAAGGGCGAATTGACACCCGACGTCGAACTCATTCTGCAGAGCATTCCGTTTGAGGAGCTCAAGATCGAAGTCCGCGACATCCTCGCGCACTCGCCGACGCAAACCGTCGGCCTCAACTACAAGCCTGGCTCCGTACGTTCTGCTACCGTCGTCGAAGCTCGATCATTGTGCTTTTGTACTAGATTGAGGTGATGGTGACGAACCCAGATGGCTCGAGCCAAATCAAGTCGGGCACGTGGGGCGTCGCTGCGCCGCCGGCGTCGACGTGACGAACTCTGGAGACGTCGAGTGCGACACTAGTCAACGAAGAAGGCCATTAAATAACTCATTTCAACGAAGCACCAAGTCGTACGGACGCTGGCGACTGCGGATGACGTGTCTACCGGGCGAAGAAACGACGTGGCCGCCTGTCGGGTCGGCAGTGGTGGATGGGTCGCAATGCAAACGTTCATCGCAGCTGCCGCCAAACGTCGCTTTACCGCACGTCGTTCTTCTTCTGACCACTGCCATGTACCATACGAGGTGCGTTGGGCGTGTAGACTTGACGCACACACACCAGTGCTGCCGAGCCGAGGTGTCTGATAGAGTCCTCTGAAGGATACGCGGACTCTGAGTACAAGTCTGAAGTGACAAGAGGAAGAAGCACGCAGTGTAGTTGTATTAAGCGCGCATACGGATAGGACAGAGAGGCTACGATAGATACTGCTCGACAGGCAGCGACGATAAGAATAAATAAGACGCGCGCATACGATCTGCGCGAGGTCACCACAGCTCGGAAAAATTCTGGCGCGGAATGCCGCGAAGCCCGACGGCCTTGATGACGAGGAGCTCGTCCATGGACGGCGGCTCCGTCACCGGGCTCGACCGGTCCACGTCGGGCGCGACGCACACAGTCACCACCGGCGAAAACCGCACCGACTTGCGTGCGCGCTTGGGCGCCGGTGGTTCGAGCGCACCACGGAGCGCATTCATCGCGACAATGTAGCGCTGGCGCTCCTTGGCAATGTACTTGCGCGTGACTTCGGTCTTGAGGAGGAGGTTGCGCGCCACGTCCCACTCCCGCGTGGCCTGGAGCACGTCGAGGGCCTTGGCCTGGTGCGAGAGGACGGTCGAGAAGGCGAGCGTGAGTTTGGCGAGCGGCGGTATCGAGCTCCACATGAGCGCGGACGCGGGCTCGGGCTTGGCGCGCTTGGACGGTCCGGCGTGGAGCGTGTCGGCCGGGTGTTCGCGCTTCATCAGCATGGTCAATTTGGCAGAATGGCCAAGCGCGGCGTCGTCACCCAATGAGATGCGTCGGCTGTGTAATCCCGGACGTGAGAAATGCAGTGAATATCCCAGGCTCCAAGCCCATGGGACAAGCTCCAAGTGGCATTTCCCACGTGTCGCAGTGGAATTCCCACACGCGGCCCACGTTTCACACGGGCGAGTGACACCGGCCATGTCGTCAATGCGGGAAGCGAAGCTGGCGACAGCGCACATAGAAGGCGATGCACGGGTCTATGCATCGCGCGCGGGCTTCTTTGCGTGGTGCACTTAAAGCAGGTTCGGCGCTTGTTTTTGTTTGGCGCCGTTTTTCACCCATTGAACTTCAAGTTGGATGACACATAATCCAGGTACCCACGTCAACACGTGCTGCAAGTGTGAGTGTGTGGTGAAAATCGAACGGGGGCGGGCTCGTTGCGGCGGCCGATAGCTTCGAGCATGGGCCTCTTCGTCGCGTCCTAGAGCAATGCCATCGTACTCGCGCCCCTCGTGCAGCAAATGCGGTAGATGGCCCACTTCTACAGATTACACATCGATGCAAGCTTCTTCTGGAGCTCCATCGCACTCCAGCCGGTGGTTTGAAGGCCGTGTCGCCCGTGTCCCAAGAGTGCCAAGAAAAACGGGTTTGGCGACTGTCCCGTTCCAGAGTCTACGAGCATAGTACTGTACATAGTCGACTCGTCGAATTGCTCAAGCACACTGCATACGCTACACGTACAGCCAAGGGAGGAGCCATCGTTCGGTCCAGCGCTGCGCTTGGGAGCGACATGTTGTGGCGTCAGTCCATTTCGCAGACGTTTCTATTGGCCCGCAGGAAGACCCATTTTGTGACCAGTATGATTGGAATATCCCAACGCATGTCAACCACAAGGTCTGGGTCTGCACTGGTCGACCTCGTCAATTGTTCCGCAGCTGAGAGGCACGCTCTTCATCGTGGTTCCATTGTGTCTGCTTTGCGTACGTAGTAGACATGCCAGCTTGGAGGCAACGAGAAAGGCTCGGCTGCTGTAGCGTGGATTGCCTCGATCACGAACCCGCTTGGAAGCTTTGGGTATATGCGATGAGCGCAGTGGTACGTGCTTGGATGCACAGGTTTCTTTACGTTCGACCCTCGCTTCGAGCGTGCGTGCATAGGTAGTAGCATCATGCCAAGTCGCTCGTATGCGCGTGGATGTGCTGGCGCATTGGGGCATATTGGGACATTGCTCTGATTGGCCAAAAGTGGATCCAGACACCACTCTGGGATTGGTGCGATACAGCGTGACATACACATTGCATGGACCAATCGTTGCACATTGCTTGCAGTCCACGCAGTCGGCAACATGCGAAAGGCCAACAAGGCAACGACGACGACTGGGAAAGGGTCGGTGACTGCCGCCCGGAAGCAGTGGTTCGACGATGCGACGCTTGCTCTCGTGACCAATGCCCAGAAGCGGGCGGCCAAGGCGCGCGGAAAGGGCGGCAAGGACTCGGCCCGAGAGGCCCGCGAGCGCTCGTCGCAGCTCTCGACGAGCGCCGACACGGTCGGCGTCTCGTTTGCCGGCGCTGCGTTCCAAGCCGACTACTTCTCGTCCAAGTTTGCCAAGCGCGGGTTGCTCGTGTACGCCATCCTGCAAGACTTGCTGGCCAAAAACCGGTCGCTGGTGCCTCCGTCGTTGGAGACTGTGTCGGTTGCGTCGTTTGGCGGCGGCCCTGGCACCGATGCCGCCGGCATCGTTTGGATCCAGCGCGAGTTCCTTGCGCCGTCGCGCGTCCAGTGCACGCTCTTTGACTACGAGACGTCGTGGAAGCGATACGTCAAGACGCTCGACGAGCTCTTTGGTGACGCCGTCGACGTCTGCTTCCGGCCCTGTGACGTGACCCAAGGCCTCAACACCGACAGCAATCGCCACGTGTGCGAGGTCGAGACTATGGACATCCTCCTCTTTTGCTACGTCTGCCATGAGACATCGGCGCGCCAGAACAACGTTCTGCAGTTCTACGCCGACCTCGCTGTGCAGGCCAAGACCGGCGCCATCGTCATCCTCGCGGACGTCAAGACCACGTCCAAGCAGTGTCTCGAGCGCGTGGCCGAGACCATGGCCTCTGCTCGGCGTGTGACGCGGCTCGCGCTCGCCAAGCCGCCCAACGCAGAAGCCATCGTGCTCCGCATGGAGTAGGCCAACACACTATTTAAAAGCCGGCCAAATAACGGTAGCAGGCGTCCATCCGCACACCAATTCAGGTGCATTCATTCTGCCCAGGTATAGTATAGTGTGTGCTTTCCAGGTCAATTTCACTTTGCTCGGTCATGGCGCACCTCGAGACGAACCCGCGGGTGAGTCTGCACTCGATCGCTGGAGTCGCGTCGTGCTGCTACGTCGAGAGCATGGACGTTGCCTTCGACATGGGCATCGTCTTTGGCAAGGCCGTCGGGCGCAAGCACGTCTTCATCACGCATGGTCACATTGACCACATCAAAGCGCTACCGGGCCACGCCGGTGAGCGGTCGCTCTCGAAAGCGGCACCGGCCACGTACTATGTGCCCGCGCCGCTCGTGGAGCATGTCAAGCAGATCTTAGCGAGCTTTGAGATCATGCAAGAAGTATAAATGACTCGTCGTTGGCCGACGTCTTCACCCCGACCATGTAGAGTCCGCTGCCGGCGACGATCGTCGCGGTCGAGGCCGGCATGAGCTTTCGCATCTCGCATACGGTTCTTGTCAAGGCCTTTCCCACGGTCCACCGCGTGCCCAGCTTTGGCTATGTTGCCTACGCCATCACAAAGCGCTTGGGCGACGAGTTCAAGGACCTTCCGCGCGACGAGCTCATCGCGCTGCGCAAGGCCAAGGTGCCGATCGACATTGAGACGCTCACGCCAATGGTCGCGTACACGGGCGATACGCAAGTGGCCTTCTTCGATTCGAGCAACGAGGCCAACTGCGGCGACTTTTTCAAAGCCAAAGTCCTCGTCACCGAGGTACGCCGTCATCTCCATCGTGGCCACATCTGAGGCGAGCTCTCTGCATGCGTAGTGCACGTACGTGGGTGACGCGATCCCACCCGCGACCGCGGCCGAGCGGGGCCACATGCACCTGTTGCAGCTTGCGGCGATGCAAGATCGCTTCCTAAACGAAACCCTCATCCTGACGCACTGCTCGCCCCGGTACAGCGCCAAGGCGCTCGCGGACGCTGTCCGATTGCAGTGGCATGAAAATACTGGCCAGCAGGTGTGGCTTGCGCATGGTGCCGAGAGTGCCCTCGTCCGAGGTTAAATTGAAATGACACATGCATCTACGGTTGCAAGAGCGCAAGCAGCGCGTCGCCGTCTTCGATGGTCGCCGTGCGAATGAGGAACGACGTGATTGTCGTCGCGTCCGTCGCGATTTGCGCCACGAGGTTCTTGGGCTTGAGCGTCACGTGCACGACGGCAGAGAGGAGTGAATTCAAGAGCAGGTGCGTGCCCGCCTTGAAGTCGCTGGTCGCACGGCGCATGACGAGCCGATCGCGCTTGGCGTCGCCGTCGACGTGTCGAAGAACCTTGAGCGGGCCCGACCCGCACTCGACGTACTTGCCATCCGTAAACTTGAAGAGCTTCACTTGAAGCTAAACGCGCGGATGGTGAATCAAGAGAACACGACGGGGCGAGACTACCAAAAGCAACACTTCTTCGTTCTCTTCGCCCGTCACGTGCTGGTAGTCCTTGGGCAACTCGACGACCGGCACCTTGACAGGCGCTTCCGCCACGGCAGCCTATAGAGTACGCTCCATGTTTCTGTCGCATTCGAGTGCAACAGCTCCTACCTCGGTGCTGAGGAATTCGTCGTTGCCCGTGGAGGCTTCCGTCCACGTCGAGGTCGCGTCCGTGTCGGCGGCAGTGCTGGCCACAGCACCAAACGTCGTGCCGAAACCCGACGGTTTGGCGTCACCAAAGGTAGCGGTGGCGGCGCTGCTCGAGGCAAAGGCGCCAAAGCCGGACGAGCTGCTCGCAAATGCGCCAAAGCCACTCGTTGCGCTGGCCGCACCGAATCCAGTCGTCGCCGGTTTAGCAGCCTATCCCAGTCCATATCATGTCACGTTGAAGGTCACGCGGCGCTTCGTACGGCAAAACCGTTGGTGCTCGCGAACGACGTAAAGCCCCACGACGGCGCGGCAGGTGTTTCCGTCTACAAGACGAGCGATGCATTGACACATGCACGACGAGCCATGGTATGCGTCGTACCTTCTTCGGGCTGGCGGCGTCCGCCGCCTTGGTCGGGCTCTTGCGCTTCGGGCTCGATGCATCCGAGGTCTTCATACTGCCATCGTCGTTGTGGTGCTCGGTGTGAACGTCGCCGTCACCTTCTTGCCGCTGCCGCTTGGCGACGGGCGAGGCCGCGGTGGCCGGCGCTGCATGTGAAGGCGAGCTCATGTTTCTTTCGCCAATGCAAACCCAGCGCCACGTTACGCGTTGGTTGGCCACCTTTTTATCTCGCTATCCGGATACACGCCGACGATATCTTTTTGACTAGAAACACGCGCTCTAAGCGCTTCAAGGTCAGAGTCACGATACCACCCCCGACGTGGACGTTGCTCCGTATTGGTACCATCCGCTTGAACAACATTAAAACTGATAAAGGGAGCACGTCAATGAACGTATGTCCGTCACTATCTTGTATACGCCTTGCGATGCTGAAAAAGTTGCGTCTTTTTACCTGCCCAAAGATATGGCCCAACACGCATGAAAGCCGGATACTTGCCGGATACCGGATCCGGTAGCGGGCTTCCTCCGGCAAAGGTTTACGAGCCGTCGGACCGAGGCGCACGTTGAAGTTAGTTGGCGCGACCATTTTCTGAGATATCGATGTTGCCCTTCTGTGCGGACCACGGTTGGTCGACTTTGGACGACGACGATGGCGGACTCATCGCACACGGACACACCGTCTGCGTCTCTTGACTCGCGACGGCAAGCACCATCGGCGGTTCGAGCTCCTTGTAGGGGCTGGGTATCCGGATTTCTGCGTGCGCCAGCGGCGTTGACCAGTGATAGCACTGGCAGGCGCACTGCGGCGGTGGCGATTCGTTGCGACGGCGTGGCGTCAGGTACGTGCTCGAGCTTGATGGGTGCAGCGCGACGCTACGGTAGGGACGAGCGATCTTCTCCGTCGTCGAGTGCTCCGCCACAATCGTGTACGCGCGCGGTGTCAAGACGCGGAACGGCACGTCATTGCGGCGCTCGAGAAAGGCTGGCGGCGTCGTGGTCGAGGTCGGCGCTGGCGGTGGCGCGGCGGCTTCCGGCGCTGTTGCCCGCCGGATCGTCTGTACGTCCTATGGCGCGCTTTGGATTACACAATGTGTTACGGCGGGAGCATGACGTGGCAGACCTCCCATTGGCCGTCGCCGTCCTCGTACGCGACAAAGTACGTTGGGTGGTTGGCGTCTTGGATACGCCCGTGGAACCACACTTCTTCCGAAGCCCAATACACAGCAACGGCATCGCCGACAGCAAAGGCAGCGGTCGTTGGCTTGTGCGGACTCTGGCTCTCGGCCACGAACGAGTCGTCTTGGTACGTCGATGCTTCGTCGCCATAGTCGTCGGGCTCGGCGGTGATACGTTCGTTTGGCTCTGATGCAAGCACTTCATCTGGCTCCGATGCCAATATCTCGTCCGGCTCCGAGTCAAGCGGCTCATCGAGCTCTTCAAAAGACTCGTCGTATTCGCTCATGGCGGCCACACAAAAGGTCGCGATGCAGTTGCTTCCAGGCGTTTCCTTTTCTGAGCCCGGCCACCGCTGCTTTTAGCCACAGCTCTCGCATGTTGCCAACCGTCAGCTCTATAAGTATATCACTGGAAAGGTGAACCTACTCATGCAGCCTTTTGCTCCACTACCCACTGCCCGTACCCAGAGTTCAACCCTCGAAGATTGGACACTGCAGAGTACAGTCCTATCGGTGCGATCCAAAGCGCGTACAAGTCGTCGTCGTGCCCATCGTCTTCAAGGAGGACTGGGTCTGAGAGGGCGGACTTATAAGATATATTTGTCCTTTGCCAGTTCCTCGGTTCTTTTCGAAGCGGTGGTCGGCCCTTTGCCGATTAATTTAATTATTAAAATACGAAATTGCTTCGGACTGAGACAATGTAACAGTCGCCAAAATGAGTTTGCACTCGAAAAGGCAACATTTCGAATCAAGGCGCGAGGTCCACGCGCCCGAGGTGACGATGAAGATGCTACGCAATGTCCTCTTGACGCTAACGTGTATCCTCGTCGCTCTCTGCGCCTTTGCCACGAGCGACGACAGCACGATCGGCGGCGGCGCGATCGACCCAGCCTACGGCCCCATCGACGCTGTCTACACTTGGGTCAACGGCAGCGACCCGGCGTGGCGACAAGCCAAGGCGCAGTGGCATCTCAAGTGGCTCAGCGAGCTCCACGGCCGGCCGATCAAGGCGAACCCGCGCACCAAGGACACGGCGTCGGCCGACAACCGCTTCCGCGACAACGACGAGCTCCGGTACTCGATCCGGTCGCTGCATCTGTACGCGCCGTGGATTCGGCACATCTACATCGTCACGTACGACCAAGTGCCCACGTGGCTTGACGAGGCCAACCCGCATGTGACCATCGTGCCGCATACCGCGCTCTTTGCGAATGCGTCGCACTTGCCGACGTTCTCATCGCCGGCGATCGAAGCGAGCTTGGACCGCATTCCAGGGCTCTCCGAGTACTTTATCTACTTTAACGACGAGACGCTCCTCGGCGCGCCCGTGACGCCCGAAGACTTTATGAGCCGGGACGGGACACAGAACGTCTACCTCTCGTGGGAGATCCCGCCGTGCAATCACATGTGTGCCAACTGGATGCTAGGCAATGGTGTGTGCAACCACGCCTGCAACACTGCAAGCTGCGCATTCGACCACGGCGACTGCACCTGCACCAACGCCGAGACGCGTGTGGTACGAAGAATCCTCGCTATCAATTTCTCGTCATCTCTCATCTCGACATGTCTAGGTCGCCAACGACTGGAAAGAGAGCTGCCGGCTGCCCGAGCGACGAACGACGAGCGCAAATGTCTGTGCGCCGGGCTGCGACTGGAACTTGCTCGGTGACGGCCAGTGCCACGCACACTGCAACTTTGCCGAGTGCGCGTTCGACGCTGGGGACTGCGACAAGACCGCACTCGGTCTTCTGTCTCACGCGACCCTCGACACGTCTACTGCCGACGCCGCCGTGCTCGTGGACCCTTCGAGCTTTGTGCTCATCTTGCGTGACGTTACTGCTGCGGATCTTGACGCGCCCAGTGCGCTTGTTCAGCATACTGCGATCCGCCAATCGCAGCTCTTTGTTTTTTTTGCGGCGACTGCCACCGAGACGGCTGTCGTCATGGTCACATTGGTCAACGGGTCGACTGTGCGACTGCAGCTGGTGCCACACGGTATCGCGCTAGATGGCGCGGGCTACGCTGCAGGGCTGCCGCCGTCGTCGCTCGACTTCCCTGCCGCAAGCGTCTCACCGGCGTTCGAACCGACGCAACTGGCGGCGACGATCTACATTCCGTTTGCACTGTTGTCCGACTGGACGAGCGAGACAACCTTCCGCATCAACGATGGTGCGGCCGTGACGTGCCCGGCTGTCGATGCCGCATCAGTGAGTGCTGGTGATGCGAGCTACTGCGCCCTCAACACGACGGGAGTGCTGCTGCACGCCCAGCCCGGCGCGGTGGCCAGCGCACGCGTCTGCGTCACCAACAGCGGCAAGAGCAGCTGCATCGAGTACAGCAATATGACCGTCGTCGCACCAACGGTCCATGACGCCAAGTACATCTTGCCCAAGACCAAGCACGAGTGCAACTGGTGGGAGTGGTGCAATGTAGCCTACCCAACGCTCGCCGACCGCTGTACGACCCCCGACACAAAGAAGCTCACGGCCAAAGACCCGGCGGGCGCGGAAGCCAAGGCGATGACGCTCTGCACTCGTTTCGGCGCGGACCTCGTGGACGGTCCGTTCACGCGGGACGCGACACAGCCACTTCTCAACAAGGTACGACTGCAATGATATCGTCCATAGCTAATCGAGTCAACTAGATGTGCCGCATCATGAACACGACGGACGAGGACCCGTTTTGGCTCCACGGGTGTTCGCAGCCGACCGCGACGCTCCCAGCCGCGGAGCTCGCGAATGCATCGTCGGACGCATTTGGCGACTCGCTCAAGCACGTCAACAAGCTTTACGACGAAGCGTTCGGCAAGGCGAAGCGGCCGCGTCGGGTGCCATCGCACATGCCTCATTTTATCCAGAAGCGGTTTCTGACCGAGCTCAAGACCCACTGGCCGGCCGAGTTCAACGCGACGTCAGCACACCGCTTCCGGCACCCAGAGGACATGCAGTTTAGCTTCTCGTACATGCACTACGTCATGAACCGCCATCGACTGCACCCGCCGAGAACGAGCCACGAAGTGTTTACAAACCTGCTCGACATCAACCAGAACGGCCGCCTCGACGACTTCGAAGAGCCAAATCTTCTGTCGATCGTGCCCGAAGCGTCGCACGCACTGGTTCGAGCACTGCTCGACGCCTGTCGGCGCGCGGCCAATGACTCGTCGTCGCTGACACTGGCCGATATCGCGGCGCACTGCCCAGGCTTGGAGCGGCGGCTGAGCCACGATGTGAACGAATCGCGGCCCACATACCAGCTCATGACGGAAGACCAAGTGACGTTCCTCATGCTCGGCGAGGCCATGGGCGCGTACGGTCAGCTGTACCGCGCTCGATCTCGCCACACGAAATTTGTGTGCGTCAACGACGACATGCACAACCCGACGCCCGCAGTACGTTCGGATCTCACTTCTTATGGCGAGCTTATTGCACCATGTGTAGTTTCGAAAGATGCTGCAAGACTTTTTCCAGCTGCGCTGGGGCAAACCGTCGCCACTGGAGCTGACGGCCGATGCCCACCATGCAAATGTGCGGGAAGCCAAGCCGCACTTCAAGGCGACGAGCCAGCTCAGCCAAGACATCGAGTGGAGCGCGCTCTGGCCGTACCAGCTTTTGCTCGTCCTAGCATCGACCGGCACCTTGTACTACATGGGCATGCACCAGCGATGGCGGTCGTCGAGTCGCGCGATGAGCCTCGGCAAGGGACTTGCCAAATGATGCAAAGCGTAGACCTAGCATAACTTACAAAAGACACTTGTCCCATGGCACATTAACCCTCCCAGACCTAAAGGTTAAGACACTATGGACAATCAAATCAGGCTCTTTGAACAACAGATCTGGACGCTGAGGTCCACCGACGTCGTACTGCGTTTCAACAAACCATATTGTGTGATGAATATATTGTGTGATGAATATATTGTCTGAGGAATATCGTCCATGGGGCGAGTCGTAAATGGCGCCAAGTTTGTGCATGGAAACCTGTGACAGTTTATAGATTGTACTCGAATATGCGTTGTGAGAGGTCAATCGTGCCGGGCGAGTGGTGTTTTTTTGCCGTCTGCACACGAAAATCGTCGGCGCGAGCATGAGTCGGGTCAAAGCCAAGCCCAGGCCCATGGAGACGGCGCCGCCAGAGACCATAGACGCGCCTACGCCCGTGAGGCCGGCGAGGAGATCGATCGTCGCATGGGCCCTCGGTGCCATGAGCCTCGCTCTGCTCACGCTGGCATGGCTGCTGCTCGTCCACGTCGACGACGTCGACGATGGCTACTACCCGAGCCAGCGCTACGGCAACATTGGCAACAGCCACTTGCCGACGAGCGCGCCGTACATGGGCTACGGGCCCATTGACGTTGTCTACACGTGGGTCAATGGCACGGACCCGCGCTGGAAGCAGGAGAAGACGTATTGGCACCGTCGCTGGAACGCCGAGATCCACGGCGACTTTTTCAACGAGACCGACACGGCGGCAGTTTCCGATACATCCGCGGCTGCGTCCGAGAACCGGTTCCGCGACAACGAAGAGCTGCGCTACTCGCTGCGGTCGATCGAAAAGTACGCACCGTGGGTGCGCCACGTGTACCTCGTGACCGACGGCCAAGTCCCGAGCTGGCTCAACCTCGAGAGCCCGCGGCTCACTGTCGTGCCCCACCGCGCAATGTTTGCCAACACGTCGCACCTGCCCGTGTTTTCGTCGCCGGCGATTGAAGCCAACCTCGACACGATTCCTGGTCTCTCGGATCATTTTTTGTACTTTAACGACGACGTCTTCCTCGGCGCGCCCGTGACGCCCGAGGACTTTATGAGTCCGTCCGGCGTCCAGAACATCTACCTCTCGTGGGAAGTCCCCGAGTGCGCGCAGCACTGCGGCGAGCCCCTCCTCGGCAACGGCGTCTGCGACAGCGCCTGCAACGTCACGGCGTGCGGCTTTGACATGGGCGACTGCGGCTGCACCGAGACCTTTCGCCCTGTACGTTGCAAGTCTCTTCTTTGCGTCGCTAAGCGTGTGCGTAGGACGATCCGCTGCAGCTTCCGCACGTCGAGTGTGCAGCGTCGGCCACGCCCGAGACGCCGGCACCCGAGACGCCGCCATCGACGCCTCTTGCCTCAACGCTCGCGTCGCACCTCTGCACCGACGGCTGCACGTATTCGTGGATCGGCGACGGAGTTTGCGACCTCCGCTGCAACGTCACAGAGTGCGCCTACGACGGCGGCGACTGCGGCGTCGGCCTCTTCTCGCGCCTCCCGTCAACGGCGGTGCCGGCCAATGCGACGTCGCTTACGCTCGCAGTGGCCGATACCGCGCCCGTGCTCGTGGTCAATATCTCGGAGATCTTTGAGTTTGTTGACACTGCGACGCTCGAGAACGACGCGCTGGTGCGCCACGCGACTCTGCTCGAGGCCAACATGAGCCTCGTTCTTGTACTTGCGCGACCCGACTCGAGCGGCAGTGTGACCAACGCGACCGACATTGTCCTCCGCGGCGCCCCGCTCGGCGACGAAGACGGCAGCGCCAACTTGACGCTGCACCTCGTACGTGGCCAACATGGCATGCGCCAGGGTCGGTACACGCCGCAGCCCGCGAATGACTTGGACTTGAGCGATCTGCGTTTGCAGCAGCATGCGTCGCAAGATGGTCGTATCGACCTCGAGATGCGCCTGCCGTTCTTTGCCGTGCCCGACTGGAGCGAGCAGGTGCTTCTCACGTCCAACTGGGTCGCCCACGAAGCGACACAGCACACGATGAGCTTCCACGCGACATGTCCTGTCATCGCGCCGGCACCGGAGGCAGTGGTGGTCGCCGCCGACGCCGTCGACTGCGTTTTGGAAGCGCAGACGCTGCGGGTGCGCTGGTCATGGGCCGTGCCCGACTCGACTGCCGGTGTCGTGCATGGCAAAATGTGTGTGTGGAACCGACCGAGTAGCAACTGCGTCGACGTGGCACTTGCATACGGTGATGCGCCTGTGCAGTCGCCGGCGACGACTACCGAGCCTTGGAACGGTCTCCTTGACGCGGGCGAAGAGTGTGTGCTCGTCGACTACCTTGCCCGCGCGATCTGGCGCCGCTTGTCCGGCACGTGCGAGCCGCAGCACACCGAACCGACGATGACGGACAGCCACGAGGCAGCGACAAGTGATGCGGTGCCCACTGTGGACCCGTTCGTTCGCGACCAAGCGCTCCTCATGTGTCGGCAGCTCGCCAACCGCCGGTCCAAGGCCGACGCGATCGCCGCGACCTCGTGGTGGACACCGGTGTGTAATACTCTGAAAAGTGAAGTGGTCCTGACGCGTCTCTTGCCTAGGTGACGGACGCGGCTCGGTTTCTCAAAGCCAAAGTCGGTCTCGCCAATGTCGTACCGGCAAATACGACGGCGTGGGCGTTGTCGACGCCGAACGTAGAGGACTGTGTCGACTTTTTCGCGCAAGTGGAGCCCGACGCAATCGAAGCGTCACCGCTGCCGCCGAGAGATGATGACGCGGTCCGGTCGATGGACACGTTTGGCGACTCGCTCCGGCACGTCAATAAGCTCTACAATCGCGTGTTTGGCAAGACGCCAACGACCGACCGCCGCCGCGTGCCGTCGCACATGCCGCACTTTATCCAGAAGAAATTGCTCACGGAAATGAAGGCGCAGTGGCCGCTGCAGTTCAACGCAACGTCGGCGCACCGCTTCCGGCACCCCAAGGACATGCAGTTTAGCTTCTCGTACATGTACTACGTGGTGAACCGCCATGTACTGCACCCGCCGACGCTCGACGAGATTTTCGCCACGTACATTGATCTCAACAAGGACGGCGTCATCGATGACCACGAAGTGCTCAGTGTCGCATCGCTTTTGACGACCGAAGAGCACCCGTCCGAGGCCGATGTCGACGACGTCAAGCGCTGCCTCACGCCGCCGCCGATCGCAACGACCTTGGTGCATGACGAGGCGCGACGCACCGGGCGCGTCACCGTCACGGAAACCCATCAGCCGTACAAGACCCTCGAGAGCCTGAAGGCGTGCACGAATGTGAGCGAGAGGCTGGTTGCGACCGTCCAGGCGCGGCGGCCGGTCATGCACCGGTTCGTCTCGGAGAGCGAGGTGACGTTCCACATGCTCAGCGACCAGTACCGCACGGCGTGGAACCAGCTCCTCAACACGCGCGCGCGGAAGACCAAGTTTGTGTGCATCAACGACGACATGAAGTACCCGTCCCACGCGGTGAGCGGCATCCTCCACGACCTCTTTACGTCGCTGTGGCCGGACCGCTCGCAGTTTGAGCTCCCCTTCCACTTGACCAACAAGTATGGACACGTGGACGATATCGCAGCCGGTCGCGTGTGGCAGTGGCAGCTTGCGGCCATGACGGCACTGCTGCTCGCGGGTCTCTACGTGGCCTTTGCCTGGTACTTTCAGGACGAGACACCACCAACGACGACCGCGACGACGACCGCGACGACGACCGAGACAACGACCGAGACAACGACCGAGACAACGACCGAGTAGACGACTAGAGTTGCGTGATTTTTAAGCAATGGAATCGAACCGTGCACAGTATTGTCGATGGAAGAGAGACACGAGAAAAAGGTGGCCCGCGGATAGCACCGTATCCCAAAGCAAAGTCTCGATAGAAAGATAGATAGATAGATAGTCGTGTGCTGTCAACGAGGAATCTGCCGAGAGTGTGGGGAGGTGGAAGATAATCTGTTGAACGAAATGTATATTAGCTGGAGTGCATTGAAGCCCAGAGAATAGGGCTAGTCGAGGATAATCGCAAAGCGGCGGTCGCGCTTGGTGGGGAAGAAGGGCTTCAAAACGAGCGAGCTCGTCTTGAAAATGGGACTCTGGGGAGGGACCGGCGCCTCGTGGTAGTACCACGTACCTTTGCGCGAGACGATGTTGTCCGGGAGGTCCTTGGCCCAGCGCATGGACCCAAGCGCGTCCATTTTGATCATCTCGTCGCGCCGGCTCTCCATCGAGCGGCGATCCCAGTTGACCATGTTGAGCACGCGGAAGAGGCCGATGGTTTCAAGGCGGCAGGAGGCACCGGGAGTTGCCCCGTCATAGACGCGCGTCCTATGATTGGTTCACTCACATTGCACTTGCCAATATCGCAGTAGTACGTGGAGGACTGCCACACGTCGACGAGGCCGTTGCGGAAGATGACCGTGTGGATATAGTAGTCGCGGTTGACGCGCATGCGGAAGAAGCACTTGTAGAGCACAATGGGGCCAAAGTTCGGCGCCTTGAGGTCGCAGCGCACGACGGCCAGGTCGTCATCCTCGTACACATACTAGCTCGACGCATTATACCAAACGAGTCATCGGCCGTGTCGCACCTTGGGATTGGCGAGGTACCCCATAAACTCTCGCTCGTACCCGTCGAGGTCGCGATAGATGCTCCAGAGAGCATCGGCCACCTCGACGGCGGTGCGCAGGTGGAGCGGCGTCGTGATCTTGTAAAAGACGGAGTTGTCGGCCTCGGTCTGGCGAGGAAAGTACGTCGAGAGGTGCCAATGCTTGGATGGCGCTGGCACGCGGCACGCGTCATTGAGCGTGTGGATGATCTTGTCGCTGACGGCAAATGCTTGCGTGTGGATGATGGCGAAGAGCTTGGTCAAGAAGAGGCGGTCGATCGTCGCTTCGTACGCGCCGAGCGTCGGCAAGCACGCCTCGTACTGGACCACGAGGATCGAGATCTCGTGCCCCAAGTTGGAGATCTGCTGCTGGGCGTTGGCCATGTCCAATCGAAGCTTCCACGCTTGCGTGCGGAGTGCGTGGAGGCTTGAGTGCTTGGCGTTGTACGCCGTCCATGCCGCGTGACGCTCGAGTGTGGCATGGATGCGTGCGAGCTCGGCCTTTTGCTTGTCGAGACGCGACGCGTACTTCTTCTTGGGCATGTACTAGATACGAATGTTAGTGCTGCTGTTATGAGACACGCAGCTTCGTACCGAGGAGCAGGCGCGCCGGGCCTTGCGCTCTTGGAGATCCTCGAGGTCGCGGAGGCACCCGCGCATCTCGTGCTGGAGCTGCACGACGTGGCGACGCGTCTAAACATGGTGCATAGCATCGCATTGTGAGAGCTCGGCGCACCTCGATGATGGCGCACGTCGGTGGCGAGGGGCCGAGCATGGCAAATGAAAAGTGAGTGGCCCGAGAGGCGGCAAATTTATTCGCGAGCCCAAGCCCAGTTCTGATCGGGACACACCACACTGCGCCTTGCAATGCACAACTTGACAGTGCTCAGATTCGAGCGCAGCTGCCCGACGCGATTCGAACACCAGGCCATGACGTGGCAGCACCGCAGGCCAGATCCAACGACCCGAAGTGCACCCTCCTCGGCCACCCGCTCGTTGTTGACGTTCGGTCGGCAATGCCTTTCTCAAGAGAGGGCCCGAGCCGCGGGGCACGCAACGGTCTTTGCCATTCTCACCGGTCAACAGGCAGATGATTAATCATACTTTATTCAAGGTAATGACGTGGCGAGCTCTCCTAGCAGTCACGTTAAGATAGATGGCAATTGGGCCACAGAGACCCTCGCACTTGACGCCTTTGAGGTACCATAGTGAAGGAGAGCGCTGCGTCAAGAGTGGGCATGGTACACTCGTATCGCACCTTGGCTTTGTCTGTGGTGCTGGCCCGCCGACGCACCTGCCTCGAATGTAGCGACGCGCCCGTGGTCATTTGGAACAGCGTTGTCTGCGCGTTGTGCGTGGTCAGTTATTTAGCACGTTTGACTGGCCTCAAGATTCTTCATCGCTCGAGGCAGGCTACCGCGGGATGACCAGGCTCTGTCAAAGCAACGCTTGGTAACCTCAAGTAGCCACTTCGACGTGCCTCGGGCGAATCCGAGGGGGCTCGGGTGCTGCCAATACCGTAGGTAGCCGTCGACGACTTGTGCTGCGTTGAACGCCTCCTTTTACTGCACGGCGATGGTCGTGTCGAGATGGTGTATGCATAGAACTTATTTTGCCACTTGGTTCTGGCTGTCGGAAGCGAGCGAGGTCCATCGGGCACCGTCAAGCTGTCCAGTCTCAGCGTGGTCATGGGTGGCAGTGATCGGTTGTTCGTGTCTCGTGCGTTATATTCAACGAATTCGCCAACCGAACGTACTACTTGTAAAGCTAAGCTACCGAAAAGCTTCCGCAGCTTGCAGCTGCGTCGATCGGTCAGAGCAGCCCGACGGGCCACATCACAGCTACTTTCAGCACAAGAGTGGCGCGAGAAGCGGTCGCAAGAGCCCTAAGGATCAACTACAGTTGGTTCCAGAGCCAAACCAACACATTTTGGCACCAGGGTGTAGCGTATACGAGCAACTTGCAGCATAATGCCGCTTGATTTGTATGACGTGGCATCACCGTGCAGCACCATGCATGCGAAATGCGGTGACGGTCAGCTTGACGCACCGTGTGATCTTGGACTGCGTACCGGTACACCGGGGTCCGGCAATAATATTTGGAACGAACGCAGATCAGAAGGTGATTGCACATCTTGTGCAAATTCGCTGACGACCGAGTGTCGTCGCTTGAGGTGTAAGCTTATTAGCTGCTCGTCGATCCTCCCACCCACGCCACTTTGGGTCTGAGGCGCACGGCTTGGTCTTTTGTACAGTGTACTAAATTGAATCTTCCAGCATGAGATATATGCTACTTGTTGACGCGTCTCTGTCAATTCGCGCAGTGGGACCAACGCCAAATGGGAAATACTGTTTTACCCACTGATCGTGGGTGGGGCAAACTCGAGAATTTATTTCGCCTGCTGATATCTTATAAACAAGTCTGTGACGTGGCACACCCACATGCCGCGTATCAGATGTGGTGCTGTGTCGCGACCACAACACGGTACCCAGCGTGGTGGCCGGCCGCCAGCTTCAAGACGCACGCAAAGGTCGTGCGCAGCTCCTTGCGGTCGTTTCTCGTCTCGTTGTAGCACCACTCGCCGGACCGCTCGCAAACCTTGTCGCGGAGCCAGCGCACGAGCCCAAACGTATGCTTCTTCATCATGTAGTCGGCTCGCCCCGGCGCGTCCAGCGCACTCCAGTGTTCGCGATCGAGAAGCAAGAAGGAGCCCGTCAAGACCATGACGCTTCCGTCGGCACTCGGCGCAATAGTCGCCCTAAATCAGACCATTGACGTTATCCTGCGTGATGTAGGCGCGTCGTACGTGCACATGAGCCCAAGGCTATTGAGCTCATAGTCGAGGATGAGCATATGAACTTCATAAAAATCGCGGACTTTGGCGCGAAAGCAGAAAATGTACACGACCATGTCTGTGCCGAGCAAGCAGACGCGCGCAATGAGGAAGCTCGCGCCGCGGTTCACAATCTAGTCGCAACAACCGTTAACCAACGCGACGATCTAACCGCCAACCGTGTAGTCGGTCAAGTGGTAGCCGTAAAGCGCATCAAAGTCCGTGCGGGTCGCGTGGAGGTCCCAGACAGCGTCGGCGGCATCCGCAGCTCTCAGTCTCAGCGGCGGCGTCTGCACGCGGTACGAGACTGCGGTCGTGCGCTCGTCCAAGAAGGTCGTAAAATGCCACATTGCAGTCGAGGCGGGTGCGACTGCGAGGCGCGCAGCCAGCGCCTGCGTCGTCGCCTTGGTCGCGTCGCAGAGGCGCCCCAAGTACGCGCGGTCAAAGACATTGGGCGGCATGCGCGCCAGCAGCGGCGGCAACGGGAGCTGATACGCAATGCAGTGCGCAACGATCTGCCGCCGCTGGAGCACGATCTGCACCTGCTTCTCGTCGATGCAGCGGTTCAGACGGGCCAGAATCTTGGCCACACGCCGCGCGTCCAACAACTCTCGTAGACGCGTCAAGCGTGCGAGCCACAACGAGGCGCGTCGGAGCCCGCGGGATGTCGCGAGCGCATCGCCGTACACGTCCTATACAAGGCGTATGGATCGATCCTCCATGGACGTTGCAGCGCATACCGGCAGCGCAAACTTGGTCGTCGCGGCGTTGCGGTCTTGGTGGAGGTGATGGAGCTCGTGCTGAAGCTGTGTGAGCTCGCAGCGCATCTACGCGCCATGTCCACATCGCGTCCCCGACATCACCTTGGGAATACCTGTGCCAGCACTGCAACGACCTTGTGCGGCATATCTGATCAGATCGCAAATGCGCAACTGCTGTTTGTGCCAAGATCGCCAGGCGCGCCCCGGGGCACCGGCGGCTAAATTTGTACCACGTGCAAACATGTTCCTCGACGATGCGTCCAAGGCGCACAACTTCCGACAGGTCGGCACCAAGCACGCGGGTAGCGTCCGGAAAGGCCACGTTCAAGTCCGGCCTGCGCAGTACCAGGTACTGAATATCCATATCTCAAAGAAAGGTATGGAGCGGCGGGATGCAGAAACCTTCGGCGTCGATCCCGTCCAAGTTTGAAACAATCTTGAACGCCGGCGACCGCGAGACGAATGCGTTTGGAAGCCGTACCAATCGGTTTGGCGACGCCGAGGTCCATACCATCCACGTCCTATGACGGCTGCGTATCCATATCGCATTGTAGAACGAGCTGCCAGGACCCGGCGCATACTACAAGCCACCGACGCTGCTCGTGACGACCGAGACATCGGGCAGCGTATCACAGAAAGGCTATGGCTCGGGCTTCGTCTCCAAAGTATGTATATATTCTGGTATGTACAGATTGTCATTGGCCGCGTACAGGTCAAGCGCTTCTCCAACCAGACGTACGAGACGGTGCCGGGGCCGGGACAGTACGCATCGTCGCTGTACACGCCAGAGTCTAAGTTTCCGTGGCCTAAACACGTGGCGTAGGCCCGAGAAGCCGTCGTTCAACCGGCGGATTGGCCTCAGCAGCTTTGCGCCGACTGTACTTCCTGCGTGTCCGCTTTCCCTGCAAACCGCTTGTAGGAGCGCTACAACAACCAAACGGCGTCCAACGTGCCAGGCCCGGGCAACTACAACGTCAAGGAACCGCGCCACAACGCGCCGAGTGGGCGCAGTGCATTCGTCTCCAAGTCCCACCGCGGCTTTGTACCCCGCTCCGACGTGCCGGCCCCTGGTACCTGCGTCTGTAGAATTTCCGCCAACCCTGGTGCATGCTTTAGGGCAGTATGAGAACCCGATCGAGCTCGGACGGGACGCCGACTGGGACCGACCCCAAGGCATCTTTCGGTCGAGCGTCAAGCGCGTCGAGACACCCAAGACGCTGGCCGTACCGGGTATTATCTTTATAGAAACAAGATTTGCTAAGAACTCGGCGTAGGGCCCGGCGCGTACGGCGTCGAAGCAGCTGAGAAGCACCTGCTGCGGGACACCATTGCGCAAGCGCAAGCGAGTAGCATGTTCAAGAAGGGCGCCGCCGACCGGTTTGGCCACTTGAGTTCGCGCAAAGGCGACGTTCTGGACGTTCCTGGTACCTTGTTCTTCGATCTCAAAGCCTTGACGAATGTGTGTAGGCCCTGGCGCTTATGAGGGATCGATGCCGCAGTCGACAGCCGACGTCTCGAGTGTCTTCAGGTCGTCCACCAAGCGCGGCCAAGATCTGCTACGAGGCAAGGCGCCAGGCCCAGGTACGCAGAGAGACCTTACGTGCCATCTCCGAACTTATGGTCGACGACGTAGCCTTCTACAAGCCGGCAGTGAGCCCGACAAAGAAGTCGCATCTTCTCAATGGCACCAAAAAATGGCTTTAAGCTTTAATACGGTCGCAAAAAAGATTTATTCGTTGGGTTTCCCAGCGCGAAAATTCTCAAAGTACCGCGCGACTTGGGCCATACAAAGGTCTTGGGTCGCTTCCGGCAGCTCGTGGGTCGACGTCCCTACGCCAAGTGACCATGGGTGCCGGATCGAATTGGTAAATTGCTCGATTACCCGGGATGCCACTCACATGCGTGTATGGCGGAATGATCTCGTCCGACGGGATGATCGTATTGTCGGCAATGTAGCAGCAGTCGCGGATGATCACGCGCTTGCCCTGTCAGCACAGATGAGATACATGACGGCGGCAGTAGGGACATGTACAATGACGCAGTTCTTCCCAATCTGCACGCACGATCCGATGCGTGCGGCCTCGATGATGGAGCCTTCGCCAATGTACACGTGGTCGCCGATGGTCTGCGGAATGAAGAGCATGCCGCTTATAGCTCGCTGTCAGCATGGAGGGCACCAGACGATGCATATACGTACGTGGGAAGGATCTTGGGTGGCGGCTTGAGCACGCAGGACTCGCGGATGATGCAGAGCTTCCCAAGCGAGATCTTGGCCAGGTCGCCACGGAGGATCGTGGACGCGTTGATGATGGTTTTGCCCCGAAGCAGGATGTTCTTGGTGCAGCAGAGCGTCGAGTCACGGCTGATCTTGTTGCCCTACGCGGCCTTATGAGGCCACACGCAGCGGACGGGCGGCGAACCGAGGCGGTGCAGATGTAGTGGTCCGGGTCGAAGAAGACCGCGCCGGCCTCCACCTCGGCGTTCATGCTTTGTAGAAACCTCTTACAATTGATATTGGCCCGAAACGAATACACGGGCGATCTTCGTGGCTGATCACACGCAACCCAACCGTGACGTGGCAGACGCTGAGATGGACAAGACACTTCAATCTATAACGGGTTTGGAGCTACGACAACCGCTGGCGGGACGGAGCCCGGCCCACCGAGGACGATTGAGTGCGTGTACGGGTACCAAAGCGTAAGCAGCAAAATGACGAGACTGTCGACGGCGACAAGCCCGACGACGGTTAGGCCAGCAACACATTTGCTGGTCTGCGAAAGGTGACGGCCGGTAGCAAGCCTCCATTGCTCGTCGCGCACAGGGAGCAAATACACGGCCGCGAGTGTCGACACGACGTTCATCAGGTAGGAGAAGGCGTACGTCGCAGCCACGTCGCTTCGCACCGCGTCCGAGTCGGCAGCAATGCGTGTTGGCGTGACGAGAAATAGTGCGCAGTAGACGTTGGCGACGACCGCAGCAAATAGCATCGCCGCGTTGTTGGACATGGCCAAGAGGCTGCGAAAAAGCGCAACGGCCGATTCGTCGTCGGTGCGCTCGCGCAGCGCCTCGGTAAACTCCAAGGCGAGAATGGCCAGGTGCATACTTTGGACGCCGGCGGGCACGACCTCGAGAAAAGTTACGGCCAGGAAGAACGTTTCGTTGCGCACGACGTTGGCGATGGCAAGTCCGTGCACGAGCGTCTCGAGGCCCGTGGATGCGAGAGTCGTCAGGATAAGGGTGCGGCGAAAGCTCCAGCCGTTGCCGTACATGGCCGTGGCAGCGACGACAAGTGCAAAGCCAGCGCTGCTGCCAACGTGCCATAGCACGTAGCTCCGCGTTTCGATCTCGCCCCAGAAATACCGCACGTACGGTGCCGCTGTCGACGCCATTGTCGTCGCGCCAAAAAAATGCAGGACGCCGCTTGCTACAATGTGGTGGCGAACTGGCGAAGCGCGCACGAGGCGCAAAAGACCACGCATGTCGGATTTGAGGCACCGTCGTGACGCGTCCGCGTCATTAATGCAGCACCCCGAGAGCACGAGAAGACTGGCGCTCACCGCTGTGAGGAGACCAAAGAGCAGTGCGATCGGCGCGTGCTGCGACGAGGCGCCTCCAAACGCCGGCGAGTTGAAGCCGCACCCAACGAGGATACTTGCCGTCGCGCTGGCCAGCGCCCGTGAGCCAAAGACGCAGGCGTCGAGGTGACGCTGGTGGATGTTGCAGGTGGCGCTGTATCGAGCGACGAGTGCGTCTGCGTTGGTGTGCACCATGGCCGCGCCGAGACTCGGAATGAGCAGCTGTAATGCCAACGTCGAGCCGCGTGCAATCGCAGCCGGGTTCATAAAGTGTCGTCGCGGCACAAGCGGGCGCGACCCATAGACGTCGAAGGGCTGCCCGTGGTCGCGCAGTGCCAAGGCACCAAGGCTGAGAGCACAGCACACCCAGCCAAGAAGCATGTACGGCTTATGGTTCTGGCCGGCAATGGGACAGTATATGGCGAGAAGATGGAAGACTGGCTTTCCTGCCCATGCAGCGGTCAGCAGCGCAGCGATCGCATGGAGGTGCTGGCCTGGTAATCGAAAGTACGCGACAAAGAAGGGATACCCGAGCGATACGATCGCGCCGTGAAGAAGGCCAATGGCAACGTACTGGGCGAGAAGCGGCCACAGCCGCCGAAGGTGCTTGCCGAGCGGCTCGACGAGGTCGTTGGTCGGAACGGGGCTAAAGGCATCGAGGTAAAGTGACGAGCTGAAAAACGACACGCGGTCTGCGAGCGTCCCGTCGAATTGCATCGTCCAAAGGCGAATCGTGGTCTGTGCGCACGCCCTGTCTTGGCGCTGATGGCTCCATCTAGTTCGACTCAGATGTGAGTACAAATTCTCAGATTATAGGAACTTTATTTCTTGGCAAAGATGCCGTCCTGCGTACCTGTGTGTCGAATCACCTCTTCATGGACTAGATCGTGCGCTACTGGAATGCAAAAGGCACGACACTGGCATTTGAAAGCGAGGGTAGACGTCCAACGGTCCAGGGCTTTGGTACTCTACTGATTCGTCGACCACATAAACGGGTCTGCTCCATCTGATAACTCAAAGGGCTATGTCCGCGGGTCGTTGCAGCCGTACATCGAGAGCTGGTCGTCAAGACGCGCAAGACGCGTCTATTTTCTACTAGCATATCGTTGGGCGCTCTACGCGCGGAGTGTCCAAAGTTGAGTTCTCGTGGAGGATCTTTCTGCTTCTGATTCTGTGGCACAGCAGCTGGGCGCATACGACGGACGCAATCATTCAACAGCGCTAGTAGCATTCTTCGTGCATCGGTCGTTAACATCCACTGGCTGGCATCATACCGTTATGTCCTTCAAGAAACGTAGCGGTTGTCGCTTTGTCGTAGCCGTGGTCGGGAATGGCCTCTTCACTTTTCTTTCAAAAGAACATTGTAGCTACGTATAGAATGAATAGCGCAAAATTCTCAACGACAAATACCATGGAAACGTCAATTGGCTCAATCAATCCACGTCCCATGAACGAAAACTCTGCGACGTTTGGAGTGAGCAGGGCAACCACGCTAGCACACAAGTAGTGCAAACGCGTTCTTGGTGACATAATAGCACCGCAACGCTGAGTCTAGCCGCCCCTTTGTCGAACAGCGTCCTACGCTTCGTGGCTCGGCACTACGGTTTCCAAGGTATGGGATATTGTAAACGAATAAGATCTGTTTGGAGGCTTATGACGAAACGAGGCCCATAGGATGAGCAGACGACCGACTGGTACGAATGTGCTACTACTACAGCTGTGCCGTCCCGAGGCGCCCGTCGTGACACCCGAAGCGGCCGCCGCCCGCGCCGCGTTTTTGACCAAGATGCACCTTCACCACTTGATGCTGAATACCCAAGCGATGTGCCTCTTCCAAATGATGTACGCCCTGCGCCACGATGCCTGGCTTCGTGACCACTTCGTCCCGGCGTGCGCCATCCACACGCCTCGCCTTCAACACGGCTAAGCCTCGCCGCTGCTGCCGTCTAGCACAACACGCTCTGAATCGAAAGTCCACCCCCCCAAAAACAGTTCAGTGTAAATTATATCTAAATAGACTCACTTCAACAACAACAGCTGTGCATGTCAGTAGAGCCAACAGTCGATGAAGAGTCCTTGCGAATTCTTTGCAGAGGGCGGCGTGGATGGATGATCGAGTCGGCGCAGGGTTGCCCAA